GCAAGCACGACACGTTGTCATGTTGCAGCCAGGCACCACCTGCCGATCAACCAAAACGACAACGAAGGAACTGCGAAGTCTTCTGGGGCAGGCAAGACTACTTAAGCAGCAATGCCAATGCTACAGCGATATGGCCTGAACAAGAAAGGAACGCTAACTGCAACGAACAGCTTCATCAAACAGGAATTAACATGCTGCTGTATTTTTACTAGTAGCTCACATCATGTCGGCCAAGAAACGACACATTGTTTACTGTACAGCCTAGTGGTAGATTGCGCATGAGCGCGCCCATCCTCTCCCTCCACACTGGACTGACGGATCATTAGCAACGCGTTTTCCAAGCCGCCAGCCTTCTTGGAATTGAAGTCAAAGAAGCCTAAATGCTGCAATAGCCACTCGACACTACAATAGGGCCAATAGCGGCACCGAGCACGAATGATATCGAAATAAATATTGCTGCCCTAGTCGCCATTCCAATTCGATCTCTTGCCCCAGTCGTTCCGCAAAAAATGTACCAAGCCCTGCCAGGTTCACGTGCCAGCAGCATTCGTCAGAATGATTTTGCAACATGTTGTTTAATCGTAGTCGTTGTTCTTGCGCAAACCTGCAATAGGTCTGTGCGGCTTCAAGGCAGCTTGTTGCCTCATGCCGCGTCCGCATCCAGTCAAAGGGCAGTGTCTCAGCACCTCTGCCGATGTTCTTGAATGAGAGCTTCCTTAGGGGTAGGTGACTGAGACAGGAAGATCTAACACTTCGGTGCCATGTCTTTGCATCCTCGCCAGGGAACGGCCCACAGAAGCAACCCAGCGAGACCAGCATGATCTGCTCAGTCCTCAACGAACTCGGAAATTACCACATCGCACCAACAGTCACAAGGTGAACCACCGCTTCGCCGTCATACTGCCTGGCACGTGGCTGCCCGCGCGCTAGCTACGTCTGAGTGACGAGCTCGGCATCCCCCCGACTTTGGCCGTCTGGCAACTGGTCCATCAAGTCAGACTCCTGACATCACTTTGAGCGGCAATGTGAAAGTTCGCGCCGTTCAGATTCCGCCTGCATGCCCGGCTCCCACCTTGCCACAAGCTCAGCATAGCTCACTGCTATCCCCATGCGCTCATGAAATTACTCCATCTCTGCTTCTATGCATTCAAGAGGCTTCCCCTTGCTTGCCACCTTAACAGTTGTCGCCTCAGTTTGCCAGGAGATGCCAGGAGTATCAACGGACCGAGGCAGATCAGGAAGTGCTTGGGACTGAGAAAGCGAGTGAAGCCGAGAGGCCATGGTGGCAGACAGCGGCCCAGTGGTTGCAAAGTATGTGCGATGCGCACCCCAAATTGGCACAAAAGTTAGTGCAGCTCTTGTTGTTTCACTTCTTGACTTCTTGCATGTCTGCAGGTGCTGGAATACTCGTTTGGACGCGGACTGGAATGTGGATCTGGATTGGCTTAGGCTTTCAGCTTACACCAGCGCCAAACATCCACCCCCGAAATGGTTTGAGCGCGGTATTCTCATGGCATCTCAAAGTTGAGCTCCCGGAAGGCCACAGATGTCACATGACAAAAGCAGGACATGCCGCAGTGAATGGTGCTGCCTTTTGTCGCTGCAGCTTCAGCAATCCCAGCTGCTTCGCCAGATTTGCCAACTGACGGAAACGCGTCAAGGCAGGCTTTAAGTGGGGACATTGACGGACTGACTAACTGAAACAGCTACCAAAATACATGTCTGATGCACACTGGAATCTAGAACGAATGCCGGAACGCCTGCCATGGTCCTTCAACACCCATGGGCTCTTCGAGCGAGATGAGAGTTGAAGCGAGCCATGTGACGCCCCTGTAAAAGGGCTCTTATCACAACTTGAGAGAGGGCTACGAAAGCTAGCGCAGCAACAGCTCCAAGCTTAGCGTTACCCTGCGGTCGGTCAACACAAACGTACCTCAACACCCACTTACCAAGCAACACAGCATAGCCCACGGCGGAGGGGGGAGCCTTCGGTTGGGGACCCATTTCGTCCATTTCGTCCGACATATGGTCTCATTGGCGGGGGAGGGGGCAGTGCAACCCTTACATCACCAAGGCAACATCAGGGACCGTCCCTAAACCCATAACCTATCCGGATAAATTTCTACACAGCCCCAACTGTGGACGCATTCTCTTGGGTTCTCTGCGGGCCACAAGCACCATGTGAAAACGACAACTGGGCATCGCTTGGGCGACTTAAAGGGCTAGCCATCGTGATAAGACACTGGCCAAGGGCCCTATGGCCAAAGACGTTTAACGCGCGGCAAGCCCTGCCCCCTCTGGCACATCTGCTTGTGAGGAAAAAAAGGTGATCCCACAAGGACTCTGGACAATGAAGTGGTTGCTGCTGTCGATGTGAACTTAACTGGACATCATTCTGTCCATCAGGGGCCTGGCCAGACTTCATGCACTGGTATTGTCCCTACTGGGGGCACACGCAAATTCCAAAGCCCAAGCGGCTGTTGTAGCCTAACACTAGAGACGAAATCAAGCCCGTAGCTCAAAGCTCATGCGATACTCAGCAAATGCTAGGTCGAGCCGATATGGAACTGGACCCCGCTTAAGAGCTAAAGGCCAGGCTTGCACATGCAGAAATCGCTGAATTAGGATCTGAGCCAACAACTAACAATCAAGCTTAATCCACACCTTCCTAATCACAACTCAAGTGTCTCCAAAGTTTCCCGGTACTGAAGACTTCGGAACTCCCCCATTGCAATCTGCCTCCCTGAGCCTCCCTGACTCCACGTCTGTTCGGACTCTTAACCTGACCCTTGGCTCAGCTGTTCTCGCAGTGCACATTGAAAAGCTGGAAAAAAAAACCTGTCCAAGCCTCTCAAACCTCGCACTTGCAAAAGGCCGGTATCGGCCGTGGCGGTGGTGAGCCTCGACTCCGACGACCGGGTCTGCGCAATACGCACATTTTACCTGCCTTGATTGGGGTATAGGGTTTTAGGGTTTTAGGGTTTAGGGTTTAGGGTTTAGGGTTCCAACCCCCCGCCCCACAGCCAAGGCAGGCAAGACGCTCATCAAGTCATGGATGACCTTGATATTGTCCGACGGCGTGCGAGTCCACTCCTTGAGCTTCTCCTGCCATTTAGGGCTCTTCTGGTTCGAATGGTTCAAGGCCTCCACAAACTCCATGCTCCCACAAGAACAATAATCATGTCAGAGACGCCACAGGGCTTCTTGCCTTAGATCATCTTAGATCCAGAATATTCCAGAATCGATGCTGCGAAACCCTTGCGCGTTCCCTGCTTCATCATGCTTCATCGGCCCCACAGTCACTAGGACTACTTAGGACTGCATATGACTAACGACAACAACTGTTCCTTGTTATGCAGCGGTTCTGGGCCATCTACGCACATCTGTGCTCTGAAGTTCGGCCGAGGTGGCGTGCGCCGACGGCAGGAGTCGCTCCAAGAGCTCCACGAACCTTTCCGCAACTCGCACGTAACTCGCAAAACTTTGAGGGTTTGCGATGGTTCGGGGCCTTTTGGGGTTTCGGCTCCGCAAACCTTTCTAGGCTTGAGCCACTGGAGTCCCTGAGGAGTCTGCTCCGGTAGGCTGGTGTCCATCGCTTCCTGGAGGGGCATGCTCCAAGTGGCGTTGCTGTGTTGGTTGATGCTAGACCACATCCTCGGCTGCATCAAAACTGAAGAACACGGGATAACACGGGGTGGTGGAGTGTGCTATGAGCGTGCTACGGCTTTGCTTGCGTGATCCGATGCTCGTGCTGACAGGCGGCTGCATGACCTTCATGAGCTTGTTGACGTTCTCACAGATGACTGCAGTGTGGCGTGGGAAGTCCATCCTGGCGACGTACGCCTTACCTCGGCCGAGAAATCTCTTCAGGTCGGCACAAGGCCACCTTGGCACAGGAGCCATCATGCCAAGCTTCATGTCATCTGAGTCGCCACCTGGAAGACAAGGGCCACCGCATGCCCATATGCCATGCCTTGTGACCGGGTGCCAGGTAGAGCCATAGGTGAGATATGTAGATACCGCGCTACGCCGTGCTGTGTGCCAGTTCGGAGATCTTCAGACACACAATGAGTTCTCACGAAATGCTTCCTGAGCGTTGCTCGGTAGCCGCTGCGCTCCAGGACCCTTCCAAGATCATCCAGAAAGTCCTTGAACGGAGGGGTCTCTCGGAGCTCTCTCATAATTCTGAGCTCGCTCAACTCCACTTTGATGTGACATTTGTGCTCGTATTTTGCTTTCATTTTTGTGCTCTCTCAAGTTTGCTCTCTCATCTTGCTCCCACATGGTACTGCAAGTGCTGCCGAAGTGTCAGTGCCTGCCAGCCAAGCAGGAAGTGTTGCCTCAGTTGTCGCTTGCTTGAGAGAGATCCGTGTCATTTCTGTGAAGCTTTCCAAGATTCCAAGTCTGCTACGTCGCATGGCTTCGACTGGATACCCTGCAGTGCTAGAAGTAGATTCTGCAACCTCAGCACCAGGAAACAGAAAGGCAATGATCAAACATAATCAGAAACGGCAGCCAACATGGGCAATTGCTGGCAAAGACAGGTCAGACAGGTTGCATGCTGCACGGCCGATATATTCCACCTCGGATCCGACTCGGAGCACTTCTCGAACACTCACGCTGCGTGTTTGGCTACGTCTGATTCCGTCCTTCTCTCTTCTACTCTGAGAGACGTCCCTTCAGTCCCTCCTCCCAACTACTTTGCTGTGCAGTCACCACTCCCGCCTATGGTCTTATCTTCTAATGCTGGATGCTTACAGTCTGCCTGCCCACCCTCTCACTGAATTTCAACTTCGGGCTGAGAACTCGAGCGGGATCAGATGATAAGGCAAAAAATGAGAGCGCCATCAGCTCTACATTTTCAGGCGGTGCCGCAGCCTCCTGCTCACCAGACCCGTGCAAGCCCTGTAAGGAGTGATCGGTCCTCCATCCTCTCCCTATCTTCTTGGCCACCCGAGTAGTGCTGAAACACTTTGAAACTCGCGACTCGATGAAACTTCGTGGCGCCCTAACCTCTCCACGCTTAGCTGATGGAGTTGAATCTGCGTTTTGTTTGTGCTGACCATGGACAGACGCCAAGCAACGAAACCTGTGGAGCTCTCTTCATCACAACAAACGCATCTTCACGCTACTAAGCGGCGTGAGAGGTCCTCTTCTTCAAGAGCCCCCTGGCATGACGTTCCCGCTACAGAGGCTGCAGGCTCATTGGCTCTGTTTTGCTCATTGCTTGCACCACGGTTATGCTGAGCTTGGAACCAGGAACTTTTGATAGACTCTGATCGCCTCGCGAGATGGGAACGACTAACATGTCATCATGTTGCCCGATGAAAGTCTGAGCGCTTGATTAAAAATCCGCCGAGGCCTCGGGCCGAAGGTGTATAGGTTGTGAGAACAGGCACCCCCCTCCAAATCCTCCCCCCACACCCTTTTTCGGACCACTTTTTTTGCTTCAAATGGGTACCCCCCCCGGGAAGGCGGGATCCACAAGCGCGGTTCGCCAGGACCTCTCTAAGCCCTCTTGAGATTTTGCATTTTGCTTCTCCCGAATGGCCTAGTGGCCCTTCAAGCTGCCTTGCAACCCAAGGGTCCCTGGCTCAATCCTCCTGTCCTGTGACCTGCCCTGTCCTGTGCCCTGTCTGGGTTTTGGTTTTTTTGCTTGGGTTTCGGGTTTTGGGTTTTGGGCAGTCTTGGGAGGGGTCCGGCTCACAATTGGGCCAGAGATGGGTGGGGTGAGCCCGTTTCATGTTGGATTTTAGGTTTTGTGTAGTCGGAGCTTGGTGAGGGGTGCCCAGCCCTATAAACATGGTGGGTTTCCTATAAATTTTGGATTTTGGATCTTCTAAGTCAGAGCTTAGTGGCTCGGGCTCGACCCCCGGCAGGTGCATCATCTTCCTGCGGGCTTGAACTCCAATTCCCTCCCCCCCCCACCCCCCCCCCCCCCCACCCCCCCCCCCCCCCCACCCCCAACCCCCCCCCCCCACACCCCCCCACCCCCCCCACCCCCCCCACCCCCCCCCAACTTTCCTACCCACCCGCCCCACCCCACCCCCCCCCCCCCCCCCACCCCCCCCCCCCCCTCCCCCTCTCCCCACCTGGCTCAACTTTACGATCAACCGTCTCAACCCTCAACCTTGAACCTTGAAAAACCCAACAAAACCGTAAACCCCAAACCGTGAACCTTGAGCAACCCTCAACCCTAAACCCCAAACCATGAACCCGGAACCCTAAACCCTAGACCCATGCTTGGGGTCCAGCGACTTGGGCGCTGCGGAATCACCATGCTCACGTGGATGCGCTGGGCCGGGCCGAGGCGGGTCGCGTAGCGTTAAAATTAAGTTGACGGATTCCCTGAGTCCGGCCTCCGCAAGCCCAACTGCTCTGTGCGACAGCGCAGCCTGCGCACGGTGAGCACAGTGAGCACAGCACGCCGCACTCGTGTTGCATGCACCTGTGCACCAGGGCAGTAAACACCCCGGCTCAGCCCCAACTTTGCCCCGACGTGCCTGAATGCTGGTCGGAGAGCTGGGTCTTCCCTCAGACGCATGACGCAACAAAGGCGCAAGCTCGCGGCGCCGAGGCACTTCCATGGCTGCCATGTGCTTCTTTCTTTTCAGTGCGGCAAAGGCTCGTATGTGGCGTAGGCTTCTGCGTTGCTTGTGTCCTCGTCCCCAAATCAGGAGATGCCACAGGAGTCCAAAGTACTGTTGGATGTGCGGCCGAGAAGCATATGCCAGCACCTGAGAGCATTTTATAGCCAGGGATTGAGGAAAGCAAGTTCGGAGACATTCGGTTCGCCTTCTTTCGCCAAGGTACCCAAGTCAGTGCTCGCAATGCATACCTCATCTCCTCGGGCCGCCAGTCCTTTCAGTGAAGGGAGCGGAAAAAGAATGGACCCCAATGACACACAAAGCGTTTGTGCGTCCTGACTGAGAAAGTACTCCTTCATGGCGTGCTCTGTTTGGCTGCCCAGCATTTTGCCATGAAGCTCAACAACCTGGCAGCATCACATGCGTGAGATTCACTATCGCCTCTACTGTCTACAGCTTGATCTTCTGACGCGTCAATGTCACCTCCAGCAGCACGGAGCTGAAATCTTGAAGGAGCGAAGACGCCTTGGGGATCTCATGCTGTGTCAGAGACTGAATCCCCTCGAGTGAATCCACCTATGTTTGATGTTTGAGATGTGTTGCTGAATGGCATGCCAGCGGAGGAGCCCTCTCTCGAGTTCTTGTGTTAAACTGTTCCGCCCAGCCAGACCCCCCGGAAGTGGCGCGAAGTTGGTTTTGGGGCATCCAACATCTCGACGAGGTAGAAACGTTAGAGATCTTAAAAACGTACGATCCCAGCCCGGAGTCTCGACCATGGCCCCTAAGCCGCCCCCGAGTCGCGATGACGCAGGTCTTCTTTGGAGGAAGAGGGTGGGCCGTGCGGTTGGGGGATGGGCGGCGTCTTTTCGGTGACTCTTTTTGCTTGGGAGTGGGAGGGAGAGTCATGCCCTATGTACTGGATCAGCACAGCATACTTGCTGTGGCAGACAAATCCTGACAAAGCGGACTATTAACCGATGACTGAGGTGGCGGCAACGCCGTGTTGGGCAAGGTGGTGCTTGGGCAATCGTGCAGCACCTGGCTGCCGAGTGCCCATACTGCGACTTCTGTGTCTGTCGGGCCCGCCTCTTCTTTCCGAGGCGGGGAATGCGTAGCCTTCTGCAGAGAAACAAAAAAGAAAGAGAGAGGAGGTGGAGGGAGAGAGACAGCGAGAGAGAGAGGCGGGAGAAAGGCAGCACGTCGCGCGCATCCTGTTTTGCCAGGACACGGGAGTTCGCAGCCGCCTCTGGCGCCTCGATCTTGACGAACATGTCCAGGATATGCCTCGTAGAGAAAAGACGGAGAGGTTACAGGGGCTTTCATGTTGTCGCAAAAACCGCAGCCTCCTCAAACTCACCTAACTGCCTCGAAGGTGCTTCAGCAAGCGAAACGGGTATGGGTTGCACTGCCGATCCTGGTTACCTGTCATTGCAGACGATGACAGCTCTTGAAGCAGACTGGTGCCATTGCTTCGCTGCAGAAATCCCCAGCTCGAGTATGTCCCTCCATCTGTCACTAAACGGAAGTCTCCCAGGTTGTGGCAGGCGCCTGTGCCTGTTCCTCCGGTGCGGCATAGGTGGATGTAGTCCTCAACATCTTAGTCACTGAGTGAGTCTGAATCCGTCTGATGGAGTGGGAGGAGAGAGCGAGAGAGCGAGAGAGAGGGAAACGAGGTCCTTGATCGCTTCACGCAAACCAAGCTTTGAAGTCATCTCCTCCGAAGCGCCAAGGCTCCTTGTGGGTCCTGGGAGCCCCAAATGGACGGCCATGTGACGCCGTGATGCTCCGGAGATAATCCATAAAAGCTTCCGACTCGATGTGCTTCCCCATGCTTCCCCTACCTACCTTGCATGCCTGAAATCGTGAGTTAGGGCTGCGAGCGGGGCCGCTTTCGATGTTGTCCTTTCTGTTTTCGGAGTGGTCAGGGGGGGTACGGGCGCCAGATTAGCCCGGCCATCCGTAGATTTACAATGGTTGCATGTTCCCAGATTTGGCCTCCCAGACATCAGTCAAGTGAGAGCAGGAGCTCTGGCCAAGGCTCCAGGGCGTTGGTTTGGGCACCCAGACCTTTGCTAATTTGGAAGCTCTGACAAGTAACTTACGGGCTGCTGTTTTTGATCGAGCCGCGTCCCTGAAAAAAGGCTTCTTTTCCCTCCTGTCTACAAAACTTCGAAACACAGCAAACTCCTCCCGCCCGCACGCCTCTTTGCCTGTCCACAATGCCATATGCGAGTAGACACAAGCCAACATAGTCCCCAACTTCTGTTTGGAGCTGTCCTGTCGAGCACCGGCCCCGCAGCTGCGCAGCATCCAGCACCTGCGGGGCTCACATTCCCTTGAGGGTGACACATTGTGACACCTCCACGACCCCCAATGATGAGATGAAGGCATGCTCCGCAAAACTGCAGGCCTTGACGTCAACCACGGAACCGGACCAATGCTTTATTTTTGGAATCTTGCTCTGGACGGCTGCATCCCAGAAGGCCTGCAAACAGGTTCTTCTCTTGATGACAGTTCAATCGTAGAGGTGCCCGGCAAGAAGCTACTTGCATGTAGCTGTGCTGTGGCAGATTTCTGGCCTTGAGCAGAGTGGCCCGTTCTCTCCACAGACCCAGAATCGCAAAATCCACATTGGCACAGCTGGACGACTGCCTAAAAGCTCCAGATCAGAATTCCTCGCCATGCCGAGACATGTCTTGAATGCCGGAATGCTGGCCAAAGTGCCTCAAGTTTGTCAGCTGCAGCCGATGTCCATCGAAGCCTGTTTGCTTTTCCAGTTCGAGCCTCACCTCCTGAAAGGGAGAGCTGGCTGAGATGGCGTGGAGAGACGAGTAAAGTAAAGTGGGGCACAACGGGGGAAAGCATAGGGAGCGCGAGAGGAAGAACACAATATTCGGCGATGACGCACACGACGAACATGCCAATCTCCTCTTCATCCAGTGGTCTGCCTGGCCATACCTTGGTGACACTTGCGCTTCGATCCTGAACAGTTCATCTTACACCCGCAAGCATGAAGAATCCTGGTACTGCTCCGCTCATGAGTCAGGTGTCGCAGTTACAGTTGCAGTGAATCAAAAAAGTCATCAGAATCATCATCATGAGCGTTTTCATGCTGGCCGTCGTTTTGCGGTACGATTGTGCTTTCCGCCTTGACTCCGCCTGTGGGCGGAATCACCGACCCTGGTACGCCCCTTAAGCCCAAACTCTCAGTCAACCTCGAGCTTTATGCCCATTCGATTCCGACCCCGAGCTAGACACACCTTCAAGCGCAGCCCTCTTACGGGGGCATGCAGGCATGCAGGGTACATGCATGCCGCCAGGGGGAGCATGTACGGCATGCCGGTATAGTATACGGTTCAGGGTTTTAGGGGCTAGTACTAAGTGACTACCGTCATGCTTGCATCTCTCTTTCTCGGCCATGCGTATGGCATCTGCTTGAGCAGCATGGCATGACTTCAAACGAATTGTGGCGATGATCTTCACTACGGTATAGTTACACAGTACGGCAGGTTGGCAGACATGTGGCGCTATCCGCAGACGGCAGCAGCTGGAGCTGAATTGCGACTGCCAGCTCTGCTTTACGGTCCTCGTGCGAGTAAGCTCTCAACAAGTTGTCCGATTCCACACATCAGAGGAGATCTGTCCTCATCTAGTGCCGGCGCGACGACCTGGGTCGATTCAGCTCAGCAAACCAGCGTCTGCGCCGTTGCGTCGCAATCAGCCCTGTCGAGCTTCTGCCGAGTTGCCGCTACAGGCTTCCAGCTGCCAAGTTGTTCAGAGCACCTGAATTTGTTTTCTTCGCGGTACAAAGAGATAACATTCTGCAAGCAAATGCCCTCAAGATCCCTCAAGGATCTTGCAACACATAGACACGGAAATGCAACAGCAGCTCTGTGGACTGCACGATGCGCTGCACACTCCATTGTGATGCAAGGAGGCGAGCTTGGCACTCAAAGCCTCGGGCACCGAGAACTCTTCAACAAGTCAGCAATTGCATTCATGGCTCGCCACAGCTCGCAAATGCAACGTCAGCCCATGGTTACTGGTTTGCATAGAAGAAGTCCCGGACATCAAAGCCCCATTAAAGATCTGCCTCCACTTCCTCGACGGCCGGGGAGTGCGAGAGCGTCCGGATCCTGAGATGCACCCGCTCCGAAGGCATCTCTTAGCTCTAGGCACTCTAGGCCGTACGGAACGTGTGCTGTGGAGTGCTCCGAATGCTCCGGGGGGCGTAAGCTGTGCCTCGAACCAGGAGGCCTTCATCTCCACCTCTACGGCTTCCAGCTGGCAGTGTTCAAGGCCCAAAAGCGCAGCCTGAAAGCAGCGCGCAAGAGCTGGTGGACAGGGCCGGGCAGAAGTGCATGGTGGGCTCAGTGTGGGATCAGCTTTCTCATGATGTCATACTTTCAAACCACTCTTTCCTAGTTGGTCCTAGTCTCTCATCAGTGTCGAGCAGCCATGCCGGTCTTGACTGAGGATGCCGTGGGAGGTGATTTGGTAGAGTCGACCGAGTGGAAGCGCACACTCACTGCAAAGGTCCTCCCAGCATGTTGTCTGGGAAGGGCCCGGCGCGGTCTTTCAAAAATAGCACTTGATAGCACTTGCTTTGAAACCAGCTGCCCTGGCTGAGGAAGCTAAGTCGAGCATAGCACAACAAAAAGCTGCCCTTGCACACAAACACAAGCACCAAAACTACACCCGCACCCACAGACAAACAGACACACACACACACACAGACACGCACACACACACACACAGACACACACAGAGACACACACACAGAGACACACACACAGAGACACACACACACACACAGAGACACACACACACACACACACACAGAGACACACACACACACACACACACACAGAGACACACACACACAGAAACACACACAAAACACACACACACAGAAACACACACACACACACACAACACACACATACACCCACACACACACCACACCACACACCCCCAACGAAACACACACACACACACACACACACACACACACACACACACACACACACACCACACACACAGACACACACAGACACACACAGACACACACAGACACACACACACACACCTACACACTTACACACCTACACACCTACACACCTACACACCTACACACACACACACCTACACACCTACACACCTACACACACACACACACAGACACACACACAACACACACACACACACACACACAGACACACACACACACACACACACACACACACAGACACACACACACACACACACACACACACAACACCCACACACACACACACACAGACACACACACACACACACACACACACACACACACACACACACGACACACACACACAGACAGACACACACACACACACACACACACACACACACCACACACACACAACACACACACACACACACACACACACACACACAGACACACACAAACACACACACACCACACACACCACACACACACACAACACACACACACACACACACACACACACACACACACCACACCACACACACACACACAGACACACACACACACACACAGACAACGACACACACACACACACACACACACACACACACACACACACACACACACACACACACAGACACACACACACACACACACACACACACACACACACACACACAACACACACAACACACACACACACACACACACACACACACACACACACACACACACACACACACACCACACACAAACACACACACACACACACAAACACACAAACACACAAACACACACCAACACACACAAACACACACACACACACACACACACACAAACACACAAACAGACACACACAGACACAAACACACAAACACACACACACACACACACACACACACACACACACACACACACACACACACACACACACACAGACACACACACACACAAACACACACGCACACACAAACACACACAGACACACACAGACACACACAGACACACACAGACACACACAGAGACACACAGACACACACAGACACACAACAGACCACCACACACACACACGACCACACCAGACACACAACACCCAACACAGACACACACACACACACACACACCCCACACAACAACCACACACCCCCACCCACACACACACACACCCCAACGCACACACACACACACACACCCACACACACACACACACACACACACTCACACCCACACACCCACACACACACACTCACACTCACACTCCCACACCCACCCCCACGCGCACGCGCACCCGCACTTCGCAGGCCTCGTTGTGTGTATAATGAAATTCTGGGGGCTTTTTGTATTTTGGCATCCACTTGGTAGGACAACAACTGCGAAAGTTCTTGATCTTTCACACAAACCAACATTGTCTATCGTCCTTCACCCATGGCTGAGTCCCCCAAAAGAACCAAAGTTCTTACTTTCAAGGCTGTTCGTCAGCCCTGGCGGTGCATGGACCTTTCAAGAACAATGAATGGTGGCATCACCAGGACCGACCCGTGTCGTTGCCAAAGCTTGGACTTTCATGGCTTTGAGTGACACCACACCTGCCAGATTTCTCCCAACAATCGACACGACTGCTTTAGCAGCGTTATCTTACGATTTGCATCAGGGTTCCGCATTAGAGGGGTGCAATGAGTACAGCACTAGTTCACTGAGCAACGCTTTCCTTGGTGTTGAGCTGTGGTGGGTGGCATTGGTGCTGAAGCTAGCCTGAGAGCAAGTGCCAGACAGGCTCGCCATGTAACAAGTTGCACAGATGCAGCACTCCTGCCCCAGGGCCGAGCCTCCCAAGGCGCGCAGTGGGTCGGAGAACAGATGAGGCTGTTTTGCGACTCCTTTGCAATTTCAAGAAGTTGCATGGCTCGCTGACATGCACCACCAGCCATTTTATGCAAGTCTGGTCCTTGTATCGGATCGAATCAAGCTGGATGCCGCGATCAAACTCAAAGTGACGGTAGAACTTCAGCTTCTCAGCAGACAGGACGAAATAGCAAAAGACCAACACTGCGGATGCCGCGTGAATAATAGCTGTGGGTAGAGACACGTCAATTCCGACATTTTACGCAGCTTTTGCTGGCCCTGCTGCCGCGACACCTTCTTTAGGGCTCGGGTACGATGCAGGTGAAGCAAGCAGCCATGGAGGACGGCTCTGACCTGCTCGGCCAGCGCTGCCTGAAGCAGGCTGATTCAGCACGGAAAGGTGCTGTCACTCTGTACTTGCAACGTGCCGTCCGACCGAGTCCGAAAAAGCCCTGATCCCTGATCTCATGACACAGCTTTCTTCGTCCAAAATACATATCTTGCTTTCGGCACAGAGGTGCTCTCCTTGGCTGCGGCCAGAACAGTCTCAGGATTGTTTCTACGGGCTGGCCACGGCAGGCACAACTGCACTACATGCAACATGTTCAGACGCCCAAATTTCATGACATTCCTGCTTGATTGACCTGCCCATACAGACTCCTTCATTAGCGGGATGCTTGTGCGTTCATGTAGACTCCTGTGGGCGGTGTCGACCGATTGAGATCTGTTGAAACGCCGGTGTTTCCGGCAGGCATCAGAGGAAAGCTCTTCAACCCGTAGCCCTGCAAAAGCCTTGCAATACTCTGATCAGACCGTACGCACTTCAGGCGCCCTTTGATATGCCACTAGTATCGCATGTTACTTACCCTGTAGTACTCTTACTGCACCCCACAAGCCCCCGATAGTCTTACGTAATACTGTATGTGCACATGAATGCGCCCCTAACATCCCCTAACCCTAATCTTGCCAAGCATCCCCTAGGCGCCGGACTTCAAAGTCCACGGCATAGGCAAGAAATCCCGAAGCCACGGTCGCTGCCTCGGCTCCCACCTCACAGGTACGGAAGATGAGGGATCATGAGGGTAGTGGCTACCGAACAAGAAATGTCTTCCGGTCTCTGCCTGGGCAGGCTTGAGCACGCGCCTTGCCAGTGACATGGCAACAGTTCAGTCCCTCGATGCGAGCATCTCTCAGTGCTTTCCCGTCCCGGACTCAGATGAGTACAGAGAAGACCTCGGAGACGCTGCCAAGTCGCTGCTGGATCTTCTCGGTGTGCGCCGCCCGTGACCGAATGCCGGTCACGCGAAGCCAAAGTCCATCGAAGTGGAAAGGTTCCAGCACGCTGCTGTCCTAGAGCGCGATGCGACTTTCCTACATCTATACGTTTTCATGCTCAGTCATGGCCATGGGCCTAGAAGATTGCTGAAAGGAGCGGCTCCCGCTCAATCGCAGTAGAGAGTCTGGTGGCCGGATGGTAAGTGATGTGCCACGTACGTCTGGTACGGTTAAGGCCTCCCAAGGATGGCCCAACATGGCCCAACTGTGCGTGATATTATGAAAGCGCCGCTACCCTCTAAACTGAAACTACAAGCGTGCTGATGCGTGCTGCGCCGGCGCAGGGGGCACATCTGCACCCGCCCGGCCGGAACGGCGGCCGGCGCCTGTTTGGGTCGGTGTGGGTGGGAAAGCTGAAAGAGGCGGCGGCGACGATAGCCAGACGGCGATCGCCGCTAAGCTTGTCGCTTCGCACATGAACATGTGCTGCGCGACAAGCGCCGCTCTCCCTAGCACTTTTGCGTTCATGCGCTACGCGCGCCCGGGCTGCAGTCCGCCGAAAATCCGGGTAGGCAATGCGAGAGCGCATTCTGCACCCGCGCTCGGCTTGATCTAGGCTCCATCTCCCGGTCGGACTCGACGAGGGGCGCCTGACTCCGCCGAGCTTTCACGTGGTCAACCTGGTCCTCCTGCAGCCGAAAAAGACGCCCGGCGTCGGGACCTTCTGGCGGGGGTGCCGGCGCCTGCGACGGCGAAGATACCGCCAAGGGTGGCTCCACTAAGCCAGTGACAGTGATTGTGCCGGCGCAGTCGTCATCGATCGTTTCCTGGCCGGGCTCGTCGATCGTGTCGTGACCGCCTCATCACAGGGGTGGGGGGGGGGGGGCCCAAAAGAAACGCATGGGCGGCGACAAGTCGTGCACGCGTCTACATCGGCACTGCCGCGACGACGCCGAGCGCCGAGTCGGTATTGGCCAGCACCGAAGATGCGGACAGGAAAGAAGACATTGCGTCGGCGACGAGAATGTCCATACACAGAAAGCTGAAAAGAGGCGGCTTCAGCTACGTCGATCGACGCCGCTAAGCTTGTCCCTACGCAGGCCACGCACATGAACATGTGCTGCACCACATGATCAAACAAACACACGCACACAGCGTTCAGTCCTATCAGTCATGTTGTGGCGCCTCGAGCTTCTCTGCTTGCAAGTGGTACTGCAAGGCTTCTAGAAACCTTGTGACAATGTGAGGTGAGGGTGCAGGTAAGGCTGCACTGCAAAACTCGACAGCCAAGCAACCAATCTTGAATCTGCGATTCTGCAACGGGGGGTCCATACTCTGATGGAGCTGTGCCACGCTGGATAATGTTTGCGTACCTTTCATGCGATTAAGATCGTCGCGCAATCACACCAGGAAGTACCTAGATGAAGGCTGCTGGACATGACTTGCCAGGAGGCCCATCAAGGACGATGAAATCTTCCAAGGTGTCCTCAGATCTGGGCATAACATTTCACAACCACGGATCCTAGTCCTGTCCGTGTGCGTGTGATTGCCCTGATCATGGAGAGGACTCCGGAGGGGTTTCGCAAACATGGGAATCCCTCAGCCGAAGCACATCCACTGTCAGCCGACCGTAAGTCACAGACGTCGCTTTCAACATAGAACGCAGGACGATTCCGGGACCAGGGCACGGGTCTCACCACGCTTTCAGCACGCGTGCAACTGGCAAGGCTAGCTTCGGCTTGTCAAAGACTTCTATGGCCGCCCAGGAAACGACATGTCCGAAGCAAAAAGCCGGAAAACATCCAAAACATGTGACGCGGAAGCAGCCTTCTGATGCCCCTTGCACTCCGGGGCTCCAGTCGGCTCTGAACACAGGGACCAGCAAGCACCACCGGTGAGCATTGGGCGCTCATCCTCTTGGGGCGAATCACAAAACATTCTTGACAGCCTGATGACGACTGCTCTCTGGCGATCTACCATGCAGATCCCATCCTGCGTGGTAGCATGTGTTGTTCCAGCGGCTTGCTGGAAGCCCCACCTGCATGAGGCTGTGGCCAGGACCGGCATGGTGCAACAGGGGAAATCTTGCCACCGGCACCACCCGCCTATATGGCAGCTGCTGGATCTAAAGAGCCTTGTCATTGTAGGACCAGCATAAAGCGGGGCTACAACAGTTCATAGCATGTGCATCATTGCTGGCGGGCTGCTGGAGCCCCACATCAAAAGCGAACTCCTGGAAAAATGGCAGCCTTAGTCCCACCAGTTTTTGTCGGGGAAAGTGCAAGTCATGGCGAAGGAGGGAGCAAGAGTTCGACCGTAGCCAGGGAGCGCTGCGAACCGGCGCCGCACCGCCTCCAATTCAGGCCACCAAGCTTGAGAGCACGGCCAACTCATACCCCCAATTCATCATACAGATATCCAGCGTGCATCATACGCTCGCATGCGCACACGCTCTATCGACATTCATGCTGATGCTGCGTCGTCGCGTGTCGCTACGTGCTGCAGGGAGAGACTGTCGCACGCAGCGTGTGGGCCTGGCTGTGGAACTTTCGAAGTGATGTACACAGCCGCGTCAACTCTGCAGCAACATCGTGCATGCTGTGTGCCATCACCTGCGAAAGGCGAAGCCAACATTTTCAATATGCCACGCTTCCAACAACTAGCCAGCTGCAACCAAGGCCTCGAATTCTACAGTGTATGAAGCTGAAGAGGCATCTGAAAAGATCTCCGATAGTCCTCGTGGCACCAATAAGGCTGGAGGCAGGGCTCCATCTGGTACACTGAGCACAGCATGCAGCATAGAGGATCCCTCCACCAAAGCTTTGGCCATGTTAAACTTGCGGGTTTCTTGCACTTCCTCATCTGTCCTCTTCTGAAGCCATCTCGTACATCCTCATCATCGGAGTCGGATGCAGCCTGCGGTCGGACAAGGAGTTGTTTCCCTGGCTGCAGCACTGTCGCAACCAGCAGCATGTCCTAGCCTTCGCTTCAAGTTCCAGCTTCTCCATGGCCTCTAAGAAGTCCGTGACCAATCCACTCCGCTGTTGACTTGCTGGTCGGAGTTGGATGCACGTGATCACCTCCAAGTCGTGGATGCCCATGCAACTTGCCATGTGAGACGCGATGCTATACCAATGCCACATTAAGGCTCAAGCAATGTCGTTCTTTGCGACACCGCAGGCCTGCCAGGACCATGTTCACCGCACCTTTTGTGCCCCCTTGTAGCCGATTACAGCCCTGACAGGTCATGGGATGCCAATGTGACAATGTGCCATAGCTGCCATGGCTGCCTGGTGCAAGGCTTCGGCGAGCATGTCTGCCAAGCGCAGCGGCCAAAAGCGGCCATGCGAGCAGTGGAAGTTGCCCACCTGGCTCTGCTCTGCTCTTCTGAGGGTGCCTCCAACCTTTTCTTGCCTAGAGACCTCAGCAGAAGTTTCCCCCACCACGCGATCTAGGCAAAAGCGCTGTAACGGTACGAATCCTGCTACCGCAGTCACTACCTGTGTAGACGCCGACCGCACATGACCGCACCGACTTAGTAACATCGTCTCGCATGCAGGCGCTGCAAGACCCCGCTGTCGGGATAGCTATGAAGGTCAGATTGCTTGGGCGAATCTATTACTTTCGGTATGCTCCGACAAGGAATTTCTCAACCGAAAATGGGCTTGCCTTGCTTCGTAGGTCGAGGTGAGCCAAGACCTTTGGCCTAGGCTAGGAAGCATGTGGGTCACTGGTCGCTCACACATCAGGCATGTGACAGGTGTGCAGAGCCTTCGATACATTTTACAAAGTCGAATCACAACTTGATGCGTTCTTCTTGGCTTCGCTTGCCCATGGCCCCCCTGAAGTGCAAGGGAGCTGCTGAGGTTCCAAAAGGTCACGTTCGAGCGACACCAGCTTCCATTCCCTCTCACCCCGTTGGTCACAGGTCTGGGCTTCGTGCACAACCTTTCAGCGCGGGACATAAGAGTAGGGCGCACTTTGCCCGCGTGAGCCGCACGTACTGGCAAGCTTCAAGAACTCAGCACCTGCATGAAACACCCATTGACTAGTGTATGTCAAGGCGCGACGCCGATGATGAAATACCTTGCTCAGTTGACAGAGGTGGGAAACATGGGCAAGTATAGACGTCTCCGGCACGACATGCTGGCTAGTGCTTGCTCAGACACTGCTGAAAGAAAGGCAAGTGCCCCCACCGCCGCAGCACAGCAGTGCCTAAGTGGAGCGGCAGAACAATCTTAAGAAAGAAAACCACAGTGGTGGGGGCGGGGGTGGGTGGGCTGATTGTTCGCCCACCTCCTTTGAGTAAGTTTAGGGCAGTTGAGGGGCATGGTGCGTGCATGGTACTTAAACACGGAGGCAAGGGGTCCCGGGTGGTCAGAGCCTTCCAGATTCCCGAGCCTTCCTTTGGGGGTTCCCAGGGTAACTTGTAGAAATCGGAAAGCGAATGTACGTTCCTGGGCTATCCTGGGCTGGTTCATGGAAGCTCGGGAAGCTCCAGAAAAAGCCGTGAAACCCTTAGCCCTAAACTCTCAGGCCCCCGTCACCTGCCTCTGACCTGTGACTGCTCCAGGCTACCGCACAGGCTATACTATGAACATCTATGAAGACTGGTCTGTGTTACAGGCCAAACAGCATTCTCAGTGATGAGGTTTCAAGTTCAGACTACAAAGGTGGAGTCGGCAAACATGCAGTCGACCCCAGGCAGTGTTGAGGAAACAACCATCGGGGGTCATGAGCCGAGAAGCTGTGCAGGTTGCTTGTAGCTTCCAAGACGGATCGCAAGTTTTGCTCATGGGCGACCTCGGCCAACCGTCCAGCCAACCCTGCTCGCGTGTCGCTAGAGGTTTGCTTCAAGGCTTGAGCACACTCTCATCTTTCAAGTTGAATTTGCAAGGTGGTACCTTCTGAATTGCAAAACTGGTCATCTGCGGCTCTCACCCTTCCAAAACCGAAAAGCTACTGAAGTAGGTGGCCCTGCGCAGCTGGAGAAGTCGATCTCGAGCTTCACACTGTACACCAACCTGGCTGCATCCCGCCATTTCGAATGTCGAAACTTTAATATAATCTATAACATAAAATGTATGATATAATCTATAATATAGCCTCCGGAATTTTGATGCAACTGGTGTGCATCCAAGCGGCGCTGGTCCTTCTCTTGATGCTGTGCCTGGGCTGGCTGCAACGGGCGCATTCCGGTGATGGACTGCGTAGGGCGGGAAGCTGCAAAAGTGCTCGGGGGCTGGCGCTTCGGAAGGTCACTCCTACAGAGAGTTGAACATGTAGCGAGCCAGAGCAACATCCGAGCAATTCAATCGAGAAACAAAACGGAACATCCGTGTTTGGCCTTGGTGACACGTTGAGGATGCTCACCCGTGCCGATTCAATGCCAGTGATGACGTGTAGGCTGTCCTGCACTTACATGATGATTTCAGATTCATTATTCAATATTCTGCGGACCGTGCATTCAACCTTTGAAACTTCGCATAGTTTCCTAGCTGAGTGTGGTGACTGTGACAAGTAGGGGAGGATCGTACAACTGCACTCACTCATGTTTGAATTTGCTGCAGTCCGCCAGCAATGCCACCAGGTGGGTGGCACCGTTGCCTGCAGCGCACAACACGTTAACAACGTGCATCCCGGATGCATCCCCAGCATTCCAGGGCTTGACGAGTGAAGGCGCGGCCCTCTGCACTGCCAAGCTGCGCTGGATGGCTCCGAACCGATCGACCACCTCGAGCTCTTCCCAGACCATGAAGCCTTGCTTGCTCCTCGGCGTCATGATGTGTCATGCGGCACCACAACAACTCCCTCAGCTGTGTACGGAAGGTAAAGGATTTCAAAACAAACAACAACGCATCAAAGCCATGACGAGTCTTCCGCCAAGCCACTCCTGGCTTGGTTGAGAGAGCTGCCACGAGTGGCACTCGCCACTGTTGATGCTGCTGGTCGCAAAAACTCGAGCTGGCCGTTTGACAGTCACGCCCCTTGTGGCAACGACACAGAGCTTGCAGAAAACCTAACGACACAAGCACAACATAACTCCCGCACTGTGCAAGCACGGCGCCTGAAGATGGCTTCACTTGCATCCTTAACAATCATTGGGGGCATGCAACATCCGCAAGCAGATTTCTGGGTGGAACACAGTGGCCCGACCTTTAACCGATTGGCACCATGATAGACACTGCCAACCCTGTTCAACCTCTCTACCAGGATCGCCAGTCCAAACCGTGTCGAATGGAGGATATGCAGACCCTTGGTGCATTACGGCCCTTTGTTTCTTGTTCACGTTTGTTGGCATCGTTTCATGCACCGGCGGGTATCAGGTCCGAAGCCAGGCTATGGCTAGGAAGCAGGCCGTTGGGCGAAGGTATGTCGTGTGCGCTCAAACTGCGGTGGGGGAGATGAGTCTCCTTTCTGCAGCCTGAGCTCGACAGCAGCCCAGTCAGCAAGGCCTTTCTGATGAAGAGACCAGATGAGCTGATGAATCGTACCTGATTATGCGCAGCTTCTAGCCCCAGGCTGCAAAAACAACCTGCGCAAAGCAACGCTTGTTAATGGAGGACAGCCGCGGGATTCCGCGGAAATCGGTGCTAAGACCTGAAAGTCCATGGTGTAGTCCTTGGTCAAGTATTGATACTGCAGCTTCATGTGTGCGCATTGTCACATGAGCAGTACAGGCCGTTCATACTAATGGCTGACCACTGTGCCGAGGTTCTTTCTTCGACTTCAGCTGCCACATTCGGACATTTTTAAATTCCAGGCTCATCAGGTTGTAGTGCGACGCAATCTTCTTCAGGATGTGGACAAATTCGGAAGCACAACGATGACCTTGGTCAAAGAGTGCCTTGATAATCGCTTGGGTTAACGCTTCGCTTCACCGACATCCAGCCATAACAGTTCCCAGCCATGCCATGAACTAGGGCTGGAGTTGTTGACTCTTGCCGTCCCCCAGTGCCAGTAAATAGGACCCTACAGCATGTGTGCAGTGCTTGCAGACGCGATCATGCTGGCGATTCTGGCCTCCATGCTGATGGAGCCAGCCGCTCTCATCTGTAATGTCCAGGTGGCAGCGGAGCAGCGTGGAGTTGCCACCTCAACGTGCTGGACTGCGCCGAAGTTCGTGATTCTGTGCATATGTATGTAAGCATACATGCCTGCATCCGTACATGCAGAGGTATATGTATGTATATATATATACACATACCCGTGCATAGTATAGTATAGTATATATATATATGAATAAGCCAGAATGCTTTATGTAAGTGAACCAATATGCATAACTGTGTACACAAGCTTTGAGGATGGTTGCTGCACGTTGCTAAAGTACTGATTCTGAACACGATTCTGCTGAGTAGCTGAGCAGCTGCCCCTGCTTGGTTTGTAGATGCTAGGCTGAGGCAGCCCCGGTGCTTCGATCAAGTGCTTCTCTTGGCCGAGTTGCAAGCAGGAGCGGCAGGAAGATGATGCAGAGTGGATTCGACAACCTTTAGACAGCGAACGTCACGCAGCGCGGTGCAGCATCTCACAACTACAGCGAAATCTGCAAGAGTCGGCATTGGGTTGCATAGGGTCATTAGTCTCCTTGAGTGCTGAAGCACAAGTCTAAGAATCCCAGAAGTCGTTTCTAAACGTCCTGGCAGCGGACCATGGAGTTTCCAAGAAGATGGGGCAAGCCTAGCCACGGGCAGATGCATCTCTCTCGTGCACAAGGACTCTCTCAGCTGTCAGCGGTGTTCACAAGGCAGCCATGCTCACAGCTAAAGAGCCACATGGTGAGGCATTTAGATGGCATCTAGATTTCGCCGGATCATGCACAGGTGGAACATGGTGGAACAAACAAACAGCTGCTTTACATGCCTCGAGCTTCCAGCTCCACAAGATCGGTTTGCAGTGTCCGCATGTCCTGGCGTCAGGATGATAACAACAGATTGGTGCTCATGATGCTTGGATCGTCGCGTCGTGTATCATGTCTCCACAGATGCGTAAAGCACAGGCACAGTAGGTTACGCATGCATTCTGCGCCCGACCCTTTGAACACAAAATCGGCACGTGTACAGCATCGCCTCCAGCGTCGGTGCCTCCACTCGGGGGCGGAGGTTGAAGTGAAGTCGCCGAGTGCCAGATGCACCCCGAAGCACCTGGCACAGGTGTGACCCTAAGTCCTAAACCCATCGATGCAAGCTAGGACGCACAACATGGCTGCGGAGTGCTGCTGATCCCACGAGCTCCCAGTTTCGTGGCACTGCTCCCGCACTACCGACGTCAAGGTCTCGCTTCGGTTTTTGACATCTTCCAGCTCTCTTTGCCAGAATTCCAAGTAAAGAGCTCTAAGTGGAGGTGCTGCTGAGGTATGTTGAGGGTTAAACTGTTAAACACCTTCAAAGCAACAGCTCGCCCGTTCGTCCTGGAGAATCAGCTTATGTGCTTTGGTGTCCAAATGTAACTACGCAACTTAGCATCAACTTAGCTGCATGGTAGCCCAAGCTCTGCTGGTGCTTTGCCAGTGTGCCAAGCGCTGAAGGCTGAAGGCGCGCCTGCACTTGTTCCGGTAGCCCCAGCAGTGATAGCTGGCTCAGCACTTCTTGGACCCGGTCCTCATTTGGGATTCTTTTTCAAGTGTCACTCGATTTTTTGGTTGGGGGCTTCCTCCTATCAGTCCTATCAGAAATCCACAGATGCAAAAAGTGTCTGTACAGAGAACCCTCCCGAATTTAACCATCTTGCGACAACGACAATGGCTCGAACATCCGATCACAGCGAGCAATCTAGCAAGGCCAGCCTATCCGCAAGAGCAGCTTAGGTTCCGAGGGCAAGCTGTCCACGACATCTGCGGGCTCCAAGATGTCCTTACGATCTGATTTTCCATACGACAGTCGCTGGATTACTAACCACGAGCCAGTGGCCATGCGGGCAGCGAGATGAGAATAGCTCCGGCAGCCTGCTAACCTGCAAAAGAAACAAAAAGCACTGCATCACAGGAGGCTTGCTTCTGAAGTTGACCTATGTTGGCCGAGCGGCGCAGTCGACGATGGTCCACCCTGGTTATCGATGCAGCAGCTGGTGCTCACATGAATATCGCCTCACACCATGCAAGGTGTGGATTCTATTCCCCCTGAACCTGCTCTCGCATTGACGTAACTGAGCACGTGACCATTGGCGGGGAACTTTTGGAAGAACTCTCTCGAGCTCTCTGCAGTCTTGATCAAATGCCTTGATCTTGAAAAGTCGCATTCTGATCTTGAACCCATGCCTGCCTTCAGTACAGCATTCAAGCCTAAAAGCCTCCGAGCGTCAACCTCTGTTGCATGGCGCGGAATTCCCGAATGGAGGTATTCGCCGGGCAGATTTCTGCCTGACATCGCACTTCTGCTGACCATCTGCCTTCAGTGTTCCGCTTGCTGCATTGCTTGCAGTGGTTTGGGGCTGTCCCGTGCCCTTCTGCCTTCAGCACAATCACGTCTGTGTCAGGACGGACACATCCCATCGCCTAGACAAGCCCAGACTCAATGCATCGTGCATGGCACTGTCTCAGACTTGTTGACTCTTACAATTATAATCACTACAAGTATCGCATTGAGATTATCCTGAACACATGCATGGCAACAGGAACGAAACTGGTACGAGACCGGCCATGACCGGCCCTTAGAACAAGCCATGCAGGCTTTATTGCACTCGTGGCTCTCCCTATGTAATTAGAAGGCCAAACCACAAATCGCAAAGAGCTAGCGATTTGGACTCGCAACCCCAAAATTACTTGTGGAAACATGCCCAAATCACAAATAGCACGATTTGGGTTTTGAGCCGCTAACAGAAGATCCAAATCGCCGTGTAAGTTGCTTACGCGCTGCTTATATGTGGGCGCTGCGGGATGCAACTGTACACGTCTTGGTAGGCCTCCAAAGCAGCACTGCTCCCTCCCTATCTCGGTTTCGAGTTTGCAGGGTTTCGGCCTCAAGTAGTTGATGTTTTTGCGGCTTGGGGGCTTTTGGTCATCAGGCACTGGTCCCCAGGCAAGGGGTGTTCATCGCTGGGGAAGGCATTTTGCCGAAGCCTCTTCGGGGGGCTGTTTGGAGCCTGGTCTAAGCCAACGCACAACCAATTGACCCGCAGGTTTTGCTTGTTTTCAGGTGCTTCGCTGTTCTTCACGGATCGGGGGGGTGGAGGGGTGGGGGATGGGGGGCGGGGGTTGGTTGCGACCATGTTCCTAGCCATGCCCAAAACACCGGTATTTACAGCGTTTTGGCTCCTCTATACAACGTGCTCTGTCACGAACCTTCTGCAAACATGCCCACAACACTGGAATGTTCAGCGTGTTTGCCTTGCATATAGAAATACATTGCAAGAGTATGCTTGGTGTTTCCGCAACCAGACGCGCTAACTATTCATTCTTTTTTGGCGAACATGCCGCAAACACTGCTAGCTACAGCGTTTTTGCTTGATTCTACAACATGCAAGACCGCGGGCACAAATCTTCGCAACCTATGATGCAGCCAAAAACCCGTAAACTTCAAAAAATGATAATATGCACTGTATCCGGAAAACCGTGAAGACGTGTTTGCGAACGACCATCAGACCTCAAACCAAAACGTGGTTTTGGCCTGGCTAAAAAACAGAAAACAAGCTTCCCACAGTCACAAACTTAAGAAAAAAGGCTCCAAAACTTGGGCAAGTGCGCGAGGTTAGCCCTTCCCCCAAAACAATCTGAAGTCGAAAGCGTCGTTTTCTCTCGGAAAAAATTCAAAATATATACCGGAAAAAACCGTGCGCCTCTGGAAAAAGCCTTGCTGCTACTTGCCCAAACCTAGTCAAGAAAATCGTGTCCTCTTCAGCCTACACAACCACATTCCAAATCGCTCACGATTTGGCTCGTGATTCTAAATCCGATTTAAAATCGCTAGCGATTTTCCATGTAAGCCCTAAGCTGCATATGCCGACTCTGCATGCCTGCACGCAAAGGTCTTCTGGACGGTAGCCAGTGAAAGCGGCAAGAACATCTTGGAACTCTCGGCAAGGTCCTTCTTCCAGGACGCAAAGCTCCACATCGCTTACTTGAGTACAACGTTGCAAGTATTTCGAAGAGAGTCTGAGTGCCTTTCCTTCTGGACTAGTAGCCAGGACGCCCCGCTTGTCCAACACTTCACACTGGAGATGTATAGCAGCATCTGCCTGCAAATAGCTTCCGGCCTTCAGGGAAACTGTGCGTATGCATGCCAGGAGCAGCTGTCATGCTGACTTGTGCGGGCATCGAGCTCGTTGCAGCGAAGAGTCGTCCAGTGCGTGTTCCTGAGTGTTTTCTCTCCATCTACGCACCTGCAAGCGGAAAAGGGCAGACCAATGTGGAGCGGGTAGCCAGCAAACAGTTGTCAAGCTTCTGCCAAAGTCTAATGAAACAGAAGATGCCCGCACAACCGGACGTATCAGACACGATGCAATCACAGCCGAGATTGCCTCCTCAGCCGCCGGTGCAAACAGATTGGCAGGGTACTTGGCAGGGTAGACGGTCTGACACAAGTCACGCCAATAGGTTGGCGTATGGGGCTGGTGTACCTCACCAGGTCGTTTTTACAACATTTCGCGACACTTGCGTATGCATGATTGTTAAAGTTCGGAGTTTAAGGTTGACAGTTCAAGAATCTAGAAGCTCACGAGACAAAAGGCTGATGGAGCCATGTCTATGCTGTTCCGATGTGGGGGCTGGTCACCGCTTCAAGTCCCCGCGAGAGCTGATGGGCCATCGTAGTCTCGGGCTGCTTTGGGGAGGTGTCAGCCTCAACGACCGGACAGTTTGGAAAGCATTGCAACAAGATTATGACACTTCAGAACGAGCACCCCGGGCCTTGCAACTGGTTGGGGACATATTGCTCGCGCTTCCGTGCCCAAGGATGTCGGAGTTAGTTTGATGACTTCCGCTTCGGACTGCATCATCCTGCCCATGTTTAGTTGCGAACCAGGCATAGGAGGATATGAGGACTTACAGTCAAGGCTGCTGGATCACAGCCTCTGACTGCTGGCTGCAGAGATGATCGGCTTGCCGAGGTACAAAGGGCTGCGTGTCAGCCTCCGATTTCAGAAATGTTTTACATGGACGTGCTCGGGATACTCAAAGACGGCTGCCAGAAAACAAAGCTCCCTACCTCATCGGTGGCAACTTGGACGACTTCTCGTGTTCCGCAATCGCTTTCCTGAAAGCCAGGGCAGACAAGATGACACCAAGGAAATGTGAGATCTTTCAACTTTGATAGCACCAGCTTGACAGGCCAGACATCTCGAAAATGAGCTGCCAACGGTCGATCTACTCTCTTGGCATGCTCGTTGATGAAGAGTCTCCCTGTAGCTTGGACTGGGTCACTGTCAAGATTCATTCCAGAGATCGAAGCTTTCCATTCCTCAGACTTCTGAGAACCGGACTGCCGATCCGAGATTTCTCTCCACTTGTCAGAGTTTCTCCACTTCTGGAATCCCTGATGCACATGCAGCGTGCCAGAATCGTGAGCGCTCCACATAAGCCCTAACAAGCCCTCAAGGGCTCAAGGCTCTAAACCCCGCCTGTGGAGAGAAGAAAATGGCACGAGAACTGCGCTCACTGTGCTTGCTGAAGACGTAGTCGATGCCCAACCAAAGGTCTGGACACCTGGGTCATGAGGGCTGCGCAGATTCTGTTGCTGTAGGGCTTCAGGGGTTCATGTGTTCTGTGTTGAGATGTGTCGAGTGTGTTAATTGAAGTCTACTGATCAGCCTGAGGCCGTCGCTGCTCCACGACTTCACGTGTGGCCTCTACACCGTTGGGGGCAAAAACGCATGAACACGTCCTCAACCCAAAAAAATCTTGCATCAAACACAATACACGTTCCCACATCTGACGCAGCACGCCTGCTGACAGCGCTTTGGGAAGAGTGATCTCCAGACCGACTCCTGCTTTTCGGAGGGCTTGCATGGGCAGGTGCAACTTTAGGGTTTCAGATAGCTTCGTGAACAAAACTGTAAGTCTCGGCGTGTCATGATGATCATGTTTCAACATTAAGCAGTGTCCACGACAACTCCGAAACTGTTGCATGAGCTCTCCATGACGTGGCACTGTAGGAGGATGAGCTGGGTGAAGATCGCCACATCCTGCCGGCCTCGGTCTCGTCGAATATTGGAAGCAAAGTCCCAAACCACAACCAGCAAAAGCGACAAAGGCATATAAGATAGCTGATAGGACTTGGGGGATTCTTGAAGCCTTAAACGGAAGGAGTGAACTCGATATTCCCGGCTAGACTCAAGTCAAGCACACAGAGAGAGACTTGCGGGCCAGGGTGCTCTTGCTTTTGCTGAAAGCCACTTTGACAAAGAGCTGCTCAGAGAATGACCCCCTCAGCACCTCTGCTTAGAGGCAAATGCTGGCATCCATATATCAGGACCGAGCGCCACTGAAGGCAGGATGACCACTGGCAGACGTGCGATGCCGCAGCCAATGCCTCCTCTGTGTCATCGCACCCGGGAAGATACACAAAATCCTGGCTCTGCACTGCCTTGGCAAATGCGGGTCAAAGGCCACGGCCTTGAGATTCGCGGTTTACATCCACGCATGGAAGATGCCTCCTCGATCTCCTTCAGGCGCCTTCGGATACCAGCACAATGCTTGCTCCAGGCCTGCACGTGGGAGGAGTGCAAAATTTTTGCAACTAAGGCACCCATGGGGGTTTACGCGATATAGGGGTGATCCCGTTACAAGCACCCAAGAGGAAACTGAATTCAGATTTGTGAACTCTCTCGGCCTCCAAGGGACTTTGCGAAAGCCTCTTCCAGACACCTCGGACAGTTAAGGCACAAAGGGACACACGAAAGTATCCCAGGATTCTGTAGATGTCGCAAGCACGGACGAGCTGCCCAAGTGATCTGAATAGGTCGCAAAGATGCTATGCTCCTGGATGCAAGGTTCACATGTTGAATCTGTGTGCTGAACTTCCAAGCAGGTGCGGCTCCTTTTCCAAGCCCTCTTCAATGTTGTGTCCTTCCGCTTCGTGAAGGGTCGTGAGGCTTACAGTCAGAGGTCGAGATGGTTGCCGAAGCATTGGTGTGAACTGTGGTGAATTGGGCTCGTATCCATGCAGTCAGGGTGCTGTTCCAATTTACAATCGATGCCACCAGGTCTTCTTTGGTTGTTGCACCGGACCTTCCAGCGGACCTTGCACAGGCGCTCGCTGTTGCCACCGAGCGCCATCGAAAACTTCGACTCCACAGCCTACGTTTTGCAGCCAAGGGTCCTATCGTCTGCGCTCTCCATCTCGTGGTCTGCGATCATGTACACGAAGTGCCACATAAGCTCATCCTGCTCTGCCATCCTGGGCACTCAGCTCATCATGTCCTACGACGCTCTGCACGACTTGTCCCCTGCAAAGCTACGCCTCCCCAGGTCCTGCAAGCCAGCACAAAGTCTTCCCGGGATAAGGAACTCTCTGCTTCTGCGTGGACAGAGCTTTTGAACCTGATGCTATGCTTGGCCGGTGCGGGAAGCTCAGATCAATATCAGGTCTAGTCAGTGCCAAGGTTGAGGACAAATTGCAATGCCTCTTCTTCCATCACATTGCAGATGCGTGGCAGCTTTTGCACGAGCTTCTTCATTTTGACATTTTCGAATTGGAAGAGTTCCCTGAGCTCAACATTGCAGTCATCCTCCATGGCCTTCCACCACTCTTCCATCCTCACAAGGCATGCAGCGTGCCAATAAGACACTTGGGCAGGTTAAAGGCTTCACTGAACCTGCCAAGGCCTCCAGCCATAGGCGTATGGGGAGCATAAAGCAGGTACCCCACCTTCAAACCCCCCTCCCCCTCCCGCCCCTCCCTCCCTCCTCCCCCCCCACACCGTCCGCACTGCTTCCTCCCAGTGCCTAAACATGGGCAGGCCCAGGCCGAGGCGGCCATGTAGCATTAACATGCATTAAATGCCTTAACATTATATTTGGATGTCTTTGGTCGAACGCATATGCCAAGGCACGAGATCTTCTCATTGTGATCGCTGTCGACGGAATCGAAGAGACGATTCCACTTCCGCTCCTTGAGCTGATCAGTGGGACCGCCTCTGATGATGTTTTTGCGTTTTGAACGAACCTGCTGGTAGGGTTCATGGGACTATATATGGGTGTATTGGGCACCGAGTTGCCGCATTTAGTAGCTTTGAAATGCAAAGTACAGATGAGTGCAGGCGGGACACCGTGATGTAAGAACCGGCCGCCGAGCCTTTCGAAGCGATGCTCCTGTTATTACAACTCACAAACATAGAAGCTCCACTGAGAGAGAGAGAGAGAGAGAGAGAGAGCGAGAGCGAGAGAGAGAGAGAGAGAGAGTGTGGCCCACACACACACACACACAGAGGGTTTAGAACAGATGGGCTTAAGACATGTCTATTTTGGGCTGTTGCATTTGCAATGTGGCGAGTCCAGCAGGCGTTGGCCAATGTGGCGACGCAGCTCTTGAACGCAGCTCGCGTGCGGGCAGGCAGAGAGTAACCTTTGTAGCTCCACACACACAGAGACATTGCCATGGCATATCAACAGCTTATGACAATTTAACTCAGCAACCTTGTCTCTCCAAAAGAGCTGTCATAGCACGAGACCGCTGAAGTCTCCAATATCGTCACGGATCCTTTGATGTCATGCTGCTGCAGCTCCTCGTCAAAAGCAAAGTAGCCTGCAGAACGGCGAGCGAAGTCACCAGAGCAGGATAGAGCAGGAAGAGCTGCCAGCAAGCTCAGCAAATGAAAGTGTCCAAGCTTGAGGCCTGTCCAGGAGCTGAAGCATGCCAGAATCTGCTCAACTCCGCTGCGATACAGCCTCGATTTGCCAGACCCAGGACGTTGTCCTACATGAGTTGCTTGCGGAGTGCAGTACCGGTGCCCTGAACTTTAAGAGGCCTATCAGCACACGACCAGGTGCAAGACGCATAAACCGCATATCATGTGCCGCAGCCAAAGTGCTCCACGCCCATGTAAAGTAGAGGGCTCGTATCCTCAGCACTTTCAGTCCGCTCCAGGCAATCTGGACTGTTTGACTGTCTATGACTTTCTTTTCGCTTTTGTTGCCAAGCTTCTCCAAATGCCGCTTTCAGCTCGGCGGAGGACACGGGCGAAGCCGATTCCAAGCGAAGTGTCTCTAAAACTCGGCGCAGTGACTCTTCCTCATCCTGCGCAAGTTACTAAGTTCTGCTTTGCGTTACGGGAGCATAAGCCCAGAATGACATGACCGCACAGTGGTATAGAGTGGCATCGTATGGCAAAGTGCAAGCGCAGCGGCCTCTGAGAAGAGACACTGAGCCGCGGCCAGAAGCAGCTGGACGGGCTCCTGAAGCTGCTCGAAATCCTTGCGTGAGGCCTCGGATCCCACGCTTCTCCCGCAAAAACACAGCTGAACCTGAACCTGTCTGAGGTCTGAGCACACTGCACACTCCTTGTGCTAAGGTGGGCGCTTGCTTCGGCAACATCTTCTGCAGCATTCTGAGCAAGGCTTCTTCACCTGACATGGGGATGGGGGCGTAGGCAATGCAGAGGGACTTCTAATGTGGGTTGTATCAAAGTTCAGAAATTTAGGCAATTCTGCCGTAAATGCCCCTGCAGTAAATGACAGCCCTCACGTAGAGCACCCACCCACTCGCGTTGAAGAGTGGTGCCTTCCAGCTGCAGTAGGCGCATGACGCCAGTTGCGCGCACAGGCTTTGCTTCTGGTGGCCCAAAGATCAGCTGGAGCTCTACTTTGGCAAGACACTCTTGGCAAGCTTTCAATGTAACCATTCTGGTGGCGGTGGCAAAGATGCTGCTCTGGCGTCCAAGGCCGGAAGATTCAGAAGTCAAGAAATCGAGAACTGCCAGAAGGGCAAGAAGCTCACCCAATCCCCCGGGACTCCTTCCAATCGCCGTGCAGACTCGGAGACATAAGGCATCTTACGGCAACCTGCAACCAGCACATCACCCGCAGTCCTGTCCGTGGAGCCATCCTTCACTGCCTGCAGCCCGCGCTGTGAAACCTTCGCCGCAAACCACGTTCCAGCCACGAAGGCGATGCTCGGGCGAGGCTCCTGTCTTGTCGCCCATCTGTCTTAAGTTGCGTCGAAGAGAACGTTGCTGCAATTTGCTGCACCAAGGGGCACAGGGCAGTGCCGTCTCCAGGCATACCAGCCTCAGCGCGAGGTGGGCTTGGAGCTCCAACAATACGAGACAAAAATCTGCAGGTAAACCATCCTAAGGTCCTGAGCCATAGGCATGAGAGAGACTCATGAGAGAGACTCCACAGCTGATCTAAGCAGCTGACAAGTGCCCTTGAACTTGCTGGATGCGTTCTTGCAGATGGTCGAGGCCATTGATGCGAAGTGACTGAACCTGCAGGCCGCGCTTGCATCTTGATACAACCTCTGACAATTTTATTTCAAGGACTTGCCATGACACCCTTCTGGTCGGGGGCGGTGCCTTCAGGCGGAGGCATTGCCCCGCACGCCAAGGGGATTCTGTTTTTGCACAGCCAAAAGGGGATGAGCTGAATTTGATTCTTTCCCCTTCGTCTTGCTGCCGGTGCGAGTGTGCGTGTTTGGTACGTCCACCCAGCATTTTCCCAGCTCGGATTACCTGCTCGGAGCATCGAACTCTTGCCGGATCTCCCCAATGACGCAAGCGGAGGAGGGAAGAGATGGCGGGAGGGAACGTTTCCCTTGGCCGGAGGGCACCCCAGGCGTCCACTCACTCACTCACTCACTTGCCATGTCTAACTAACCATCAGCATACCTTGAAACAAGCGCTGCTTTGCAACCTTGCCTGACGCTGTATGCAGGGAGAGGGTGACGGTGGATGGTCCGGCGCAGATTCACAGTGAATGTCACCGTCACCGCCGTACGCCAAGATGATGTCTTCGGTCAGGCACAGCTCCTCTCACCAGGCATCGGAATGCGATATGTTCGGCAAGGTCGAGGTGACGGCTTCGAGCCAGTGTGCAGCGTTCTCTTTTGTTCTGATGCCGGCGAGGAACGGCAAGTCCCACAAACCTACCATCAAGCGATCCAACAAAAAAGGAGTCTTTCTCAGAAAGGAATGACTACGGTATGTAGGACTTGTCGTGTGGTGGCATCCACAAAGTGGGTGGCCAGGAAATCTTTTGCAAGCTCGTGTACTGCAAAGCCATGCGCTGAAGTCCCCCACTGGAATTCGCTGCAATCCGAGCAGTTCTTGAGCGGATGCAAGCCCATCCCTCCCACTCCGTTTCCGATGTGATGAACCTCCTGCTCGCTTTCGCGGAAGTGCTGCATCACATGATCATGGCCGTGCAAATAAACCACCTCAGCCACTTCCAGCCACTTCAGCCACTTTAGCCAAGCTCAGGTTCGAGGGACATTGGTTTCAGTTTGGCTCATGATGGTTCGTGGCAGGTCGTGGCCAACAATGGCTTTAACGATGCCCCGGCAAACGCTGCCATGGCACGGGCGTGGACGCTGTCAGCAGCGCCGCCTTTAGCGCCTCGGCTGCCGCCGCCTCAGGCGGCGCGGAGCCATATTTTCCACGGTCAGCCAGGCTTCGGATGGGCCGGTGTCCGACGACGACCTCGAAGCAAAGCTCGGCACTGTAGTGACATGTAGTGACTCAAGCGGCTCTCGTGTATGCACTGCTGGCCTGCAGTGAGGCGGCCTCATCCTCGTTGGCCTGAAGGATTCATGTGTCATCAAAAGCGTATCAGGGAGTCACTATACCGTCATTGCTGAAACGGAGCGACATGTCAGCGTTAAAAAGGAACCGCGTAGAATCGAAAACTAGAGTAAGTGAGTGAGTGAGTGAGTGAGTGAGTGAACCCAGCAAAGAGGGGCTTCAGAGCAGGCATGGGCTTGGTTTCAATCAGGGTTTCTTCTGAGGAGCCGTTTTAAAGTGCTTCTTTTTGAAGGGCTTCGTGATGGGGCGCCAGAATCTTGAACCCCCATGTCATGCCGAGGGGCCAGGCTTCGAGAAAGCCAATCCCACTGCGCCCCTCCAGCCTTGCTGCCTGCAAATTCCTCTGAGAGGTCCTTTGCAAGGACATCAAGGACAAGCAATAGAAGATAGGACATCGGTCATTGCAACTTAGGATTGATGTTAGATATTGACGAATTGCCAAAGTTGCCCACGTTCGCAGCATGGTACAGGAACAGGACTAACAAAACCCCCCCGTTCGTGCTGCTAATGTTTCTACACTTCGCCTCAGGCCTCCTTAAATGGGATCTACTGGGATCTGAACTTGAAGAGTTTTTGAGCGACACCTTGTCAGTCGGGGGTTGACGAAGAGTACGATTGAAACTGCAATTGCCATCCAGCTTGCGTTTGAAAGCTACGCTGAAAGTATTGAAAGCCCCTTTGGCTGCCATGTGCTCCTTCTCGAAACGTCTCCCCTTCGGGGTGTGCTCGAGCATGCCACCCTCCAGTCCCACAGAGTCCAGCACGAGGAATCTGACCTGTCTCTTTCCCGTCGGTAGTTGGAAAACGTAGTACCTGTAGCATCAGCTTCGTGCAGGGCGCCGCTTGCTGCTTTATAATATGCTTGCTCTTCTGCCATGTGCCCCAAGCTGCCCAAGGCATTCCTATTCCTCGCCCAGTCACGGGGAAGGCAGACGCCACCGCGGATTGCGCTGTGGCCGCTGCAGAAGCGCCGAGATGTTGCCCCGATGATCATGATCTCCCAGTGTGATCTGAGAAGGGACGACTCCGGACGACAGACTCGCGCTTTGGGGGTGGAGGGGGGGTGATCAAAGCTATGCAAAAGACTTGGTGGCTTCGCGGGGCTTAGGGCCTAGGTAGGCATCGCGTGTTATTGTCTTTGCCTGCCAGGGGATCTCAGACAGATTGCCATAGCTGTAGATGTCTTCCTTGGCTACAGGTGATGGCTTCGCAGACTCACATGTTGCGATCCGATCCAAGACTGAGCAGCACTGCAAACAAAGGCCAAGAGACGAAGGACTCCTGGAATTGGGGATCTTCCGAGTCCTTCACCTGTGAGCTGTGCTGTTTTCTCCACGATTCATGCCAAGGCCTTAAGTAGTATCCTGTGCAGCTGACCAGCAAAACAATCTGTTAGATTGCAATGTCCAAAGACTCCCCGGATGTAGAAGTTGTCCTTGATTGTGTCTGCATGGAAGCACGTTGATGGGCCCCGATGGGAGTTGTACGCGTGTACTGAATGTGCACTGCATTATGCACTGCATGTGCTGTCTGGTGCTTGCATGTATTTCATGGTACTTCCGAGCATCCCCAAGGGAAAGGATAAACTCCGGCTGCAAGCCCCCGGCCAGGTGTTCCATGGCCGCTGCCACAAGCTTCCTTGGCAGTGGCTGTCAGTTCCCACGACGGCGCCTGTAGCACTTCATGTGAAAACCGAAATAAAACTCTGCCGCAAATCTCACGAGGAGCTGATGACCCGCCGAGCACGAGTGGTGGCCATCACCGCCGGCACTTTCCAGCTGGTTGGCCTCTTCGACACACCGAGGCTGCTCGTGGCGGATCGTTGCAGTGCTTGGATGCTGCAATATGCTGCACAAAGGCCGATGCCGTCCTTAAAGGCACGTTCGCAGGCCGCAACACCAAAATCACCAACGGAGAAGAAGTAGGTCATCCCAGCCTTTGGCACACCTGGCAGCAGCCGTAGTCACATAATTTCATGGCCACGCGCTCTTCCTGACCTTCACTTATCAGCTGCGTTCAGCATCCGGGCGATGTGCCTGCATTGATATGTTGCGCCTGAGCACCAGCCGTGACCGGCAGGAGCTGCCTGAGGCACTGGCATGCGCTGCTGCAGATGGAGCTGTCTTCTCATTCTTCTCCTAGCCCTTAGAACCCATTTCTTCGAGGCTATGTTTAGAGCATTGTTAAGAACATGTAAGAGCCTCATGCTTGAACATCAGATTAAACCCTGTGCTCATACCCACTGCTCCATCCTCACGGCCCTCAGCGTGACCAGGCCGATGGCGCCCACAAAGAACATAATCCCAGATGGACGCCGGGCCTTGGCAGCTCATGGCCGAGATGGGTGGGGCTCTGGCTTAGGGTTCACTCAACGACGACGAAGGGACCTCGCATCATAAGATTGTCCCTCTTCTCGAAAGCATCCAAGAAAGAACTGCGACTGCAGTACACGGTGACATGCAACATAAAATGCAGCCCCGACCATCAGCTGGATGCATCTGCTGCTGTGGCATTTGGGGATTGCATGGGATTGCTGAGTTCATCAGCATGTCGCTTTCTGGGGGCCCAGCATTACGGAGAATTTCCAAGCGTAAGAGCCTGAAGAACTTCCTCAGCTTGGTCTCTGCCATGGCCTGAAGCCTCTGCGAAGGGGCACCTTGCACTCCCTGGCTCGAGTGGCAAGCTTTGTCTTTGTTACCTTGTTGCTGCTGGTTTACGAGTATAGAGTGGTAGGTTGCATATGCCCGGCCTCTCAATGCCTGTACATGCCTGTACCCATTTCGCACTCTTTCAGTGTTTGGGTTTTTGCAACATTGTGGCGCTTTTTAGCACCTCGGTTGGGGTCATTCGTTTGCTGTCGCTGTTGAAAACCGAGGAGTGTGGTTCCCGTATTCATACAGCCGGATGATTATCCTACATTGTAGGACCTACCATGTCTACAGCTCTTGAATACGATCTGTTTGTCATCTGATGAGTTCATGAACTTCCTGCGTCGGGGCCAGCGGTTCTAACGAATTCAAGTCGTGCTGAGAGCCCACAGCGGCGGAGTACAGGCTCAAGATGCCGAACATGCGTTTTCTTTTGTGGCTGCGCTGCATGTCATGGACCTCAAGGCAATCTAGTGACTCTAGTAACTCCACGATGATTACATAGGTTTACCAGTCATCGGCACCTACTTCAAAGCCAGTCCTGAAAGTGAAGCTGGTCTGGTGGATCAAGGCCTCGTCTCAAGCGTTTTCGTACGGCATCTAACCTTAGAATCTCGGGCTCAGAACTTGTGTCCGAATCTGTACATTGTTCATGTACACGCCTTGTGCTTTTGCTTTCCGCTTGGCGCCCAACGAAAAATCTAGCTCTGCTTCTTCCATGTCGCAGGGCTCCATGCCTGCAGAGCTTGCAACAAGGCGTGGAGGCACGTGAGGGCGCAACCTTTTTCCAACATGCTTAGGGGACCTGCCAATCAACAAAAAAAACACCCACTGATATCCACTGATTCCGACTTTCTGAGGACCAGCTTCGCAGTTTCCAGTCAATGCCGCTGGTGGGCACGCGAGAAAGACATGAAAGGCATAACGAGGCTTTCTTTGGGGGGGAGATGAAACATGAAGAGCCGCTTTCATGACTTTGACTGTGAAGGCTAGCAAGCCTAGCTAGCAAGGCTAGCACGTGCAAAGCATCTGAAGGCTGTTCTGTGCCGCGCTGAAGCCACCAACAGCTTCAGACGAAGCCCCCCCCTGACCCTGACTGGAGGGTCCGAACTCTGACTCTACTGAGCTGTAGGAGAACATGGCAACACACGCGGCCGACTCTTTCTGGCTGTTGCAACGACATGCTCCGTCTGCATGAAATGCAGCCGCTGTACTTCGAGTAACCTTTTTGAGCTTCGACATCCAAGTCAGGTGCTCTCTGAAAGGTCCAGGAATCAGGAATGAAGCAACTCAATGGTTTGATTCTTCCCGTTCAGCACGCGAAGCTCAAACAGGTTTGGATGCCTAACGACCTTTCCACCACTTCAAGAGCACAAGCATGAGACCGTCTCCGGCTCAACCGCAAAGTCTCCCCGTCTAGGCTATCTGTCATCCTGCTCGATGGGCAGCGCGCGGCCGCTGTGGTCCACATCGACGGCCTATGCTTGCCACTGCTTGAATTCTGACGGACTATGCTTGTGACGGCTTGAATCTGTGAGCTCAACTGGCCGCACGATGCATCCAGGCGACAACTTTTCGCGCCTTTGCCCTCTTCGCGTTCTTCGCCTGCCGGCGCATCTCTTTTGCTGCAAGCCAGCTGGTGTTAGCCAGTAACATCGCAAACATCCAAACATTCGTGGCAGATTGGCGCAGGATGAACATGCTGTTATCTTGAAACCCTGTACACGGACCGCCCATCCTCGTGGAGTGAGGCGTGTCGTCTCTGCCGAATCTTCTCCTTCAGACTCATGAAAGCACAGGGGCTGCTTTGAAGCATGCTCTCAAAACCAATTCTTAGGCATTGCTCTCAGGGACAGGGAAGACCGGCGCAGAATGTCAAAAGCATCTCTCGGCTGGTTTACGACATGCATGAAGGCAAAACTAAGCTCAGGAGAGCAATTTCCAGTACACATCGAAGCAAAGCGCGATGGACATGGAGCTGCCGAACAATATTCGTTTCTGCACGTTCTTGTTTAATGTTCAATATTCGATTTCTTTGGTTCTTTCTTTTATTCACGAGAATCTCCCTCAAGAGACCATGTGAACTGAAGGTCAGGTAGCTTAACGACAACACACCTTATTGATGCTGGCTCATTCGCCCGGTACCCCAACTTTCATCTACCTTCATGACATTTTCAGCGTAATTTCGGCTGTTTGGGGATGTGGCAACCCAGGGCATTCGGCCAGTCCTCCAGCTGCCTTATCTTGTTTTTGAGGACGAGCTCATCCTCAAAGCAACACTGCATGCAGCACAAAGCTCAATGATGCTTCCTTGTTGATGATGGTCCTCCTTCTCTTTTGACAGGCGCTTCTCATCCCACTGCACTTGTGCCTGCGTTTTTCGGGGTCGAGTGTGGACCTAGTTGTGCCACCTGAAGTTCTCTAGCCCTCCAGGACAACAAGCCATGGAACCTTGAGCTCCTACATGCCCCTCGCCAATCCGCTAAGGCGCAGTTAAGTCCTTAAAGGACGCCGGATACAGTGCTCAGGGTTCAGGGTAGTTCGCCCGAAGCCCGCCACATAAATCGAGCAGTCGACCTGCGTTTAGGGTTCAGGGCTTTCAGAGTTTCGGGGCCTCAGCAAACCGGGATGCCCTGACCGAACTGAACAAGCGGGATTGAGCGCCTAAGCCCTTTGATGATGGAGTGATGTGGTGAAAATATGCCCAACATTGCGAATCCAAATGTGCACTGGGCTTTCCACTGAAGCGCCTGCACACTGCAACCCGAACCAGTTGGGCGTGGGCCGGATGGGTTTGCTTAACCTAGCACGCCTATGGAGTCTTAGCAGTCTTCGGTACGCTGATGCCTTGAGCTCCAGAATTTGCTTCGCCCTTGCTATGAGGAGCTTATCCTCATTGGCCCGCGCGGGCTCGCTTCGCCTCGGCTTGGCGTAAGGAATGTTAGTGCTTTGCTACAACACCATCAACCCCCTAAACCAAAGCCTATGTAGACCTAGAGCACCCTATAGCCCAATAAGTACATGCCTACCTATTGCCTACCTCCTTGGCCAGAATGAGTTCGGACACTCTTGCCGAGCAAGTCTCTGGTGCGCCAGTCGCTCCAAGAGCGTACTTACTTTTTGCTCTTCTACCTGCCCACAATTCCGATTCCTCTCGCATTAAAAATACTGGCTTATTAAGGATTGAACAAAGCACAGATTTGAAGCACGCCACAGGTGCCTGGTGGTCTTTGTCAGCCAGTTCTTTAGCTTCTGCCAGCTCCGCCTTCGCCGTCGCACGGTTTTACGTCGCCAAGGAAACGCCAACAGCTGCAGGGCCTTCAGCTGCCTCACCATCGACAGCTCTGCCTGATGGGCACTGCTTTGCTCTGCTTTGCTCCGGAGGCAATGATTTGTCATCGTGCTGATGTGGCATATGGTTTTGGGAAGACTTTGGGCAGGTCACGCGCGGCCTTGTCCTCATGGTCCGATTGAGCGCTCCTGAGAAGTTCGGACATGGCTCCCGCTGCCTGGAGTCGTGCATAACCACGATGAAGAGCAGCCGTGGGCAGGTATTGGTACGTCAGGTGCTGTGTCGGTGAACCTGCCTTGATGTTCTGCTGTCGCTCTTGTGCCTCCACCTGCATTCAAACTCGGGCCCAGAGCCTTCATTCATCTGCCACATGCCGCTTGTTGCCAATTCAACAATGGCAAAGGCCTGTTCAGCTACAGCGTGTCGAACGGACTCGATGGCTGCCCTCCTAGTAGGCAAACAGCCCGGGTCGTGATGCTGCTTTCGGCAGGCACATCCGGTGTCCTTGTTCGGTCCCGCTCATCCGCTGTCAGTGAGGACCCCATGTTGTCAACAACCTCCTGCATGTGCGAGCAGAAGCAGGGATTGGATTCATTGTGGTGATACCGTTGCAGTAAATCGTCTTCCCTGATGCATGGCACTGCTCGCGCAGCAGCGTAGTCACTTTGACCTTGCCTGGGCAGCCTTCATGGCCACTTCACGCTGTCCAGCAGCAAGCTGCTGAATCTCCAGCGCCTGCAGCTCCTTAGCGCTGCTCAGGCTGTGAGGTGTCGCATGCCACATGTTCCGACCTCCTCGCTGGCCGGAGCTGACCCAAGCTCCAACAGCGACATCGCCTTGTGCAGGGGGCTGCAGGACTGTGATCTATATGCACATGCTGAACCCCTGCCTGCTGGCTAGCAGCTGCTGGGCCCTTCCTGTGAAGGTCCCAACAGCAAGCTTGGCAGTGCTTAGCAAGAATGAGACATTGATATGCACACCGCTCCTTCGCTTGCTGGACTTCGGTGTGGCGCGGCCTGCTGCCTCTGCGTCAGTGACACAACAAAATTCTAGAAAAGCATCTGTACATCTGCATGCATCCTTTCAACCGGCAACGTGTCACTTGTCGGGCCAACGAATAACTGGCTGACTGCTGCACCTTGGCAGGCTTCTGCCCAGCGATCTGGCTCCTCGTCGATTGGACAGGACCCGGCCTGCGCACCGAGGCACTGAAAGGGGCTTCTTCCAAAATCAGGGGTACCTATATATGCAGTATTTATGGGATCACAACTCCTGCCGTGTAGGATACATGAGGAACAAGAAGACATCGAATTTGACAGAATGTGAGCAGTAGCTGCAAGCGAGATCCCTAAGCCCAGGCCCCAGAAATCTGACCATTCGCGAGGGGGGGGAGCATTGAATTTAGGAATGGATTGTCCAAGCTCGTACGACACGTGACGTGTCCGACTGCGGACAAGCAGCGGGCTTCGAAGCCGGAGCTCCTGAGGTTTCAGGATGTTTCAGCCGCTCTAAGTGGCAGCAGATATGCAAACTTCTGCGAGTACAGCGTGTGATCCTTCCGTTCTTCCAGAATCTCAGACATTGCCGCAGCTGCTGTAAATTGTTCGACAAACCCACCCTCAAGGGCGTAGTTCGCTGTCATTCTCCAGGGCAGTCCCTCACCCCTACTGTTTCCTGGCATAATGCCGGCATGCAGGCCGCACCGCGTTTCTGCCAGAGTCTAAGTGCCTTGAACGAGTCGTGATGCTTGACGCTGAATCGATTTGAGGCACGGCTGCTCCATAGGACTTATGATGCTCATGTCAGAGGTGTCCTGCTCCAGCTTTCTCAGCGACTCAATGTCATCCCTCAGCCTTTGCTCTGCCTCCTGTCACTAGGAGAGACTGTGATCAAAACGCATTGAAATGGTGCCCTGCCCAGGCGTTTACAAACACTTTTGCTGTTGCGATTTGCTACAGTGCTGGCTGCCTTATGCTGCCTTGTGTCCTAACAGGTGATCAATGGCGATCAGTCTGCACCACATGCGCCTGAAAAGCGGAGGCATCGGCCCGGACCGGGTCCGGGATGGCATGTCGTTGGCTCACCTGTGCGTCCAGTGGCCCTTGCTCGTTTCTAGGCCGAACTGCTCTGATCACGTGGGAAATCACTCTGAATCACTCTACGAATTGAGAAGGTTCAGAAGTACAACCTCATGAGGTGGCCGAAGTTCCGATCAACGCGGCACCTCCTGGAACTCGACTGTGCTGTCTTGTCCCTGTCCGCCTCAATCAAACGGAAACCCGAAACCCGAAACCCTACTGTACCTTACAAACCCTGCAAACCTGAAGTGCCTGAAACCTGAACTTTCTCGGGTGTAGCTGTTCAAGATGTTTAGGGTGGGGAGTTCAGAGGTGTCCAGAGAGCAGGATGTTTGTTTGGACTTACTTTTCTGCCTTGCTCCGCCATGGCCACGTCGGCGTCCAAGGTCTTTTTCTTCGTCGATCCAGCCAGATCCTGGAGGCCAATGGACGAAGAACCAACCAATCGTCGTTCTTGGCTAATGTCCCGAAAGTCGGTATTTCAGAGATGAAGTACAGCTTCATGGGACGCACGGGATGCCCAACTTTACCCTCTATGAAAGTCCTGTGGGCTCTTGCTCACGTCGCCCGGCTCTTCCATGGGAGCATCGTGCTCCATGTTCTGCGCCCCGCTTTCAGCAGGAAAATCGAGGTCCAAGTCTTCCTGGTCAGCAGGCGAGCAAGCGTGTTTCGTGCTTTCGTGCCCGTGGATGCTTTCAAGACTCTTTGCGATGGCTTATGGTTGGGGAGAAGCGGCCTCGTCGCCGAGAGACATGTCCTCATACCCCGTGGAGTCGCCCTTGACGGCTCCAGTCTCGGAATTTGTCGAACCTGTAGGTTTGTTTGCCTATGCGGTCTAGGCGTGCTGAAGTACGACCAATCGTGCAGGAATCGATGGTCAGCTTCAAACACAATGACCGAGACTGGAGTGCTGCAAAGGAAACCCTTCAACTCTGGCGCCGCCCTGAAAACAAGGCCAAGTGCAGGTGGGGTGCCCGGCTTCGTCTTGGTGCTGGCAATTGCTCTGTCTTGCCTGCTGTGTGTGGTGTTTTCCACAGCAGACGCGGCCTGTAACAGCAAGTGGTGATGCATGTAACTGTGGACTGACAGAGCAGTGCTGGTAAGACCCAACTTGGCTGCAGTCCAGGAGCAGCAGGTGCCGACTCACCCATAGAGAGACGTGAGCCGCCTCAGCATCGCGCAGCAAATTTCCCCCCACCCCCCCCCACCCCTGCCTAACCATGCTGGTAGAGTAGAAACATGTAGAAAAACAGTTGAGCCCACGGATTGTGTGTTTTTCCGCGATTGGCTTTGCTTTGGCCATCCGGCTCTTAATCCTTGCCGAAGGACTTGGCAACACACCATCGTCAAGCGAACCGGAAGGATTTTGCGTAGCCTCGAGGAGGCAACAGGTGCACATGGTCGCCATGCCCAGGTTTAAGCCGCGCCTTCACCTTGAAAATTCCTCCCCCTGGCATTGAACGACGAGCAGGCTTGTCCTGTCAGAAGGGCGTGTATAGAGTGCACGTCTCTGTGTGTGTGTGTCAGGGGGCATTCACACATCCGCTCTTGATGCTTGCAACTGCTTTACATAGTTGAAACTCTGTCCATGCGAGTTCATCGGCGTGACTCTTGAAGTCTTTGCAAGCGCAGCCGATCGATTCGGGAAAAGAAATGTATTTAGCGGCTACACTTGCCCCGACACCACACAAGAACAAGAGCAAAAACAAGAAGAAGAAGAAGAAGAAGAAGAAGAAGAAGAAGAAGAAGAAGAAGAAGAAGAAGAAGAAGAAGAAGAAGAAGAAGAAGAACAACAACAACAACAACAGCAACAATAGCAACAATAGCAACAACAGCAACAACAGCAACAACAGCAACAACAGCAACAACAGCAACAACAGCAACAACAGCAACAACAGCAACAACAGCAACAACAGCAACAACAGCAACAACAGCAACAACAGCAACAACAGCAACAACAGCAACAACCACGACGGCGGCGGCAGCAGCAGCAAAGCAGCAGCAAAGCAGCAGCAAAGCAGCAGCAAAGCAGCAGCAAAGCAGCAGCAAAGCAGCAGCAAAGCAGCAGCAAAGCAGCAGCAAAGCAGCAGCAAAGCAGCAGCAAAGCAGCAGCATGAGGAGCAGCAGAGCAGTAGCAGGAGGAGCAGCAGGAGCAGGAGCAGCACCTCTTGAAAGGCAGTGCCTCGACCATGAGCGTATTCGATGGACCGACGCGATCACGCGAAGATATAAGCCGTAAGCCGACAGTCAGCCAAAGAAGCAGTGCTGCAATCTTGCACCATGCTTGGACTCAAGAAACACAATCTTAAGATGCAGCTGCATGATGCATGTGTCATTGAAGAGACATCCAAGCCTTGGCCCTGCCTCGGCTTTGGGATGAGAAGCATTCCCCGTGGTGTCCAGGTCGGGAACATCCGCATCCTAGACACATCGCAATGGGATTCTCCTCCGACACTCACAGCGCTACTTCCGTAAAATGCTTGCTGGGTGTTCGCGCCTCGTCGCTTCCCTCGGCGTCTGCGCGCTTGCCGCCGTCCGCCTGGCGTCGCCAGTGGCACCTACGTCCAGTCCAGTCCTGCACGCGCAAACGAGCCTTGGAAGCCCGGGATGTGCCTGCGCTTGAGCTGTGCGCATCCGATGCCCTTTCCTGAAATCGTGCGAGGTGCGACATGGCTGAAGCAGCACTCGCATCATGGCAGTATCATACCTCTCGTGCCCTTGGCAAGCTGGCCTTCTTTGCAGCTTGCTTGGAGGTATTGCCCATCCTGATGAGGGCCGGCAACTACCAAAAAAACTCTTTAACGAGCGAAAGCTCTGCGCTGCAATTTCACAGGCACGGACAATCCAAAAGCGGGTGCCTCGATTGTTGAGCAGTCTTGTCGCTGCTGGGAGCATCGTCGGCCTCCTTCAAGACAGAAACAGCTGTGCCGCGGCCGTGCTGTCCCAGCCGCCTATGCTTCGGGGCAGCTTGAAGCTGCTGCGGTCACTGCGGTCCTCTTCCTCTTCCCCGTCTCCAGCTGCGCCCTCCTCGTCGGGATCTTCTTTGGACTTGTCTGCAGGCAGTCCTTCGGAAGCCAAGTTTGTCAGCAGAATGGTAGCTTGTGTGAAGACCATTTATTTGCGCCTGGTAGGGGCTCCCAATTTGGCACCTACGTTTAGATCATGAGCCATACGCCTCACTTCCCCATAGCCCTCATCCCCAGGCACCGGCCAAGAGACCGCAATCGCCCTCCCAAAACTCGCACACTCCGCAACAGTTTCGTCATATTTCGTGGGTTGCAATTGCCATCGAAAAGAACCTCAGGACCAGCCCTGCAGCCGTGCACTCTTGAAGCGTTAACAACTAATTGCCCAAGCCGTGCAGGCATGGCAGCTTGATCAAGCGCCTAGATCGGAAGTACTTCGCTGATCCGAACATCTGATTAATATAGCCCCTTGATGAAAAGAAGTGTTTTTTGCCACAACAATAAAGACTGCCCTCCATTCAGGAGCCAAAACCTCCCAAAATGCACAAAAAACCCTAAGCTTGTAGGAAACAAAACTGGCGGCCCAAAAGAGTAGACATGCTGAAGGCTACAGGGAATAAGACACCACCCATAATGGAAAGCTCGGTGGCTCCGCGATGTCGATAAGAACGGAGACTTTGAATTGCTTAAGGCTAAAGTAAGCAATTGCGCATCATAAAACCCCCTAAAGTAATGGAAAGCAAGGTGGGCCGACGATGATGATAAGTACAGACAGTTTGACTTGCTCAAGCAGCAAGCAGTTACCCACGACGTGCTCTCGGATGTTCTGGAGTTGGAGGCTGCATCCTACTTCGCATCCAGGATCGATGCCCAGATCATTCGCTCCTGACCTAGGGCATACTTGTAGGGCCAGAGTTTGAAATTAATAATCATTAATCCCAAAAATGGAAAGGCCGGCGGGCCGGCGATGACGATAAGAAAAGAGAAGATGAAAAAACACAAGAGGGTAGGCTCTTTCCGCCTCCCCCCCGGAAGAAAACCAGCCCAGGAAGTGATGCGACCCCCTTCCTTTATTCACGGGGGGGGGGGGCCCTATTCATCAGATCCTCACATTGCAGTGCAGGCAAGCAAGCCTCCGTCAAGCCCAGCATCCTCTTCTTGGGTCTCCTTCAGAACGCCAGGTCCAGACTTCCCGACTTGTGGGTCCGGTCGAAGGGTCATGCGTAGCTTGCTGGAAGTTCGTTTCGCGCCTCGTCGCTTCCCTCGGCGTCTGCGCGCTTGCCGGCGTCCGCCTGGCGTCGCCAGTGGCACCTACGTCCAGTCCAGTCCTGCACGCGCAAACGAGCCTTGGAAGCCCGGGATGTGCCTGCGCTTGAGCTGTGCGCATCCGATGCCCTTTCCTGAAATCGTGCGACGTGCGACATGGCTGAAGCAGCACTCGCATCATGGCAGTATCATACCTCTCGTGCCCTTGGCAAGCTGGCCTTCTTTGCAGCTTGCTTGGAGGTATTGCCCATCCTGATGAGGGCCGGCAACTACCAAAAAAACTCTTTAACGAGCGAAAGCTCTGCGCTGCAATTTCACAGGCACGGACAATCCAAAAGCGGGTGCCTCGATTGTTGAGCAGTCTTGTCGCTGCTGGGAGCACCGTCGGCCTCCTTCAAGACAGAAACAGCTGTGCTGCGGCCGTGCTGTCCCAGCCGCCTATGCTTCGGGGCAGCTTGAAGCTGCTGCGGTCACTGCGGTCCTCTTCCTCTTCCCCGTCTCCAGCTGCGCCCTCCTCGTCCGGATTGTCGGCGCTGTCGCTGCTCTTGGCATCGTTGGGCTCGCTGTCCGAGGGTAGTCCTGAAGTAGAGGTGAAGTAGGCTGCAGCGAGGGAAGGGACAAATTGAAGACAGTGTGACCAGTTAACGATCTTTTCAGATACGACGAGGATCCATCATCATCTTGCTCCTGCTGCACAAAATTGAGCACGGCTTACTGGCTTCATCATTGCGGTGCAGACATTATCCTCTTCAGCCGGTTCATCTGCAGTGTCATCCTGATGATCCTGCAGCACGGAGCATGCACAATCTGAGGCCAGGTGTTGCACTGGTCATGCAGAAGGCAGCTTTCCATGTGCACATGTGTGCCTTACGAGAGTCTGATTTGCCAGCTTTCTGCCGTGTTGAGTTTGCAGCCTGTCCCAGAACTTTCTTGCAAGGATTCGCTGTCCAGCTCCCACCCACACAGACAGACACACACACACACACACACACACACACACACACACACACACACACACACCGACCGGCCTTTGCAGACCGCTTCTTCGAGCTTGTCGTGTTCCGAGCTTTTGTCTGAGCGGCGTCTTCCTCGCTAGATTGGCTCGACCAGTGTGAAACGATTCGTACTCGCAAATCTCGCGAAGAATTAAAGGAAGAAAAGATCATCTGCACTGGAAGGCCCAGATGCAAGGCATGTCTGAAACAAGGACTAAGGAGGAATCTCGGGAAGGCTGCGGTTGTCCTAGACTTGCATCGCAACAGTCTCCGCGCCTCTGGTATTTCCACCAGACCTGTGCAAAGTGAGATCCAGTAACACAGTAATGCATGTAATGCAAAATGCTTGTATGGAGGACGCTTAGTGACTCGGAGTACCCCTGCCAGGACTCCATCTTGCTCCCTTTGCAGGTCTACCGTGATGTCTCCGAATACTGTGAAAGCTGCAAATGGATCGGGGATCATGACAGGCTTATCTGTGCCAGCGCGCTGCCTTCGCCACGCCGCTTGCAGTCCAGCACACGACGATCGCTCCAGTATGCGTTGTAGGTGGTCTGCCCAGCGATACGCTTGCACAGAAACATGATCCAGAAACTGCTGTGTTTGCAGGCATCAGACACTGTGCAGGCAAGGGCGGGAAGCACTGCCCAAAGCCATCAGAGAGTAAAAGGATCAGTGGCCAGATGTGACCAGCATGCACAGTCTGTTGACATGTTCTGCCTGAACGGCATGCAAAGCCCTGTAGAATTCTTGACCTGGTCATTGGGCTGGTCACACTTGAGCTTCAGAATTGCAAACCCCGCAAGGTTTCAGAGCTGAATGTAGTGCAAGCAGAGCTGAGCCACGCACTGATTGGTGCCAGCCCCCAGTCCTGAGAGTATTACAGGGATTCTACATAATCACGATACGTACCTGTAGCCAGTGTGTAGCCTTCATAACAGAAGCTCCTTGCAGAGAAAGGACCCCTGGAAAGGGATACCCCCAATTGAAAACCCCTCACAACTGCAACCAAAAAATACGGCCCAAGCTCGCATTCACTCAGGGAGCCACTGTTAGCCACTGTGAGAAGTACGGCTTGCTACTGTCTGGGATGGGTCGGGGCCGCAAGGCTGGGCACGATGCTGCAGCTGAGCGGCCATGTGTATTACTGGAGTGGCATCTATCAGGGCGCACGCCTGATTTTGCAACCTGGCTATGCATCACAGACTGTCAAAAGATGCCGTGCACTCCGACGATGCTTAAAGCTGGCCTCTTGGACGCATACTTGCACCACCTCCGCGCCAAGCATGCTCTTGCCCGCATCAGATGAAATGGCAATAATGCAGCATTTCAAGGGGCCGGCATCATGTCCAATCCCCAGTCTGACTTGTCATGGATGCAGGAGTGGCAGTCGCGAAGAACAAGCTTCAGCCTGAATCAGCTTCACCGAGAAGCTAATGCAAGACACAGTTGACACAGTTGCCAAACCTGGGGCAAAGAGGCCAAAGGAGGTCAGATGAGGAGTCAACTACGGCTGCTTTCTCTACTCTCAGACCCTCAGGGGCACTTGCAATTACATGCATTTGTGAGGCTTCCATTCACCACCCTTTCTGCAACTTGGCGACACGTGCGACTTTAGAAGCGGCGCTGTCAACTCCACGAAGTCTGTGTGTCGAAAGTCGCACCCTGCAAGCAGTTCTTGCTAGATTTGGAAGAGCCATGTCCAGCTATGCCCTGCATGCTATGCCGCTATGCCCGTCTGTCGTGCTGCACAACTCAGCACTTGAAATCCGCCGAGGCTTTGCGGCCAAAGAGGCCCAAGTCCCAAAGTGTCTTGACAAGTGTTCATTGCGCTTGAAGGGGGAGGGGGAGTTCTCTACATCCACCACCTAGCATCACCGACCTGCCAGGGACCAGACGCCTGAGATCCTTTCAGGAACATAGAGCCTCTAGGCCTCTAGGGGCCCGCAAGCCACCGGATAATTTTGAATCCCGCGCATCCCCCGGCCGAGGCGGGCCGCGTAGTGACAGACATAGTCAATGCAGTACGCTTTGTGAAGTTCAAGCCCACTCCTGGATCTGGAGTTTGAATGGCATTCGGACCTAGGCGGAGCTCTTAGGCAAAGATCATGACTAAAATCGCTAAACCCGTGGGAGGCCGCAGATGATGGGCTGCAAGCCGCTGATTTGATGAGCATGCCGGTGGCTGTCCCTTGAGGGAGCATGTCCTGCACCGAGCTCGCAGGATTTGCCACGAGTTGAGGACTGTGCGCTCAACTGGAGCCGCGGCCCTCACGACGAACCACAGTGCTGTGCTCCTGTCAGACTGTGGTTTTATCTGACATCTAGCCTAATTCTAGCCTTGGAAGCTGGGAAGGCATGCTGCAAAATTCTCGGAATCCATGGGATGTAGGAGAGTGCCAGCCTGAAACAACAAAGGCTTGCCATTTGCTTGGACCTCAGCCACAGGCTGCAGCACGTAGTGACGTGGCCGAAAACACATATCTCACTTAGTGGCTTCGCGGTGCCTTTTTTCAAAAGAAGTCAGTATTGAAAGAGAATGAAAGAGAGGATGCGCAGAGGACGTGGCGAAGGTTGGACCAACGATCGGAGACTGGCTGAGCCGGGCCATGGTCAGGAAGTGCTGGATGTCTGCCTCCGATGCGAGAGTATCTTCTTCTAACGTGTTGTCAGCATGTCTCTTTCAACTGTTTCAAAACATGTTTCAGATGCTTCAATAGCAATGCTGTCACAGAGGCCTTGGACAGGTCAATGTCGCTGTCAAGCGCCCAGATGAACTCGTAGCGATCCTCCCACTGCCCATCCTGACCAAGACTCTGCTAAGTGACGGCAGGCTTTCCCATTTCTCCAAACGTAGGCTGGGCAAAGCAGATGAGGGAGAAACTACGGTCTGTTTTAACACCAGTCGCGTATTCATCGCTTTGCAGGCCAGGATCATTGTTGAAGGCGTAGCTACTGTGTAGTTTAGTTTTGTCATGTTCTGTCAGTTGAGCTGGCATGTATGGACTGCGCACCGGAGCTTTAACTGTACGAGATTCACGGTCGATGCCCATCTCGAAACCTAGCAAAGCTTCACCTCGAGCAATATTCGCAGTACTTTACCTGCACACGGTCAATTATCGTTTCCACCACAGCGATCGAGCAGCTCGCGCATAGTGGCTGTCAGATCTACAAGGAAGCGCAGGATTCCCTCTTGCCCCTGATTCCCCAAGGCCTTGTAGGCTTTCCTTAGATGGTCACATGCTGAAGGCCAGAAGAGGGATCCCAAATGCGAGACTTGCGGTGTGATGATGCCAAGACTGCCCGCGAGCGTCTGCATCAGGTGGAACTTGTAGCCCTTGGCCACCAGAGACTCGGAAACATGCTTCTTGCACCTGCCACAGGGCCACAGGGCCTAACTGTAACTGTTTGACATCTCACAAGATCACGCGGTAGGACATTCTAAAAGCTTTCGATCTGTCAGCCGGCAGGAGCACCATTCTCGATCCCAGTCTTTGTCAGAACCGCGGTAGTGCGCTAGGATCACCTAAGACAGGCTTTCAAGAGGATCGACGATGTCCACGAAATTCCACAAATCCTATCGCCTCTAACTTCATCCAACCGCCCTTCTGTTACAAAGCTGCTTGTGAGGCCACTGCATCGTGAGGTATTCCAGAAAGCTCCACCTCGGAAAGAGTGTTTCGACAGGCCCATGCCGTTAGTGGACAGCAGCAGAGTCGGTTAAACAACCAACTGACCCTTGGAAGCTTCATGGCGGTCGAGCTGCGTGGCGGACATTTCTCTTTACCATGTCCTGCGCAGGGGCAGAAGATAGCTCAGCTCTGCAGCCTCTACCCACATGGCCCTGCATCATGCGAGCTAAATGCAGGTGTGTATATCTTTATGGTGCATATACATATGTATACACATCTTACATGCAGGGAGGTACCATATACATATACATATACATATACATATACATATACATATACATATACATATACATATACATGTACATATATATATATATGTAATATCGTTTTTTGTTTCTGCACCCCTCGGTAGCGTTAGCCTTCCCTGCTCTCCTGCGTTCTTTTGCTTCCATCCACAGCCCAGAAGAGGAGTATTCTTGCTTGGTAAAGTCGGAGACCTGGACATCCAAGGTATAACGTGTCTGAAGACATCAAGCAAAAACATCCGTCGGGTTAGATTGCATTGACATTGATGGCCGCACATGCAGCGAAGAGCAGAATGCGAAGTAGACCTTGGTGGATGTGGTGTGTGGGGGCACATGCCACTGACATGCCTCGTCATCAGCACATGCCTGTTAAAGATCTTCACCGCTATCGTCGCATGCCGAGATGCTGTCACTGGCCATTATATGAAACTCGGACGACTCTGGGTGCCCGAGGAAGACACGGACTTAGCACCTGGTTGACCCAGCAGGTGGAGGCAGCATGCGCAGCACGTAGTCCAAGACGAAACAGACTGGCTGCTCAGCACTGCTCAACATGATCGAACCTTTAGCACGGAGAGCCTCAAGTTCGCCCTTTAGCGCAACAGCTGAGGCTCCTGCTACAACAGCTGCACCTTGACGATCGTTCAACAAACTGAAAAGGAGCAGCTTGAGGTCACAATACGGCAGATATTGGATGCATGCCCCAGTCAATCCCAAAATGTCACGCCCAAAAAGACATCGATGCGGATGCGATAGTGACACATCAGCGGTTTGAACAATCGCGCCAGATGCAAAGCGCTTGACTGAGATTGTGTTGTAGATTGTGGCATATTTAGTTTTGGCCCTTTTGCCTGCGTAAACCGATTGTGAGCGGCTCTCGCATCTGGATATCCCCTTCAAAGGCGATCGCTATGACAGGGTCACCCACGCGCTTTTGACGGAGCACGCGTTATTTTTTTAACCACTTCTGCATCTGTCCCTCAGCTGCTGCACATAAACTCTTGCGGACTTCATTCCTGCCCCAAGTTTACCAGGTACCTGACACCTTGACTTGCAGCGCTCTGCATATCATTGCGACTAGACGAAGGAAGGATCAGGCCTCACTGTGCGCACTTTATACTGCACAGCTACTTGAGAATGCTGAATGTGCTCCAGCTGAGGGCCAGCCACTAGGCCACTAGGCACCCTGACATACACGTGGTCTGTGAAACAGCAGACCTTGCATCCAGCATGGCCTCATCCACCGATGCGAAAAACGGAGCTGCGGATCGCTCACATCTGTGGCTTCACGTCATCCTCACACATGGAGCCCCCAGGCAACAAAAAGAAGTCCAGTGGCTGCCACTCTGGGTTACAGAATGGCACTGGCTCAGGCTGAATTTGAGTCAAGGTGAGCCCATGTCTCCTCGTCTCCATCATCTGATTTGTCTGGGACCTCGGGTGGTGGGGATGGCGGAGCCGACGACTCCTGACACTCACGACTCGGAAGGCTACCGAAGGCCAGAGATTTGGGGGGCGCTTTTCTTGATAATCTCTTTGCATCACTGTGCATCACTGTGCTTTCCGTTACATCTCCTTGGGGGCATCCCCAGCTTCGGAGACCTTCTCCGCCACCGCCTTCCGCTGCCGCACAGAACGTGGGCCAGACATGGCCCAACATTTAGCCAGCATAGCCAGCATATTGCAGCATACCGTTACACATTCTGCCAGCATGCCAACATAGCAAGATTCACGGAGCGACTGTGCACCTTCAGGTCGGACGCGTCGGTCAGCTGGATCACCTGGATGTTTTGTCATTCGACAGCGCCTGGACGCCTCGTAGCTAGCACGTGCCGCAATACGCTGCAGTTCGCTGCCTGATCGATGAGTCCGTAGTCCTTTGCCTTTCACTCCAATGCATGACTCGATGTGACACGCAAACACTTCCCTAAGTCCAACATGTTCAACCCAGCACTGCCATCAAACACCCCGACCTGCTCTGCTGACATGAAGTTGTCCCGCATGAGGTCCTCTCTGATGGTGTCCTGGTCTTTGCCTGTCCTTGACTCCGCAAGTAACAGCACTGACAACACGCCGCAGGCGCAGCTTGGCAAATGGTAATTAAATCCATCAAACCCATCATGGCATGTCAGATGCTGAACTCTGGGACCCAGACACACGGGCATACATCCTTGAAGCGCACAGTGGGCTCAACCGGTCTTTGCAAACTCATTGCGCAAGTGGTATGAGCAGGTGTCGAGGTGCGCACCTGACTATGTTCTCGTGAATTTGCAGAATCTGCTGAGCTTCGACCTGAAGCACGAAGAACAACTTGCCAACTGCCGTTGAATTCATCAAGCATAACGGCACAACATGCTGTCGGAGCTGTGGTATCATATTATGCTATGATGCAACTCTGCTTCAGTGAGGGGGCGGTGAAGAGGGCCGAAGAATGCTGTCCAGCTACGCTCTCTCAGTACTACGGATGTTATTCCCTGCCAACTAACATCAACTAACCTTGCTGAGCGATCTGTTGACTCTTCACTCTTCTTGACTTCTCTGCATCTCTGATGTGCCTTGATATCCTCAGCTTGGCCTTGCGCTCCACCCATGGCTTGGTGGATCATAATCTTAGTGGAGGGCGCACACTTGACGAACGCTCCACAGCGCATTTGCAGTGACTCGAATGGAGATTCTACTGAGGGCACAACCGTCGCAAAAAGGTCGAACGTCAAAGCACGTGAAAGAAAAATGACTCCAGCTGACGAAGTGGCTCATCTTGTAGCGTGCTAGTGCATCGACTTCGGACGCTGCGTGTTGCGTTTAAACTAAATATCACAACCAGCTGTGCTACCCTACAGTGCAGTAGATGGTTCACCCCAACGTTGCTGAACGGTACGTGGTGGCACACGGTTCCATCCAAGTTCCCAGCCCGACTGTGAGGCAGGGCAATGCCTTGGCCGAAGTTGGCACTCTCACGGGCTTTCACTCAGGCTCCGAATGGCTCCGAATGGCTCAGGATGGCTGCTAGGTGCTCTCATGTGCTCTCGAAGTGCTCTCAGCATCTCTCAGCATGAAGTCCACTCAGCAGAGGCTTCTCAAGCGCTGCCAAGGATGCGCTTGCCCTTCTCGCCCGCTGCGAGCAGGAAAGAGGCCATGGAGGCTGCAAGGCCTGAGCTTGATTCGTGTACTGAGTGTACTGGAGTATGGCGCAATATGGCGGAGTACGGCATGATACGGCATGTGTCAACATGTGTGGTCTGACTCGGTCTGACTTCCAGCCAGATCTGCGAACTTGGGTTCCCGAGACTGGACTGAAGCACTGCCGCACGGGTTTGCCTTCGGCTTTCAACAGTGGGGGTCCAGCCGACATTGATGGTGATCACGGGGGACTTGATGTGCCTTAGCAGACGGAAGCCGAAAGACTCTGACTCATTGTCCTCCTCGTTCCAGTGGATGCCGGCAACAGTGTGTGTGTGTGTGTGTGTGTGTGTGTTGTGTGTGTGTGTGTGTGATATTGAGCTTTGCACTGCATAGTGTCGTAGATGGACAAGCCAGAAATCACGGATCCGCCCGCGCTATTGATGTACAAGTAGATCGGCTTGTTGTTGTCCTCCGGAATGGTCTTGCAAAAGTGGAAGCTTACTTGACCATCGCAGGCAGCAAAAAGAAGCTGCGAAGTACGAGAGGACGCGTTAAGAAAAGAATTCAAGAATGGTAAGGATACCTGCTGGCTTGGTTGTTCCAGCAGAACGTTACAGAACGCTAAGGAAAGCGTGTTCTTCAGCGTTGCATTGCTGCGTCCTCGGAATCCAAATACAGCCTGGGATGACCACCGTTGCAACGTACTTCGGACTTCAAAAATCTCAGGATTTAGCATTACTTGACCTGTCGGCTTCAACATACTTCAGTGTGCAGCTCGAGGGGCAAAACTCCGATGACCTCATTGGCCAACTTGTCATCAATTTCCTTTCCAATGAAGATAATTCCTCGCAAAGAGCTGGTGACATCGCGGACATCAATCAATCAAGGCAAGGGAGTCACATGCGGCAGAGTACGCAACAGACAATATACAACATCGCTGGTACTCAATAGCACTTTAGCAGCACAGAACGGACACACATGCCAGCAGTGCTTTCTCGGTACAGCCGATTGTAGATGTCAACCTAGCATGGCGATCATGATGCAACTTGCCGAGGGATGACTTAGTAACGTTCTCTGGTGGAATCCCGGCGTTCTGAGTGTGGAGCCCATTCGGCGTTCGGTGCTCCTGGGACTCTGTAGGCCACCTTCGCAACGACTTGGGCTCAAGCGGTCGCGGGAAGTTCTGAGCAGGACATGGCAGACGAGCAAGATTTTGCACCACGCTGGTCTCGCAGCGGATGCTTCCACGTTTCTCACTCGACATACCTCAATTTCAAGACTGTTTGCAGGATGCCACGACGTTGCAAAGTACAATCAACATGAATCATTAAGCAGCAAGGCATGCTTGAATGTAGTTGAAGAGTCGCCGAGGAAGACGCGCCGTAGAGCTAAGGGTAACCAGACATCCTCTAATTACTGTGCAACTCGGGCGCCACCAGAAAGTCCAGTCCATTCCGAGATACACCCGCTGTGAATCCAGCCGGTGTTCATGCACGGCCCGCACAACCCCTTGCAGCTGGGCGATGCGTAACCTACAAGTAGCAGTTCACAAACGCGCACAAATGCAAGACCGGCCTGGCCACTGCGGTGAGAAGTCATGTCCAGCAACGAGTGCTCCTCGCGTGGGAATAGCCGCAAAGCAGCTTGCGGGTGCTGCAACTGTGTTCCATCAAGCACTAAGAAGCACCAGTCGGCCTGCACCGGCCAGCTTTGGTAGCCAGATTTGCAGATCCGAGTCGACACACTCGTACAGGTGACAGCCATCCACAAAAATGGCCTGGCCATGATGAACGCTCATCACGGTCACAGCACCATAATTCTTTCGCTAGGGCTGCAACGTCAATGCTGCCATTCGGAATGGTCCTGCATACTGTTTGCTGGTAGACAGGCTACTGAGTTGAGCCGCGGGACAAAGCAACTACGCAGCAAATGCAAAAAGCAGACTCGACAGGCCGCTCCTGGCTGCTACGTCTGATGTGACCGGCAGAAGTTGAGCTCGATCTTTGTAGCTCTCATAGACAGCAGCTGCCTTGCAACGCTCGGATGTGCAACAAACACTTTACGGCGCTGCGCCCGCCTGTGCAAGGGCAACGTCTGGATCCATCGTCTCTGAGAAGTCGCCTGGAAACGTGCCGTCCTTCCCGATGTATGGATCGATGCCTGCTCGTCAATCGTCAGAAAGAAGTCAGGTGGACACAGGAACGTGAACGTGGCACTGGCACAGGGATGAACTATTTGAGTACGAGTTGCCAAGCAAAGTCACAAATGGAAGTTTCTCCAACAAGAACTTTGACCTCGGTCAGCGCAGTATCATCTGCGAACTGCTGCTGCCATCGGATGCTGCCCTGGCTCCGATGCCAAGCCTTCGGCAAACTCCCCTTGAACACGCCTATCTCGACCACATGAATCTGCTCACCTCCACGTCTTTGGTGAAGCTTTTTCCTTGAAGCAGAAGACGCAACAGCTCCAACTGCTCCGCTCTGTGTGATGCCCTCTTTTCCGCCGGGGCTCAGCAGATTCTGCAGGATATCCTGTGAAGTCGCTCCCACAATGCAGTTGTGAGTTAGGTGTGTGCGGTTTTTGTCAGCGGTCCTGACGCTGACTGCCTTCATTCACGAATCCATAAGCTGGTGCCCTGAAGCAGAAACGAGTGTCAAAGAAGCCGGACGCGACGGCAAGCAAACGAAGACGACGACTGTCCGACATAAATGAAGCGATGTGCCTGGAAGTGCCTCCGATTAGGGAGCTCGCTGTGTGCGCGTCATTGGCACCCAACTCCTCCCAGCGTTCAGAGGGTCCCCAGGCGGTGTGGACCACGCGGCCCTGACCGGCCACGAGATAAGTCTGGCATCTGACAAGATCTACCAGGCTTCTGTGCTAGCCTCGCGCAGGGAGTCGTGAAGCCAAACGAAGTGAGTGTCTCGCCAAACCTAGGTACATCATGGGACACGGTGTGCACACAGGTCAAGCTTGATTTGCACCTACACTTCCTGGTTGACACGTGTTCCGTCTGACTGCACTTCTTGTCTTTCGCCTTCAGTGATCAGAGCCTTTGGTGCTGAATGCTGATCCAGGTGCCATCCAGTTGGAGTGCTCGAAAGCTTTGCGACCGAAGGCTAACAATCTGGAGACGACCTTTGCCCGTGTCAAATCCAAAGTGGCAAACGTACGAACCACGTCTCTGCAACGACCACCTACTCCAAGGTCACACTGCATACTTTAAGGAAATGACTTGGCGTGTGTGCCCTTGTGCTTGAAGTGGCTGCACCAAGTCTGTGTGGAGGTGCCTCAGCTTCTCACCTCTGCTGCGATGTGAGAGGCAGAGGAACGGGTGCACTGAAAGGTTCCTAAGGGCAGAAATGCATCTGGCACCACGGAGACTTACATGAACCTGCTTCCAAGAGAGCTGTCTAGTGTCAACAGTCTTTATTGTTCACAGCCGAGACAATTGCTGAGGCCAACCGAAGCCTACTGAGCAGAAACTCTTATGGATGCTGTCCGGCAGCCAATCAGCAGACCCGTGGGAGCAGAGTCCTGCATCTCAATCTCTCGAGAGAGCACGGCCCCCGCAAGCTGCTGGACTTCATCCGCCATTGCCTTTTGCGTCTTGTGGCACTACTGCTTCCCAATGCTGTGAAGATCTGAAAGCTCGTCCTAGGAGTGACCACGGACTACTAATGCAGGCTAGTGCCTCGTGGATCTCCTCCGCAATGTCCCCAAACAAGCCAGTGCAAAGAGCCAGGTGTCGCAACGCCAGCACCATAAGCTCCCAAGCTATACTGTTCAAAACCTCGGCTGCCACTGATGCACTTGAGATTCTGTTTGCTCCTCAGATCCTCCAGTATCCTGCAATCTGGCCAAGAAGCTTCGCAGCTAATCGAAGTCAGATTCATATGGGGCGTCTCCTTCCCATGGCATAAAACGATGAGACTTCAAGTATGTCAGCCAAACCAGGTGAGGAGACATGCCCCTGCTCAAGTCGACATGTAAACATATCGAAACAGTGCAAGCGGGTCTCCCAGCACACCCGGCGAGTATTGTTGGCATAGCCGAATTGAGAACCAAGCCCGCGCATGATGCCTTCTTTGTCAGGACATGTCAGAGACAACTTGCAGGGGGCCTGAGCAAATCTACAATCGGTGATGCTTGTCAATGACAACAAGAGTAGCAACAGTTCATACTGTTGTGAGTATTGTGCAGCACGGAGGCAGGGTGCCGAGCTACTTTTGTGAAGTACTGTGCTGCGCTAGACGCAGACTAAGCCCTGGGCCAAAGCAGGTGAGAGTTTGCTGCTCCGGGTCGAAGTCCTCGCTCGGATCGCTTCCAAGCCCAAGCCCCTCGAGCAGCTGCGAAGAGCAAGTGTCAAGTACCTGAGGCCAAAGAAATTTCAAAGGACCTCTTCATTCGAGCTCCCAAACTCCTTAACTCCTTGCCTCGAGGTTGGCGCGGGACCCCAGCAACGCAAAGTTGCAAGCATCCTCCTGGCAGTTAAAATTCGCCAATGGCAAGCTCAGGAACAACAAGTTGTTTCAAAACACGTTCGAGTAGCTGTCCTGTCCAGCGGCGACTCTCCCATGTATCCCCAATGAGAGCGCGGCAAGCGCAATGATCATCAAGTATCTTTGCCCTAGTGTTTCAGTTCTCGTATGGTCACATGCCTCGGCTTGAACCAGGATGCCCGAATTGAAGAGACACCCCCAGTAGTCAGCGACGCTTTGCAAATCCAGTGCGGAATTCGCGACTTGTCTTGAGTCGGCCAGAGCTTCGGGTCCAAAAGAATGCTGGAGTTGTCAAGCTTGGGCTTCGGCTAGATGGCACCGGATTCAGCATGTTGGATGTGCATGTGAGCTCAGGCAGCACAATGTGACGATCAAGCAGCTTCCGAACTCGCACCTTGGGCACGCCTAAGGGCATCATGTGCCAGCCGTCGTCCCTAGCCTCCCCGATGTCACCCTCTCCAGCTGCACGCCACTACAAGGAAGGCCTTCCGAGCGCCTGAAGGGCATTGCTCTGCCCAGCTTGAGCACGAAGAGGCAATTGGTTTGGCCTGCGCATTGCAATCAGTACAGCACAACTATGTGGCTGCAAGACTTAGATCTTAGGCAGCAACGCAGCCACAAAGCTTGTGGACGACCAAAGCCTGTGCACCAGTACTGGATAGTCCCCGGTGACGTTTGAGCATCTAGAAGTCTATGCCATGAAGGAGCGTCTGCTTCGTCTACTTTCGTTGTGCTTGTTTCCATGCAGATTCTACCAGTACATGTCGGCTAAGACTTCGAGCTGCCTCGGAGTTGGCCGGGTAGCAGGGATGTAAGACGTGCGCTGGACAAAACCCTCTGGCCTGAGCACTACTACGGCGAGACCACCCGCCAGGAGCCAAGATGAGTGGGCCTACGCCGGGTCATCTGCATGCTCGTACCCCAAACCTGCGCTCACCTAAAATTTAAACATGACAAAGCTATGACAGCCATGCGCCTGCGCCCTTGGCCTCGGGGCTGTACTGGCGCCTGGAAGCATCACCACACAGAATGCTCCACAACCCAAAGCTGGGCTACAAGATTCCTCGGATTTCTTTTTCGCACCTCTGAACACTCAGGAGCGGCGTGTGCGTGTGCATGTGCGTCTGTGTGGGCGCGCGTATTCCCGCCAACACGAAGAGGAGCACAGCAAAAGACTGCCAAAAGGACCAACCTGATGTTCCTTCCCTACAGCATTGGCAGAGACATAGATGCAAAGTGTGACAGTAGTTGTAGCACACTGAATGGCCTGTGTGCGACATGGGCGGCACCTGCAACGTGCAGTTTTGGGCAGGGAAGTGATGACATGAGGTATGTGGCAAGGTTGCACTGAAGGTTACTGGTATCGCAAGATGCGACGAGAACGGCAAGATTGTGCTGGCAAATGACATGCGGTGGAGCTTGCCTTTAGCCACGCAAACAAGCCTGGGCCAGACCCCGGCCACCGCTTCTCACCATGGGCCGAGTCGCATGCAGGCATCGATCATGTGGACAAAAGTGGACACATGTGTGCACATGCAGAAGCAAACGCACTTTGCTGAACCTCTTTCGCCGTAGACTGAAACAAATTAACGCTCCCAAGTCTGAACTAAGGGCTCGCTGCCCGACGAGAATGCTACTTGTTGGGCTGGACAACTTTATGGGGAAAAACAGCCTTCCTGCGGTCTTCACAGGTGCCATTCCCAGCCGATGCACCGAGTTTGGTGGTCACGCATGTCGCTACAAGGCCCAAAGACTCCTAAGATCCTAAGCTGCCTAAGCTTGCAAAGAGGCAATGATGTCACGCAGCTCCAAGACTTCGGGATGACTTCCCCCAAACAACTTCTCGCGCAAAGCCAGCTCGCCTCGGTTGTGGCATGTTGTGGCAACGCGCGCGTCTTACTGTCATAGGAGTCATATTCTGAGTAGGAACGAGCACATCAGGCCTCTGGCTGTCTGTATACGCCCGCAATCACTAGTATAAGTTCAATCACTGATTCTCGTCATAGCTAACTCTTGGATCAAATATTCGGGTCGTCCCTGTTGTTGTGAACTAGTATGCCGGAATTGACCGATGCCCAACTCAACCAACAGATTATGCCTTCCATCAGCGATTGAGCGGCGGGAGTAAAGGTTTAGGCAGTCTGCAATCTCGCCCATTCGTTCTCTGAGGTTGGCAGTAGCATTCAGAATGTCTGCCACCTCTGTGCTATCAGGATCGAGATGCTCCTGGATCTCCAATGCGCGGGCGTACAATCTGAGCGACTCATCTACCTCACCCAGCGAATCCCTGCGTCCAGCGAGGTTGAACAAGATCTTGGCAATGTGGGGATGTTGGGGTCCAAAGAACCTCTCCCAAATAGCCAGGGATCTGCAGGCAACGGCCAGCGCCTCCTCGACTTGCCCCAAGCGATCTTTCAGATTGGCGATGCTGTCCAGAGTCATGGCAACGTAAAAATGGTTTGGTCCAAGCACCTCATTGGACTCATGCACGGCAAAGGAACCAAGCAACAGTAGGCATGCCCGTCGCCGCCCTTATCTGTTCCGCCTTCATCCCTTCAAGATGTCGTTACAATATATTACAGTATCAGAAACTCCGTGCTAGTCTCCTAGTCCCTGGCCCAAGGAAACCATGACAAAACCCTGTAGAAGCCTCAAAATCCTGCAATCTCCAGCGCCTTCTCTCTGATGCCCAGAGCTCGGGTGTAAGCTTCCAGCGCTTCTTCAACTCGACCTTGGGCCTCCTGCAAGGCGCCAACAACAATGAAAAGGTTGAGGGTTCCAGGAAAGCTTTTAGGATTTCTGGAGGGCTCATGTTAGTACGAGCAGGGGCTAAGGATTTGGGAGGTGTTGGGGCTTGCTTCACTGATAACCACCCCACTTCTCGACAAAAACAACGAGTCCTTCAACTCAGCAATGGCATGAAAAGCCGCTGCCACGTCTGGGTGCTCGGGTCCATGGATCTGCTCCAGAATCGCCTTGGGCACACGTGATGTGCTTCCGGGGTGGGATGCCGATGCCATCTCCCTCAGGGTCCCTCACCAAACCTCTGCAGCGAAGATTCGCTGCATCCTCAACAGGCGCATACTTGGTGCTCTGATGCTGCGGGCCCAGATCAGCCTCAGAACCTCCTCATTATCCGTTTGGGATTCGTTCGGGTTCCGTGGCAGTCCTCCAAGTCGCCTGACAGCTTCTAGATAGGTTGAACCATTGCAAGAAAAGACGTCGCTTCCTCAGTCACACAGCATGCTCGAGCCTCTTGCAGCTTTCAGCTTTGCCACTTCACCCAGTGTTGTGGCTTCCTGAGTACAGGTTGAACGGATTCACATCACCGCATGCTGGACTGGCTCTGCATGAACGCCTTGTAGCAACTTAGTAGCAACACCAATGCAAACAGGAGTCTTGCAATGGTGACAGAGGCCCACTTGGGCCCTGCAAAGACTCCCAGTCTCCTGCGAGATGATCCCGGCTTTCTGCATGGGCCCTATGGCCTTATTCTCCGTGATCGCACGGCTTGAAATTAAGATGCAAAATGAAGCCTCGGGCAGTTCTGCTTTCAGCGCTGAAGAAGTGCTTCAGAATCAAGTCTCTGTATGCCAGCGTCCCATCACCTCGGTGAGGCGTTGGCTGTCTCATTCAAGCGCGACTTCACGTGCCACAAATCACCCTCACGGTAAGCAAGAGACCGTCCACGCCGGCATTGGCAAGCATCTCCTTTGGTTGACTCCGCATGGGTTTTTGAACACATGGGCTGAAACTGCTCTTCGTGTGTCAGACAGGATGAGAAAGGTTTCTGCTGGGATGACACGCGCGGCAGGAAGCGCACCTCCAATTCTTCAGACGTGAAGGGGTTGCCTCGGCTGATCTTGGGCATAGACGTCCACGACATCCACGAAGCCGTATGATGGCCCGAAGCTCATCAGAGACAAGAAGCCTGACATGCTCATGATCTGCACCAGCTGCTCCACGGAGATCCGGCCATTCCCTTGAGTGTCAAAAGCCTGTGAACTGCGAAAGCTGCAGAACACGTGAAGCCGGAAGAATCCCACAGCTAATTGTGGCAAGGCCTGGAAGCTGAGCAGAAGCTCCTGTGCTTGATCTTTTGCCAGCCACTGCCGGAGTGCTTCCTCTCCAGAGGCTGTCAGTGTCTGTCAAAGCTGTGGGCAAAAAAGCTGCGTTGCGGTCCTGCATTAGTTGCACGAATGCCGTCCCATCGAGCATGGAGGAATTGCAAACACTGTTGCAAAGCTGAGTGACCTTGCTCATTTCAAGCAAATCTTGTGCAAAAAATGGAGTCAGCTGCTAAACGCTGTCACTGTACTACGGGAGTTGCTGCCAAGGGGCATCGTCTTCTGTTGGGTTCATTCCAAGCAGGCGCATGGTAGCTGGCAGCTGCGTTGCAGTCAGACAGTCTTCACCTCCTCGAAACTCGTCGAATACCGCTTGGATCGTTGCCTCGGAAGACTACAGTATGTCACAAGATTCACGATGGGACCGACAGGCTAAGTCGGGCTAAGTGCAAGGAAGCAGCAATTGAGTCCGCCATGGCGTTTCATCGCAACTTGGTGTGTGTCGTAGTCACGTGCTGGCCTCTGCACTTCTCAGTCCGCCTCATCACAGTGTCCACACACCACTCACCGTTCACGAGGCATAAGAACCATGGCGCTAGGTCCACTGAAACATGTTGAGTCGAAGCGTCACTACGCCGCTAGCGTAATGACTGGAAGAATGACTTGCTCACACCCCGAGATTTCCCGGTTGTTCTGGGTAAAGGGCTTGCTCATATGTTCAACTGTCGCCTTGGTCGGTCTTGCCAACTTGCTCAATGCAGGACACCAGCAGCCACCAGCGGCAAACTTCAAAATTCATTGTTTCATGCATAGTTCACTTCTTTCCGCATACATCTTACCCTCGGAACACTCCGAGAACGGCGGGGTTAATTTTAATTCTTAGCTCTGGTGAAATGGCCCAGAGGCTGACGTTAACACATCGCTATGTACATGCGCAACTACAATCGCGACTTCGGAATGCCACAACAAACAGGCATGCTGACTGATTTTCCAACATCCTCGAAGGCACAGAAACATCATTTGCAACTTGACAGGATAAGAGAATGGAGTCTCATAGTCCAACTTCGGGGATTGGTGTATTGGTGTACGTTGTGCTTCGACCGTAAGCATGGTAACGAAAACATTCAGCGGCGACAAAGCTCAAAAATGGAATGAAATTTCCCAGGCTCTGCGAGCAGTGCCTGCAAAGGAAGCTCACTCACTATCAACCGTCAGACTCATCGTAGCAGGCAAGAGTGCAAGAGGGCTCTTTTGAGATGGGCTCATCGCCTTTGGGTCTGTTTTGGGCCAGCACTGCTCTCGACTACTGTAGTTCTCTTGCCACCTCATCGAGAGCATGGTATGGCCCCGAGCTACTGCCACAGAAGGTCAGGCATCCTGGCGCAGTTCAAGATGTTGCGGACATCCCTCTAAACAATTCTAAACTTGGTTGCATACACTTGCGATCACTTTAGTTTATGTGCCAATCTTGCGAGCACAACTGCATCTTTCTGGGGGTGAGAAAGGCGTGAGCGTGGCCTTTATGCCCCTTGCGAGTTTCGGAGTGATCCCCAACTGCTGCCAACACTTTAGCGCTCACTTTAGCCTACAATGAGGACATTGTGCGGTCCCAGTCTGCGTGTGCAGTGAAGTGGCTGAGCTATGTGTTGTCTCTAAGCTTTGTCTGACATGACTCGCGTGACAAGCGACAACCACCACGAGCTGCAATCAGGCCCGTCCTTTCTCCTGTACAGGTAGAGGTAGCCTCAACTGTCAAAAGCAGTGCAACACAGCGCAAGATGCGACAAATGAGCGCCAAAAACGTGCCAATGATGAAAGGTCCGCACCCAGATCAAGAGGCGGAGCTTCAGACTGCGCAACCTTCCCAGGTGTCCAAAGTATTCCAAGCTGCCTCTCACGATGCTCACTGACGGAATGCAGCCTTGCTGTCATCAAAGATGACCCACGTATCGCCCTCTCCTCGCCGCCTTGGGGATGAGAAGAAAGACACAGGCGGCGCAAAGGGACGTGCTGTGCCTGCACACTATAGGGCAGCTAAGGTGCATATGACACACGTAGTGTCCGTGTGAGGTGTGCTTTCCGATGTGTGACACAAAGCCGACGAGCGTGTACCTGAACAAATCAGGACAAGTATCTGTACGTGTAGCAATGTAAGCGAAGTGTCCAGGAATGATTGCAAATACTTCCGCAGATGAAGCTGGCACTCCCCGACGCCGTCGCTGTAGTCCTTCGGCGCTGCCTGACAATTTGCAAACCAAAATATGCTGCACTGTCATCAGTGCACTCGGTGCATGAAAAGACAGCTAGAAGCACCAACGATGGATGTTGTGAGGTCTGAGCACTTCCACCGCCGGTCGATTGGCCACCCAAAGAGGCAACAGCTGCATCCAGATCGTCTGAGTGGGAAAACAACCTCGTTCAAAAGCAGCTACGCCAGTACATTGAAGGGTGGACTGCATGAGATGAAATTCTGTGAGGTCCAAGCCAATCTGCAGCTCTTTCAGCACTGTTCATACACCTTAAAGAACGGGACGGTGCAGGATGGGAGCCGTTGCAGCCTTGCCTCCCGACAGGAACTAAGTCTCACTACAAGTCTCAGATTCGCGCGACTTGAGTGCTGCTTGCACGTGATTCTGTGCAAAGCCCATCGAGCACAGCATTGACACAGCTTCCGGGTCTGGCCTAAGCTGGCGCCGCAGACCACTCACAAAGTGCATAGCGGATTTCGCTAGGCAATGGCCAGCAAATGCGCTCGCTCTGACAGACGTCGACACTGCCGTTTCCAATCGTGCTTTCTGTTCTTTCCTCTGCATGGCATGTTCAAGGCAGACCTGCGTGCAGAGTTCCCAGGCTAAGCTCGACTTAAAAGCGTGGAGATAGGCATCTTGCCTTCCTGATGCCCCGCTGCCCCACACGTATTGCACAAGACATTATGCGTGAGCGTCCAGCTCGCTTGTGCTTCTTCAAGGCCTTTTTGGGAAATTGTCTCACCAAATCGGACTGAGGCCAACTACCGAACAGCTCTATGCTGCGGCCCCATCGAACAGACATCCTCGCAAAACTGGCAAGGCCAAGAGACTTTTCAAGACGAGGGCAGAACTGCTGTACTGCTGAGCCTAGACTCAAACTTAAAAGGCTTGGGACTTACGGCTCTGCAGCGATGGTGCGTTTGGCCGGTGTCGCTCCACATGGTTTGGCCAGATGTCCGGGTCCACTTGCCGAAGGCCAGTCGGCAGGCAGCATCCAAGTGCATTCCCGAGAAGGTCATGGCCCGTGATGCCTGCGCAAAGCGCCATACAATTGGCATCCTTTTCCTTGCGGCCCACGATGTCATGTTGACGCACAAGCTCGCCAGGGAGAAGAAGCGGACACTCAGGTTCAGCACGGTGAGGATGCCGGTCCACAGCCTCGGTTGTACGACTCCTGAGGTGTAGTGGATTGTGCTCTGCCAAGATGATTGCGAAACCTCATGACGAAGGTGGCACCCAAAAGCACCGGGCGAACCGCACCGTACACGGTGTCGTTCGGATCCCCCAAGTTGCAACGACTTGACGTCGACGCCGCCCTTCTTCAGACAGTTGCACACGTCTTCTTCTTCTCTTCTTCTTCTTCTTCTTCTTCTTCTTCTCGTGATCTTGTCGCGCCGATCTCGGCTTCTGGGGTCAGCTTGCCGTCCTTAGCGCCCTTGTTGCAGTTCAGGTCGGCGGAGAGCTTGGAGCTCGGAAAGGCCTCCTGTGACATGCGGCGCAAGTCGCAGGGACAATTCAGCGAGAGCGCGTACAGACGGAGGAGGCGATGACGCCCTGCCAAGCTCGACTGCCAGCAGGATGCCGAAGACGTCTCCTGACAGCCTGGATCCTGTCAAAGTCACAGGCCACTGTGGAGAACTTGATGAAGGTGCTGTCAGACTCACGCCGGACACGGCCTGAGCCAAGTCGATGACACACAGCACCTGGCTGACTTCTGGCTGATGTGGGACAGGTCGACCGTCGGCGGCTCTTTGGACGCATCCAGCACTCGAGCGTGTGCCAGGCTTGCCTGCCAATGCCCTCGAAACCCTTCAAGAACTCACTTGGCACCGTCCGGCAGACCCAGCTTGGGCGCCACCACGAATACCATGAGGCCCAGTGCCACGTGAACTCGCATGCCCCAAGATGAGCCTGGTGTCCAAGCGTGGATGCAACCGCCCGAGCATATCTGCGGAATAACTCCATGCATCTACATGTCCCTGAGATGTTATTTCGCATTGACGAATGAGCGAATGCTGTCCATGCACTGGGCACCTCCCGGGCAAGGGGTCGCACCGCTCACTTGCTCGTCATTACCCTCCGGCAGGGCAGACAGAAGCAGCGGCCATGGTTGCAGAGAGCGGGGAGGGAGCGCGTTGTGAAGCGCCAAATGGCTTTGCATCCTAAAGCTTCCGCCGCCGCTAGGCTAGACATTCAGAATCTCCGGTTTTGGGTTAGGTTGCTAGATTTAAACTCGGCTATTCTGCAGAGAATCCAGGGAGTGCCCACATGTGCCCACCCCGGAGAGGTCAACGTGCCACATCCCTAGGAGCACTTATCCCAGATGATCCCTACAGTGCCTGTCAATTTGCCTGGTGGCTTAGTCTCATGGCCTGTGGGTAGGGATCTTCGAGGTAAATAAGGGATTTGCTGCTGCAAGAGGTCTGGTGCCCGACGAACCACCACCAGCTTCATCGACAGCTGCGCCGCCAGCTCCTGCATTGTGTCTGCAGCAGGCAACTTCTCGTTGACTGGCACACCCAAGACTACTCTCTTGTCTCAACATGCTAGCTGTGCTGCGGGCTTCAAAGCTGTGTGTCGAGTCTAGCTTTGTACTTTGCCGGGGCCGGAACACTTGTAAACGGAACTGGGTCGGGACGTGATCTTCCCGAACACCACAACAAGTGCCTGAGTTTTGGGGCCCAGTCCGAGCATCATGCCGCGGCTGAAGTCGCTTTGTGCGGATGTGTAGAAGTAGTGCAGAAGGGTTCCCAGGTGGCAGTCGCGCAGGAAGTCGGCCCCATCAACCCGCTGGGGCCCATCAACCCGCCGCGGCCGGGGGGGGGGGGGGGTGGGGTGGGGATCGCACTACACTCCTCTCAAGTCTCTTGTGGCCTGTCGCAAGAATGAAGAGGATGGAAGGTTGTGATTTAAGGCGTGAGTGAAAAAGCTTTAGCATAAATGTGCCCGTGGAGCCTGCTCCCGAAACAACATACCTTATCTCACGCAGATCTCAGCCTGAGCATCACTAGCTGTCACTTGCTGCTAGCCCCATTCAGGAACTGGTCCCACAGGGTCGTTGATGTCGGGATCGGTATTGTGCTCAAAAAACCTGAGCCCAATTGAAGTCAAGATGATGTCGACACTCTGCGAGCAGTGCAGTGGGGAGTGGGGAGCGGGCCACGCAATGGCGGCTTCTGCACTGGAGTTGCCCACAGCCAGGCTGGCACGCTTGGCCTGTGCGTCCCAGGGCAGCTGAGAACCGAACCCAAGAGGCCCAGGAGAAACGCAATGTGCTCAGATGCTGGCAGCGTTTTCACCAATATCCATGGACACCAGCGTCGCCTAAGAGGGCAGCCCAATATGAAAAAACCGAAACACGGAAGCAGAAGGTTGCCAGGCCCTCCTAAGACGCGTGCGACAATCATGTCGTCTGCTTGAGGTGCAGCAGCTGGAGCCGCCCTACGGTGTCGCACATGGTGTCATGATGTGTCATGGTTTGCTGGCGGAGTGGACTTAGACTCAGGAGCCAGCTGAGGAGCATCCGGCTCTTCTGGCACCGGCTCCTCTCCTTCCCGCATGCATTGGCTGTTAGAGGGCTGCTTAGCTGCTTAGACCCAACATTCACCCCTTCTGATACTTGTGTGCGTTTCCACATCCTTTCCAGCACTTGTCGGACGCCTAGCATGCTGGTGCAGCTCAAAACGTAAGCAGTTCTCTCGTTGTTTGTTCCCTGTATCATTCATTCCACATCCCATTTGCATTCACGAGACCCCTGATTGCTCCCAGACTGCTTTGTGCCTTTTGCAGACCGGAATCCTACTAATTACCTCAATGCTCCCTCACTGTACCGCAGCAAGACTTCCAGTAAGTGTCGTGGCCAGGTCTTCCCTATTTTGCTGCCACGGGTCACGCTGGGCAGTATTGCGTGGTGAACTTGAAGGTTTGTGTTATTTCTGTGAGGTAGTAGCGATGCGGGCTGTAGATCCTGTACATCCATGTACATACGGCATAGATCATACGGCAGGATACAAACACATTTTTGTTGCTGGTTCGCTGCGCTTCTCCTGGTTGAAGACCCCTGCCACGGAGGTGCTCAAGATTGAGTGTCTCTGGCCTTGACTGAGCGAGCATGAGCAGCCTTGTCGTGAATCAAACTGTGGCAAACAGTGCTCACCTGTGCAAAGTCGAGACCATCGTCCCGCAGGCTACGCAAGTGCACGCAAGCCCGAGAGTCGGGCATAGGAACCTGTCCGACATGAGAAAAGTCTTGCAACCCGCCAAAATAGAATAAGGAACTCACTTCGAGCAGCTCCCACTGTCGACACATCTCATCTGACAGGAAAAATGGAAAGGAAGGAAAATAAACAATGGCTAGAAAACATACGCATGAGCGTCAACCGGCGGTTCCGGAAAGCACTTGCTCTGGGTCTGAAGATATGTCCCATCCCAGCATTGCACAGCAGCACATCTCCAAAAACAATCTAAAGGCCCCAACTGAGATGAGGTGAAACATGCACACCATGGCAACTTAACTGAGTATTAGATCTCGGCCCCCGGTCTAAGATGTTCTTCATGAGTCTTCTTCAGGAACACAGAGCCTCAATCCTGGGAGGCGCTTCACAACAGATTAAAGGCACATGTCGACACACTGCTTCTCCCCGTAAAGCTACACTTTTGGGTGGTCTGAAAGTCCATTGTAGGGTCAAAGCCCATGCTTTCAATACCAAAAGAGGAATGCACGAGAACCAGTATCACTTCCAAAAAAAGGCGCGCTGCTTCTCTTGAAGGGAATCCCACTCTAAAGAAACGGCTGGGCCGCGCCTTGCAGTCTAACTTGGCCGGGCACCACTTCTCGTCCACATAGTACCGCTGAAGCTGCACCAGCAGGTACCTGTGAAGAACACCGACAGAAGGCGCAGTCGAAAAAGACGTGTCAATCCCCGTCTGTGCTGGCTGGACCTTGGCATGGTGGCCATCCTCGACCTCAACGCGACAATGCAAGGGGCAAAATCTGCAAAGGGCAAAAAACATGCAAAAGCAAAAGCAAAGGATTTGCTTGAAGCATTAAGAGCAAAGCACCCGAAACAAAAGGATCCGAAGACTTCAAGGCCGCAGCGTCTTTGAAGCAGCGCTGCCTCGAAATTGGACGCCATCCTTCCACAGTGCAACAGCAGATGCTCCCAAAGCTGTCAGAGTCCGACATGTGGGGCTGTATAACAACCCCGATGGAAACCTGCTGGTCCCCAAAAATGTTATCGTTTTTTTTTACTCCTTATCGTTTTACAGTGTATGCGCACAAAACACAGTCTTGTTGGCTAGAACTCTTATCGTTTTACAGCGTTTGCTTATAAAACGAAATGCTTCGGAGCACTTGGTTTCCACCAGGCCCCCAGAGACACCCCAAGACCAGAGTCACCACAGGGCACACATCTTCAACCCTGGAATGGTCCAGGTCCTTCAACAGACCCCATCGTGAACAAAAAGTTATCGTTCTGGTTATCGTTTTGTTATCGTTTTTGACCTAAAGAATTAGGGGTGTGAGGGGTGTAAGGGGGGTGTTAGGCGTGTACGGGGCCACACAACAAAAACCCTGCAGAAAGTTATCGTTTTTTTTACTCCTTCTCGTTTTACAAGCTAAACGATCCTCGGGCGCACTCCTTTCTAAACCGCAAGCCGCGGGGTTAGTATACAACCCCATGTGTCTGTGAAGTCAATCAGCGGATCCGAAATCGGCGCTGCACAAGTCTCCTCAGGTGCTGCGAAGCGTGCCAAGCAAGACCTGACACTGATACTGCAAGGCTACAAATGCAACCGAATACTCTGACTTGCGAACCTCGCAAGCTCGCAAGCACAAGTTCGAGGGAAGCACGGCAGTGGTATCACAGGCTTGGGCTCTTCCGGCTCACCTTTCAAGGGCTCTTCAGGGCAGGGCTGTCAGCAAGACACTTCAGCCAAGTGCCTTCTGTTTTCGGCTTCTTCGCCTCTTGCTCGCCTTTGTCCTTTGCTGCTCTGAATGCCGTAACCTGCAAAGACAAAACACAAACTCTACGCAAACAGTCTGCAAACTGGATCTGGGTCGGTCGCATCAGTGATGATTATAATGCGAGTTCTGTCTCTAGCTGCTGCGCGAATGCGTGGCTGCGCAGAGAATTGAAGAAACACATGGTAGGGTAGTACAGAAGCCTGATTCGGGAACTAAGAGGCTGCCTTGGGAAGTTGATTCGTGAGAGGATTCGAATGATCGACCCGGGTTTGTACTTTCTGAGATGAGGTAGTAGCTTCTGAGGCCTCTGAGGCTCGTCTTCAGTCATGTCAGCTGGCCTCTTGGAGGTTCTCAGCATCATCCAGCTTGACCTGTGCCGAGGAGGTTTGCAGTACTTCTTGCTGACAAGTTGTCAACCGTACATCGGTTCTGAGGCATCTTCTGGAAGACCGAGCATGTTCTGCTGGACCGTACTATACCTGAGTAACACTACCAGTACACGAGCATGAGCTCATGATCAACGAGTGAAAGAACAAAGCTCAGCTCGCGTGCTTCACTCTCCTTTGACCAGAGCTTTCCTGCAGCCGCTCTTCCACCTGGCATGAGCTGCTCACGATCATTTCATTTCACGTACACGGATCTGATCGTAGCTGTGCAGAACTTAAAAAGTAGAAGCAGTAGCCAGAGGGGTGGGGGTCCCTTGACCGACCAAGAAGCTTGAAAAGCGACCGCAACCTCAAGCCACTTCCGCCTCGGGGAGGGGGGGGGGGGACGAAAGCTCAACAAAAAGTCCACAGATATCTGAAAAAACACAAAAACTGGCTTTTACAAAAGCCATAGAACAATTCGGTGCTGTTGTTAACATACTTTATTACATTCAGCTTCGGGTCCTAAGTCTTTTCGACATACATACTGTTGATTGGACCATAGAACCCTTAGAAACAAACTAAACCCAATCGTACATCCAGCCGTGTCTGGGCTGTTCGAAGCTTCACTACTGACACAAACGAACTGATTTGCTCAGAGAAGGTGATCATGGGTTCAGACTTTGCAAGCTCAGTTTAGGTTGTTGGTGCGGTCTTGCATGGTGCTGCCGAACCGAGCTTTTTTCAAAGCTTGCGTCTGCAGGTGTCTCTCCCTTGGCCAACAAATTAGATAGAACCTAGACTCCAACTCCCGGGGCAGTTGGCGTGGTGCAAGAAACTGCACGCCGTGGCCACATTAAACGCCTGCCGGGCTTGCCGCAAACTCGAAAAGGGCGGTAGTCGAGCCTTGCAGTCTGCTTGCAAAGAGCACTCAGAGGGACTCTGAGTGCAATAATAGTATCACTAATCCCAAGTAAGTCTAAACAAAGGCCGCCGCTATCTCCCGTCAACCGGGAGCCCAGAGCACTCCGCTCAGAGCGTGCAATCTGCTCCAGGAAGTACTGCACCCAGGACAGCTACGCATGGCTGCGCGTGCGGGATACTGCTAAAATTTTTAAAAGCGACAAAACACGTGGGACTCGCCTGAACGAATTCCGCGGCATCCTGCTGCCTGCAGGATGGGGCAGACATGTTTAACACTCGGCTCAAGCGACTCAATTTTGGGCACAACCCACCTTGCAGTGGAGAACTCGACGTGCCCTCTCCCGATGAGCGAGCGGAACATCTGGCAGATCAAGGCGTGCTGTGGTCTCATTCGGTCTCATGCTACTGTGGCGTTGGAAGCTGTTGTGGCATCCTGCCTGAGGTGCGATGGAGTATCTGGGGTCTTCCTCATCATCTCCATCTTTCCTGCTCACGAAGCTACAGCACTTTCAACATATTTCCTGTGTCGCTACAGAAGTTGCTGGAACGGATACTCTGAGAGGCTGGCAGAGGTGGCGCGTAGCGTGGGCCATTTAAGCCACTGACAAGCTTTGCCACCTGGCTGGATGGCTGGGTGTCTCAATTAATGTGCACTTCTCTGAAGTGAAGGACCTGCCTGGCCGAGCAGATCATTCTGCACTTCTGCAGGCGCAGATTTTCGGATCTGACGCAAGCCGAATCCGGCTTCTTGCAAAGTAGGCAAACATTTCTCGAGCAAACGTCTCGGCCTGCAAATCTGCATCTAAGTAGCGCTGCTTCACTTCCGGAAGCGCCTAGGCTTGGCCGCTGAGTATTTCTGAGTATTTCAGGATCCGTGATTCTTTTTCTTTGAGGAACCTACGAGCAAAAGCTGGACCGAAGAGTTCATGTAGCAGGACTGCCTGTCAGTGTCATTGCACGGAATCGAAAGAATGAAGCCCGCCGACCCCGGCAAGCTGGGGGCCAGCGCCAGTTGTTGCGCTGGCTTTCTCCCGCTTTCGCACAAATCGGATGATGGCCAAGGTTCTTGGGGCGGGTTCGGTCTTAAATGAATTCAGGGTTTGGTCCTGCTTCCGGTTTTGGCCGGCCTCAGCAAGAGAACTGACATTGTCCGCCCACGTGTGCGGATTGTGGACTTGAGCACGAGTGCCCTATACTACCCTACACCCCACAGTCCCCCGGACCCCTCCGTTGCATTCTGCTGCTCGTGGAGTCTGGCGGCTTTTTCGGGGTCGGCGGAAGCGGCGTTAGCCCTTAGATTCTACGAATTTTCGATGCGGAAAAGAACTGCAGGCGCACCCAAGATTCTTGAGGCCAACCAAACCTGGCCCGCGAAGCCGGACCTTGGAATAGCATCAACTGTATCTGCCGCTTGCAGGCCACTGCATTTTTTGTGTACCTTATCTGAGCGCATCACCAAGGGCTTGTCTCCGGATTCGCAGATTTTCGACCAATCGTAGTTCAAGTTGAGATCCACCTTCCAGGCCGGAGGAATGGCAGTTGAAATGGCCGAAAGACGGGCTAGCTGACATGATGTGATGAGTGATCCGCTCGCGGGGCCTGCATCTCTGCCAGGGTCTTGTCTGTCTTCTCCATCCTTTGGACAGCAAGCATAATCTACCATAAAGCCAACAGAGCCTACAGCAAGGAGTTCGCGACTGCGTGGGCACTTCGTCAGCTTAGTCTACTCCCTGCCGAGTCTCTTCATGACGTCAATGCCCCAATGCTCCAAATGCTTTGCGAGCAAGGGGTCCTGGAAGGCACTGAAATCCACCAATTGCCAATTGCAAGCTCATACGTCTCGAGCAGAAAGCCATGGCCCATTGCACTTGGAAATCTCAGCCTTCCCACCTTCCCACTCCCCCGCATCAGGGGCACCCAATGGCACCCAGCTCTCCTTGACCATCTTGTCCTCGTCGGGCGCATAGGAGTAGACATCGGCGCCTAGTACGGCTGCAAGGCTGTGCAATTCAGATGCCACCTTCTTGCAGCCTGCAGCCTTTAGCAACATGTTGCAGCGAGCCTGCAGGCGTTATGGTTCCCAACTTCACCACCTCCCATCACGGATCATAGGCATGCGGATCATGTCCTGGGAACCCACGCAGCGAGCTCCCAAGGCCGAGGCAAGAGGGTAAAAATTTCCCTTGGCTTTCTCCTGTGCAGACATCTGCTTCTGCCGGTACACCAAAGCATTGCTACAAGTATGAGGTGCTCAGGTCGAGAAAAAGCATGTCTAGCAGTCTAGCAATCTCAATGTGTTTCGGCACGTCTGCTCGTCAAGGCGACTGGAAAACAAAAGGAACACAAGTCACGACAAACAGTCAATCCCCAGGAACGGAGACGAAACCAACCAGAGGCAGCTGCAAGCTATCATGGATGCATGGATGTGGCCCAGCCTCAGTGAAGTGGTCCAAGGCTCCGTTGCTGCCACCAGAGCCGTCCCAGAACTTCCGGCCGCCCCCAATGAACCTGATCAGGAGTAGAGGGCCTTATAAAGGCTTCAAGAATGTCTGTGGGTGTTCATGGCTTTGGCCCCCTGATGCTCAAAGAGTTTCTCAAGTTTCACTCAAGTTTCTGAAGATTTTGAGAGCTGCGTCCCGAGCCCATCAGAGAGGTTGAGCCAAAGGTTCTGCGTGTCGCCACTCTTCTCACACCTTGGGCAGGTGGCGGGCGAGGGGAGGCACAGCTGTCGCATGGAACGCTTCGAACTTCGAGCTGTGTCCATGCCGAAGTCGTTGAAGCTGAGGCCTGAACAGCCAGTCCTCTCCAGTCATTGCAGCAAATCTGTGCTGCCTACTTCTGTGCAGATCATCCTGTGACATGCTGCGAGTGAACATGTGCGGCAGGGGTCCTTGGGATTTGGGCTGATCTTCTTTGATGCTGGCAACTGCACCAAGTCCTGCCCCCCCGCACTGTCGCCAGAACCGCTTGGCACAACCCACGCAACTCGTAGTGACTCGTAGTGTACGTCGTAGTGTGTCTATTCCGAGCTCAGCCTTGTAATACTTGGACTCTGTCACTTCCTGGTCAGCTTGGCATGACCAGTGCAGGAACAGTTGAACAGTGCAACTCTGTATGTACCCCTCAGCATCCAACGTCATCTTCCCACTGAGCCACTGCGTCCATGGATTTCGCACCCTGCTCCAGCGGCCAAGATGCAATCGTTGCAGCTTCATGGTGTGGGCTAGCCGCGCGTGCAGAACTTTCTCTTCATTTGGTAGCCTCTTTTGCTGTTCCGGATTGTGGACGAGACCGCAGGAATCTCTGTGCACGAACTCTTGTCATGCGGGAATCCGTGATGTGTCTTGTCTCAGCTATACAGACTGCTGTTTCATCCACGCTGTCTTGCGTTCAGCCTCTTGCAACCTCTGAAAGTGGGTCTGCAGCTCATCTGTAACTTTGGTCACAGCAGCGGAGGCTATCCTGACAACTGTGCAGCAGGTATGTCACATGTTGCATGTGAGCACTCGCCTTCTCAAAATGATCCCCGGGCATGCCGTTCTCCTAGAAGAGAACAGCCGCCCGCTTTACATGCGGGATATTGGGGGATTTCATAGGAGCTGAAACAGAAGCTCTCAGGTCTCCCACATGCAGTGACGAATCTACACCGTTTCCGTCTTCATGCTTCGTGGGAAGAGTCTTGTCTGGACTCACTTGGGGATGTCGTCAAATATTGTTGAGCCCCCGTTCCGGCTGGTCTTGAGGACGTTTGGCCATGTTGCAATGACCTTGGGCAGCAATATCAGCTCGCTGACTCCATCTCTACTGTCCGTGTCTTCTATGTCTTCACGAGCCCTTACACTGAGCCAGCCACTGCCATAGCAGCCATAGGCGCTGAAGCAAGAAACCATCCAACAGGAACCGTCCAACTGGGGAAGAAGCCAGTTCCTGATAGCATATCATGGAATGTATCTTTGCGTGTTGCTGAAGACGGATTCTGCTAATTGATTGCCACAACAGACGAAATTCTCCACCGAGGCCTTCCGGGTATGGCTTGGAAGAATGGGCGTCCATGATATCCAGCTTCCCAAATGGTGGAGTGATGCTGACGATCGCCAGCAAGAGACACAGCCCTGGACAGATGTACCCCCACATCACCTGGCAGGCAGACTTCATGAGCCTGGGTGACACAACCTCCCAAGACTTCCTGACCTTGCTACGGGAAAAGATCCGTTATCGAGAGAAACAGGGACTGCGTGCTTGGTTAATTTATAGTGACCTTCCACTTCACATTTCCATAGACCAAGGCCGTGACGTTGTAGAGCCGCCCCAGATGGTGACCAGTGTGATCAACGCACAAGGATTTGAAGAGTTCCCAAGTCTTGCCCTGCCGCGTCCAAAGCCTTGACCAACACTTGCAGCACTTTGCCGCACTTTGCAGCACTTTGCAGCACTTTGCAGCACTTGCACTAGAGACTAGAGACATGAAAAAGACAGTTTTGATGCCATGAGGCAAACCAACGCATTCTAAACATCCCACTGCAAACATCACATAGATGCTGACGTAGTTGTCAAACCTTTGATGCAGATTGTATGCTCACTTGGTTGCTGACACGCGTGTCCAGTCGAGCCGGCTCAAGTCGCTCAGCCCCAGACAAGTCCAGGAAGTAGATCCCAGCTCGGGTCACAAAGACCAAGCCGAGCAAGTAGGAGACCAAGCATATCACTCCTGCATGCAGCAGAACCTTCTGGAATCTGGAATCCTTACCATAGAAGTCTACCGCAAGATATGCTGAGACACATGAGCACAGCAACCGAAACGGAGGCCCTCCTGCTAGAGCCGGGCGCGGAAGCCGCTCTCCCCACCCAGCATCAGCCAGGGCAGTTGCCAAGGTTTCGATGTACGCAAATTGCGAGTCGATTCCAAGCAGCAACATCATGAAGAAGAATAGTATGGCCTCTAGTCAGCAATCATTAGTGCATGCCACTGCAATGCTTGGTCCTCAAACGCATCATATTGTAAAGGGAGCCTGCAAACGTCTTGTGCATCCTTCCGAGACCGGAGGTCGACAAGCGCTTTCCAGATGACAACAGAAGTAGTCATTTCGGGGGGTGTTCTATGCAGGGTCAATACCAATAATGCTTTTCTTTGTGTTTTTTTCACCTTTGTAGGAGGAGAAGGCAAAATAATGGGACCTTTTTGATGCCAGCATCCAGCGGATGAGGGATCGACCATCCAGAAAGCTGACGGGTAGCCTGCGCTTTGGTAAGCATTCGTTCTCTCACTTTGCCACCTTCTACACGCATCCAGGGGCCCAAATCATGAAGAGAGCCATGGAATCTATATGTCGATGCAGGCACCGAGGCCCTAAACCCTAGACTCGATGCAGGCACCGAGGTCGCGGCCACCCATCCAACTAGAAATGTCGCTGACAACCGGCCGAGGCGGACAAGCGCCACACACACATGCTATAACATCAGTATGCATTGTATTGTCACTAGATAAGTAGACTGCCATGCTCTCAAATTTCCGCTATATATATATATATATATATTAATGGTACCCCCCCCCCCCAGTGACCTACCCTTTTTCGCCTTGTCTCAAGCCACAGCTGCACTGCAAGCAAACTCGGTGTGCAATATAGCGTATTTCCTAGGGCGTAGACTAAAATACAACTAAAATCGCATACACGGGACAGTAGAAAAACCAAAAAAACCAAAACCAAAAAAACCAAAAAACCAAAACCAAAAAAACCAAAAAAACCAAAACCAAAAAAAACAAAAAAACCAAAACCAAAAAAAACAAAAAAAACAAAACCAAAAAAACCAAAAATACCAAAAAAAACAATTTTCCGGGACTCTCAGGAAATCCCTATGAGGCTTCTCCAAGAGTCCCAGAAAATTGTTTTTTTTGGTATTTTTGGTTTTTTTGGTTTTGGTTTTTTTGGTTTTTTTGGTTTTGGTATTTTTGGTTTTTTGGTTTTGGTATTTTGGCTTTTTGGTTCGCCTTCACGGTCACGAGGCAGCAACTACGCCATTTTAAGTGTGCTTATGCTAATTGTGCTTTTCAAAAATAGTATACAAGTGGTCTTTCTAGTGCTTCAGACCTATTTGTTTCGTTATTATGTAAGTAGAGCCGCTAGTGTTTTCTAAAAGCAGCATTTGCAATACTTGTCTTGAGAAAAAGCATTTATTGCTTAGAATTGTTTGCTTAAAGAGTGACTCCTACTCGTCCAGGGATAGCCCAAAACCCTATAATCAAAACTTCACCAGAGATTCTCCTGAAAAGCTTGCGCTTTTGGATGTTTTTACGTATTTGTGAATTTGCTTGTGGTATGGCCTTCACTAAGTACTTTTCTAGGATTCTTGTGCATTTTTTAAGCCTGATTGTGTAAGTTGCGTTTTTCAAGCATAGTATATATGTGGTCTTGATTGAATACTTCAGTCATCTTTGTTTCATCGTTATGTATGTAGAACCGATTTCCATTATTGTGCATTTTTAAGCTTGCTTATGCAAATTGTGCTTTTCAGACATAGTATACAAGTGGTCTTTAGTGAATACTTCAACAATCTTTGTCTCATTGTTATGTAGGTAGAACCGTTTCCATTTCCGCAAGTGTTTATTTCGTATTTGGTTGAGTATAGTCCTTTAAATAGTATTCACTTGAGTCAAATTGGGCTATTTGCTTAAGAATTCCTCTAGTAGTTAAATTCGCATAGAATGAATACTTCAAAAAAAATGCTTCATGAATATGTAAACATAAGGTGTTTCATTTGACTTTGCAGATAGTATTTCAATAATACTTTGCCTAGTATAAATACAATTGTTTCAATGCATTAGTTCCTCAACAAAAGCACTATTTGCCCTTTAAACCACACTTTGCCATATTTTGGTTGAATATGGTGCTTCTTTCGTATTTTAGTTGAGTATGGTCCTTTAAATGGTATTCACTTGAGTCAAATTGGGCTATTTGCTTAATAATTACTCTAGTAGCTAAATTCGCACAAAACGATTATTTCAAAAATGAAAACGATTCATGAATATGTAAACATAAGGTATTGCAGTGGACTTTTCAGAGAGCATACTTTGCCTAGTACAAGCACAATTGTATAAATACAGTATTTGCACTTTAAACCCACACTTTGCCATATTTTGGTTGAGAATGGTGTCTATTTCGTATCTTGGTTGAGTATGCTCCTGTAAATGGTATTCACTCGAGTCAAATTGGGCTCTTTGCTTAATAATTACTCTAGTAGCTAAATTCGCATAGAACCAAGAAAAATGTTTCACTATTTGATTAATACTTTGCCTCGTACAAACACAATTGTATAAATAAATTAGTTACTCAACCAAACATTAATTGCCCTTTAAAACGCACAATTTGCATAGAAAAACACTGATCTAAACATCTAAAAACAGCATTGTCCGCTTCAGATTCAAAATGTAGATTCTTCCAATGCTGGCTTATCGGGGTCTGTGAGGTGGGTGTCCCAGTAACTGTCCTTCATTACCTGGTGATTAACTACGCGACTTTTAGGCCTTGTTTGTTGTTTTTTGTTAAAAAGGCCTAAAAAGGCCTAAAAAGGGTAGGTCGCTGGGGGGGGGTAGCATATTAATATATATATATGTATATTTACATATATATACATATATATATACATATAATTCTATAGTATTGATAATAATCTTCTATATTATTAGAATACTATAATATTGATTTAGAATATTATAAGATTATACGACAAAAAAGGAATAGATTCAATATTACAAGATATTATACACAAACATATTATAATGTAATATACCATTATTACATTGTTCTACTAAAATATTCTTCTGTTGGTACTTATTTAATCAGTATGCATCCGTGAAGCTGCACACCAAAGCCTTGATAAGACTGACCAAGACACGAAGAAGAAGCTGCCCGGCATCTGCGACACAGCGATTGGAAACGCCACAAATGCAAGTCCTTGTTCAGCCTACTTCAATTTCGTCAGCCGTTCATCGTTCATGCAAAGTTCGGTGAAGCTCTCTGGAACCCTACTCGAACAACATGTGCCCAAGTAGACGACTCCATCCAACTGTGACACTGACTTAGCATGAGGCATGAGCCTCTCATTTGCCTAGCAAATCGCGGTGTGTCCTGTTCCGGACAAGCCAATGCTCTTGAGGCTGTCCAAGCTATCTGCTGAGATGCATGGATCTGTCCTGAGGTTGCCATTGCTTGCTCCACATTTCAGTCCTTTTGCACCAAGCAGAGTCCAAAGGTCTGCAGTAGCTGCGTTTGACCAGCCAAGGGGCTCGTGCAACTCCTGCGCTAGAAAGCCCAGAACTGGAAACACAACGCAGCCAGCCAGAACTGAGGTGCCGCAGTTGGTGATAGCAACCTCAGGAGATTCTTAAAAAGAGAGCGCACCAGCTTGTCGCGCGCGCCTCTGCGATAATCGCTGTGCCTCTGAGCAACAGAAGTGGCATCACGGACCTGGGGCAGACAAGCATCTGCTGGGCTTCGCCATTGGTTGTGCTCATTATTTGTGCTGAAGGCTCAATGGCAGGAGAACCAGGCCCCGGACAAAGTTGCCACCTTTGCTACCATAGGAACCGAATGCGACAATGGATCCGTAACCAACGCCCAGCGAGAAGAATATCTGCACAGCTCCGTGGATCCAAACTTGAGGGTCCGAGAGGTGGCTAAAATCCTCAGCAGACGTCCACACGTCTGTGATCGAAATTTGCTCAGACTCCCTGTGGCTGGAGTAGCATCGAATGCATAATCAGCTCTGCACCAATGCGATGTGCTCAGACGGCTTGCAGAGGCTTAAGTGAAGGGAATTGTGCGCCCCGCTCTAACTGTTGTAAGGACATGTCGATGCCGCATCCCAAAAAATAGTGAGCTGTGACGGGGTCATCCTTGAAATTGCTCACATCGCATTTTCAGAATTTCAGAGGCTACGGGTCTTGTGGTGAGAAGTGGTCCTAACGGCATAAGGTGCATCAATGTGAGACAACAAAAACCCATGCCAACAACATTTCCTGCACCCATCGCAGCGTAATCGGACATGAAGCTTTTCGAAACTCCTGGTTGCAACTACGGCGTGTTGTCGTCCCACGTTCATTCTTGGCCGAGTTGGGCAAATCGACCCGTTTTCGAAAGACGGGGTTCATTGGGTTTAGGGTTGCCCGAACATCCTTCAATCCTTGTCCCAGGCAAGATGCGGCTTCAAACAAAAACTTCAGGCCGACGAAGGCATTTGGCAATGTCAGTGCACGAACCTTAGACAGTGGATGCTCTTTACCGTTCCTCGCGATGGGAACGACCGCAGCGACTGAACAAAGATACTTCCTTTCTGCCACGTTGCCAAGAAGATTCCCAAGCATACGTACGGCAAGGTGGCTGTGACGTAAACAACTTTCCCGGAGGACTTCACGCCCTTGAAAACCTCAGACAGAAAGGAGGAGGTGTGGAAATGAGGCGAGGAGTGGCAAGGAGGTAGCTGCTACTGGGCGTAACCTTATCGCCACGGAACGATCAGCCAAATTACCAACCACGCAATGGTCAGGGACACCAACAACCCCGGATTCAAGCCTGCAGAGTCGGTTCACATTATACAGGATGTCGCGGAAACGTCTTGACTAAGCCAGCGAATTCAAACCCCTCGCCACCTCCAATCTCGTCCAGTCCACTGCTTTGATTCAAGGCTTGCTCTTCCCAGAAGATCTTCGCCATTCTTGCTGGTCAGGGGGGCCGAGCAAGCTAAGCGAGCCATGTGATTAAACAGCTACACCTGACCGAACTTGAGCAAGCTTTCAACATCTTTCCACTGTCTCGCCTGGGCATCTCGTGGGCTGCAGTGTTCTCCTCAGGAGCAATCTCAGGGCCGAGCCGAACTGGTGGAAGCAGACTGAAACATTCGCAATAACGCGACATGATGCGGAATATTGCGGAATCATGCGCGAGTGCGCAATGATGACAGGCTGATCGGCACTTGCAGTGGCTTCACTAGTGCGGCCCATGGTGCAGTACGTAGTCTGCAGGGGCTTGATCGCTGGATGTCGACGGGCACCATGTGCTGGAAACAAAGGTGGAGTTCAGCAAGCCTGTGACGCTGTCAACCAGGTAGTCGCTGTCCGCAACTGTCTGGCAGATGGCAAGAGAGATGAGATGACTGGAGTGACTAGAGGCTGTGGATGTCAAGCAGCCCGCCTTGTGCAGGTACAGATCCTTTGTCGGACAGACGACCTAGGCCCAAGGCTCAGAATTCAAAATCTGCCGGAAGCTTGGAAATTCATCTACGAAGTTCGACACCCCTCCCTGACTCCCTGCAAGGCAACTGACTCCTGGAGCCACATCGCTCCATGGTAGATAGCCAGATGGCAAGGCAGCAATTGTCCTCTCATCAGGCTTGGCAAGAAATGCGGCATCATCTGCACATCTACGGATGTGTGGCACCAACGTGAACCAACGGGTCTTGAAATGCTCCAGTCCTGCCAAGGTAGTAAATGGTCCAAGCAAGAATGACGATGTAGTACAGTCCCACCAGATAGGTACACACCATGGCTGCCAAGCCTGCACCACCCACCCACCAGGAAAAACAAACATACAAGAGCCGGCAAAAAAATCTTGGACTATCAGCGCACCTACCCCCTGCCAGCGCGGCAAGCCCAACTTGGTCCACATGCCCCTGGCACAAAAAAATCGATTCCTCGACATGATCTCTCAAAGTAGGTACTGCATTACTGTCGCATGCATGTATGTGTACATGTTTTTGCGCAATCTTTGATCTGCTGGAAAGTTCAAGTTTGCTGTGGAAGGTTTAACGTTTCCAGGGATTGGGGGATTGGCGCAGGTTGGCCTATTCGGCACATCTGCACAATCCAACTCCTCATTGCAAGCCCTTTTCTGGGGCACGCTTCCATGCTGGAAGGTTCGAGATCTCCACTGGCTCGTTCCTCGAGGGTTTGCATGCAACCATTCTGCTGTATTTCCCGCTGGGCATCATTCAACAGCAGTACCACGAGTTGTTGCATGGCACAGTGTGATTGAACAAACATGCGGGAGGGAATTTGACAAGGCTGACAGAACGAAAGACGCGACCACCAGATGAAACCTCCACAGCAGGAGGATACTACGTCGTCCCGTCATAATCGGCCAATCCACAAAAGATTCCCTTCAGCGAAGAACCTCTTTAACACCCTCCAAGGTAACCTTCAGCCCGTAGCTCCCGAAGTCATGGATAACAAAAAGCCCAAGGATGTGATTTCGTTGACTTGTAAGCTCTTGGTGGTCAAAAGAATGATCTATAGCGGAAAGGAGTTGCATCCCTGTGAAATACTCTTGGAATTCCAGAATGCGGGCTTCTTCCGCAGAGCTTCCGCCGAGTTTTTGTCCAACGTTGACGGAGACCCTCCACAGTGGGGCAGACAGGGGTGTGGATTGGGAAGCCAGCCTAGAAGTGAGAGTTCCAGCATGTTCGACCCCTCCTTTTGACCTTTTTGACCCGAGACGAGGGATCTGAGAATCCTGCGCCCAAGCACGGATACTCGTCTTTCAGGAATTTGGAGGGGTCGTAGTACGTACTTAACTGTACTTGTTAACAAAACGATGCAGCAGCACTTTAATAGCGCTTCCACGGGCTTTCGTGGAGATGTGTTTCTGCGTGTTTCTGCAAACCCTTCCGCATGCTTCCGCGACCCTAAATAACCTTATAAACACACTACATTCTACGTCTGCAGGCGACTGTACCTGTGTGGATGTGCCTGGCATTGCCAGCACGGCATCACAAAATCATCCAAGCTCTCCACAGCAGTTCAATCCATGCACATGACACACCACGCCACGTCACATGTCAGCTCCATCGAGCTGAACACACACTGACACGCCACAGGATATCAGCCCAGTGCGCAAGACAAGTCGGGGATGCAGCGTGCCACGTCGGGTCAGCTGCCCCAGGCCCAGCTCCAGCACAAAAAGCGGTATGCCCAGCAGCACCAAGCTGAGACCATAGGGAATGAGGAAGGCACCTGTGACCAGGCAATGCAACCGCTAGCGAAACTCCTACGAACCCCCGCCCCTGACACCTCATGACACGTTGGGCTCACCAGAAGCGATTTGAAGCATTCATTGCTTCCACAAGCCTCCGCCATAAGTATACGTCAAGTAGGGGAAGCGCCAAACATTTCCCACGCCCACCTTACATTCTTACATGCGCTCTGTTCTCTTTAGATGTCTGAATGGCATCCAGTGCTGCATGTGTGTTTCTCAGGCTGGATGCGGCATAGCCCAGAAGAGTGAGTATCAGCTCAGCCTGAGACACTTGAAAGTAGCGGGCAGCCTCCAACCACAACAGCGACTCAAGTAGGCAGACCTCGACCCATCTGCCTACATCTGGCCTGCAGGTGGCACACGGCTCACGCGTGCTTCACTGTGCATGCCGAGCTGCTCGATTTGCAAAGGAGATCCTTTCTGCAGGTTGAGCAGAGGAACCTCCAGCGCTAGTGGCCGGTCCAGCAGGAGTCACCCCTGAAATGTCCGCCATTGCAAGGCCAGAAACAAAGACCCAGCAGGCTTTCTATGCTTCAGCAGGAGCCAAGATGGAAAGCCGATTCGAAGACCAACGTGCAGCTCTTCTTAGCGCCGCATTCGACTGGCAAAAGTACCGCCCAGTATATCAAAGACAGCTGAAAACTCTGTGCTGCTGCATCAGTACCAGTAACCCCTGGACCGCGCGCCCAACCACATCAACCACCATACAGGGCAACAACACAGTCAAGAGAAGATTATGTCACTGACCATCCAACATCATCCTACTAACGCAGGCTCCTTCTGGCTATGCGACCCCGAAACACGGAAGCAACGCCCCCTGCCCTGCACAATGCTCCCCTTGTACCGTTTTAGCTGCCGATGCTTGAAGCCTCGCAAAAGAAGGGCTGGCCTGGTGTGCTATGATAGCCTCGCACACACTCGAGACAATCATCGGCAGTTCCTCACCTCATCGGGTGTCGTTGGATCTTCGTTTTCTTGTAGAAACCCCTCATGACACTGTTCTGCTGAGCAGCAAAGTCTGCATGGTTGGGGTGGCACCCTCACTCAAACTAGTAAGCTCTTCGCTGGGATAGAGCAACGTTGTGCGTTCACCCGTCGGACTGGCGACCAGAAGCGAATATTCCTGCATGGAGGGCTGAGACGTACAAACTTGGGAAGCAGGCTCCATGCTGGGTCCATGCTACATTTACTACATGGTGAAACATTTGAAGCGCATCCTTGACCGTCTCATACTTGTCATCCGGCAAGAAGCCACCTTCGACCTGAAACCGGTGAGCGTGGTTGTGCAGACTCTACAACGTTCTGCAAGGATGACGTCATGGGTCGCCAAGAAGTGGGCCCCGATGGCAAGCTTTGTCGGCTCTTGCGCAGTATCTCGAAAACAGCAAGGCTTGCTCCGACACAGGCAAAGACACTCTCACATACGCACACGCATAGCAAACAACACACACACACATCACAAGCAACAGACACACACACACACTCTCACACACTCTCACACACTCTCACACACTCTCACACACTCTCACACACTCTCACACACTCTCACACACTCTCACTCACAGTCGCACGCTACACCCCGCATTGAGCGGCGCGCCCCAGGCGTTTACAATTGTATGCAATGCAGTACATGTATGGACACACATGCACTTGGAGGGGATGAGGAGATTGATGCGAGGGAACTACGAAAGCTGGCCTGGTGTTTCTTTTTCTTGCCGACGGAACTTTTGCATCAGGTATAAAGCACCTTCCGTCGTCGAGATTGCCAACCTTTGCCCTCTTACGCACCATGATTTGTTGAAATGAAGCTTGCCTCTGCTCTGCGATCTTTCCATGTCCAAGTCGATCATGTCTGGCAACGCATGGTTAGCAACAGCATTGCACTCTCCGTGTTGCTGACAATGTCGGTTACTGAAGGGGGTACGCCGAGACCTCCATCACGAGCTTGCACGGCGGAGACAAAAACAACATTGATCATAATTGGTGGCCTGCAGCTACGCCCTGCCACGTCCGCAAATTCACCTCCAAGACCGTCATCTCGACAAGTGCAATAGCACTGAGACACGCCGGACTGCAGTTACAGTTCCTCAGCAGCTGACTGCCAGACCACCCTCAGAGAATGGCGTGTCCTTAGGTCATGGCCCGGAGCTTGCTGCCACCCGCATTCTGGCGCCGTGTCGGCGCCGCGCAATATTCTGACTGTGTACTCTGAGACCCTTTCAAAAGCCCCCGGTCTGCTAGTTGTTAATTACGCATCGCACAATCAACTTAGTTACACTCTTGGCTTCACACGTTCCTCTGACATTGGAGTTAACAGACCCATCGGCAGGGCCCTCGTAAGCCACGCACACATGTGTACACACATTCATCCTTGAAGACCTGATGGCTTGTCAACATTTCTCAACGATCCCTGTCTCCATCTTTCTCCTGCTTTTGTTGCTTCTCGCGAACTACTTCTCCACATTGACATCTATCCACGCAATTTTGTGCCAAGCCATGCCTTGTCGTAGTGCTGCGGCGCCTGAATGGATGATGCCAACGGACAAGTGAACATCTAACAAGACACGAACCAGACTACGACTCTACGAGCCGAATCGTGCCGTTACAAGCACTTAACTTCGTCCAGCCTTCAGGCCTGCCATCAACGCACGAACTGTCTCCATGGCCTTCAATGAAAACATTTCAGCGTGAGATATCAGGCTTCATGCGAGGGCTGACGGACACTCCCATCATCCCCCATCCAATGCCACAGAACCAAGAAAACCCTGGCACTGTAAAACGACCTGAGGCTATCAGGATGCTTGCATGCAGATCACGTTGCCGCCTTCGAAGCTTCAAAGCACGCAGAAGCGCAGCAAGTGTCACAAAGTAGCGAATTTATGCGGAAGGTGGATGGGCTGGCTACAGATCTGATTTCTCGTTAATAGCACTCGTACATGGCAATACATGGTGCCATCATAGATACTCAGAGACTCAGTATACTGCATTCATGTTGGCAACTGGCATTCCGACATAGCCCCTTGCTTTGGGCCAAAACTTGCAATGAATCCGAAGCGAGGGCCCTGCTCTGCAGAAAGGCATTCAAAAGCAGAAGCCCGAGCCTAGGAAGTAGCAGACAGCACAGCCAGATTCAGCAACAGCTTGTGTAGCACTTGACTTACAACCTACGCTGTAGCTCCAGACTTGATGGAAAATCTGGTTAGTGAGTCTGGGGATGCAACAACTACGCCAGTCCTCATCACGTAACAAAAGCAAAGCAGCGGCTCCGAGAATTGACGTTGTCGCACACCACAACGAAAAGCTATACTACGACACCTACTCAAGAGGAGGGCTACGCCTGTGCAGCAGGCGCCGTTGTGTTGCGAGAAAGCGCAACGCGCGCACAGGCTGCGCGCTCCGCCCGAAAACTCAGGGACCGCGCATGGGGCGTATTCTGCACCCGACTACGCCGTCTGAATCGGCGGCTGGCACCCGTTTGGGTCGGTGTGGGTGGGAGCTGAAATTGGGCGGCTTGAGCGGCGAATACTGCGTCGGTCGCCGCTCAGCTTGTCCGCTTGTCCTACCGCGCACAAGTGTGCTACACGACATGCGCGGCGCTGAAACTCCACTCAGAAGAAGTCTGCGCCAGCTCGTCCGCCGCGGCGTCGGTGTCGAACTCGGTGTCGTCCGAGAGGGGCACCCTGTGACGGTCGCGTCTTTGCCGCGCCCTTCCGAGGCGGAGGAGGAGGAGGAGGAGGAGGAGGAGGAGGAGGGAGCGGCATACTACGACCCTCCGGGCGTCGCCGGCTCTGTTGAAGTTAATTCCACACCGAGGCGGCGGCGCCGAAGCACACGGCGAGGTGGAATCAGAGCGCGTGCTCACGAAGTGTGACCACGCTGTTGCGCCCGACCTGCGCCAGTCTTCCAGGGCTAGTCGCGCTGTCCAACCTGCCCAGCGTTCGTCGGCGACTTATGGGGCAGGCGCCGCCGCAGCCCCTGCCCACACCGCGACCACTCTGCGCGAAGGACCTGCGAGGCTCGGCTCCATGGCCCCAGCCGATCGGCGCCGATCCGTGGATGTAAACCTCTCCCAACTGCGGCGTCCTCTCCATTCAGTTTGTTGGGCGTCCAAAGTCGAACATCCTTATCTCGCCGTGGCAACCGTCATATCGAGCACGGCTGCTGTCGTTAGCTCCACAGCCCTCACGTAGACTTCGGCGGGCATTGCGACAGAGGCCACCGGGATCACCTCTGTAACCATCATCTTGCCCTCTCCGCCGCTCATCATTGCTTGTCTCGGCAAGCATCATATCGAGCACGGCTCCTATCGTCAGCTCCACGGCCCTCCTGTAGACTTCGGCGGGCACTGCGACCGAGGCCTGAGAGCATCATGTTGCCCTCACCGGCGCTCATCATTGCCTCGGCAACCGTCATCGTGACCGTCGCCTCCGCGACCATCGTCTCGACCTCCCCTGCGATCATTGCCAGGCACCAGGTTCACCGTCTCATTCCACCTCAGCTCAACTCCTGGCCAAGAACAGGGCAGTCAGGCAGTCCACTCCTCCATGCAGTGAATTTTGCCTGGTAAAGAATTGAGGACGCAGAAATGCCAAACCGCAAATATTCCACAGACCGAATCCAAGGAACCTGAATCCTGAAGCGGGTAAATATGAAACCGACCCGAACCAATAACAGAACCATGTCTTTATTGCCGCTTGCTCCACACGATTTAGTCCTCCGCATGTTGTCGTGGCGCTCGCGGATCTTTCGGTTCCCAAGGCTGAGGCATTGCACGCTGGCGACAAAAGCCACCTCGGTACACCGTGGACATCTGAGTTCTGACTTGATCACTAAAGCCGCATGGGGTCACATCGCTGTTTACAAGTGACCCTGCCGTTTTACAGGAGTTTTGACTTCATGTAAGTAGATCTTGGGGATCGCTTTGCTCGGTCGAACCATGGATACGTTGCGGGATGTCTGGGTTTGGGGAATGGAAATGGGCTAGGGCCCCACAAGGCACGTCGCAGGACGGGCTGAAGGATGCTTAATCCCCTCCCCGTCCTACCAAACCCCACCCTAATTATAAAGGCACCCAGCCCAATACTAGACCTGTTTGAGAATAAGGAGGGGGGGGGTTGAGGCCCTCCGCCCTTGAGTTGAGCCATTAGTGTTCGCATTCGGGTTTAGGGTTTAGGGCTCGAGGCTCAGAGAGTTTAATTAGGGTTTAGGGCTTAAGGCAAACCCAAACTGAACCCTGAACCTTATACTCCCTCCTTCTCTCGCAGGCTTCAGATTTCAGGTTTTAGGGTTTAGGCCCCTAATTTTAAATATGTTTCCGGCCGAGGCGAATTTCAGAATTGCGGGGGGGGGGGGGGGGGACGGTTTTAGTATTACTGTAGGGGGAGGGGATTAGTGCTGCAGGACGCTTTTTGCTGCGCATGCTGCAACTGGACGCTGCCTCAGGCGCTGGTGCTCGGCCCCCAGGATTTGGACGGGCACTTCGTTAACAACGGCCACCCACATTGGGGCAGCTCTCTCTCTATGGCTCTACATCTCTACGCCACGCAACACTTCTGGAGGGCTACTCGCTGCAGCCCGGTGCTATGTGTAGTGTTCTCTCTAATTCGCTGAGTTCAGTTGCCGTCAGTTTCGCTACGCTCTTCCATCCAGGATCACACGTGGAGCTGAAGCTCCGTGCGCCTCGGCCGATCAAAGGGCCTCTGAAGCCACTAAGCTGTCAAGGATGACGAACAATGGTGAAGACCAGTGCGAGTCGAGGTAGAGCGATGCTAGGGCCTGCTGGGTTTAGGATTGAAGGTTTGGGTGACACATGGTGACACACTCAACCCCAAACCCGAATCCCTAAACCCTGCTCCGTGGAATCGTGAGGCTTGGAGGAGTTCTTGGACTGGCTGTCTGCAGCCACGGTTGCAGACCCGGAGGAAGATCCCAGGTGGGCTGTGAGGTTGGAGATGTCGGCACAGGTGCTGCTGAGATGATGGACCATGTCCTCACAGCCAGTAGCTGCCAGCCAGCTTGTTCTGCCTTCAAGTTTCTCTTGAAATGCTAAGAGTAAGCCGCGACTAAGCCCCACGCTCGCAGTCTTTGTAGCTGCTCACATGTGGTGTTGATGGCCTTGCGCTGGGTGTTTTGCCTTTTCTCCAGCTCCTGCACTTGCAACCCAACAGATCAGATGCCATGCTTTTGCTATCCCGCTGATATCAAGAGGTTTCACTGTTGCGCGCAGGCCTGCATTTCCTCTCCCAGAATTGCAGCAATGCCATCGGCCATCTCCTTGCAGGTGAAGCTCTTTGCCAGGCATCTCGAGCCCCATTTAAAATCTGGCGACGTCTTGCAGCCTGCTCTCTTCGTTTCTCCAAAAATCTGGAATGTCCGTCTTCATGGCAGAGAAGCCCTTGATTTTTTCAACAACTCTAATTAAGGGTTTCGTTTTGATGTTAGGTTCAGGGTTTACAGGGTAAAAAAGTCCCTGCGGGTGCTGTGGCGTTTGTTATAAATTCCAAGGCCGCCCTCCTCCGATCTGGCAAACAAGGAGTAGGAGGAAGAGAAACTGGAGAAAGCTTCAGGGTGTGAGCTTTCCTTTCTGAAAACCTTACTTTGAAGTGGAATTCTGTCCAATTTTTGCAAGGAAGGGCCCTCAGAAACGAAGTGCTGGGTTTGAGGGCGGACCCGGGCGGACCCCCCCGCCGCCCCCGGCGCACCAAGCACGCCCCCCAAGTAGAGTCCACACGACGGAGGGAGGAAAGCTTTAAGTAGAGCAGCGCCCGAAATGGCTTCCAAGTTGAGTCAGGTTGGAGTCATGAATTTTGATTTGTTCGTTTGGGAAATCTTCGTTGCGGGCTGCTTTGGAGGCACTTCTTTTGGACGTCTCCCGCGAACTCTCTTTGGATACGCTTTTTCGTATGGGGGGGGTGGGGGCTTCGTTGTTCTGCGTTTGGAGAGCTTCGGTTTTCGGGGCTTCTTGGCAGTTGTCGGTGCTGGTGCCCTTGGTGCTTCAAGAGCTTTGATCTCTTCTTCTTCGTCTTCTTCTTCTCAAAAGCGAAGAGGGCTCCCCCAGAGGAAGAGCCCGGCCACGACGGCTCTTGCAAAGAAGCTCAGAGCACTATTCTAAGTGCTGCACAGTGGAATGGTCGCGGGCAAGAGCCTTGACCTTCTCAAGCGCCTCAGGCTTCCCATGAAAAGCTCTCATGAGACCCACGACGAGCGGCCGGCGGGTGTGGACTGTTAATGCTCTGCACGCCGTTGCCTGCTCTGCGCTGTTCTCGTATGTCTCGTCTTCAGCCGGGGCCCCCTCGAGAGAAAACGCCAGACGGACCCTTACACAAAGCACGCGGAATGAACATTGCATCTGCCAACCTCGAAATCACCAACAGGGCCTCAGAGAACAGGTGTCGGTTTGAGCTTAGTCCAGTCTCGGATCGTGGTCTCCTAGAAGTGCAAGGACGTAGGGCCCGGTCTCAGGGTGGCCATTGATTTGTCAAATCCACCAGTGTCTCGGCCTTCGGCTTTGGCAAGATCCTGAGTTTTTAATGCGTCTCTCGCGCTGTCCGACGTCGCCAGCAAGGGGAAGTCCTGGTATTGACGAATCTTCTCGCTCAAGTAGGTTGCGCAGAGCGCCTGGGGTGCCATCACTCAGCAGCAAGTCACCTGAAAGATGATTCAGGGGCCCTGCCGAGTAGTCGAGGCGAGTCACCATGTTGGTCAGGCCGACCTGGCGGAGTGAATCCCCTTGCACAAGACGTAGCGACGTAGTTACCAGTTACAGACGAGGGGGCCCGGATTCAGCACACACACACACACACACAAGTGCTCCCCAAAAAGATTTGCCAGATTCTACCCCGGCCTTGAAGTCCTGCAGCTCGAAGGCCGGGTCCACCTTCCTGGCACGCTCATCGATTTGTTGGCAGACCCCCAGGGCCTCGAGGGCATAGGGCTTTGAAGTCAGCCACCCCTCCAGACAAAGCCATAAACATGGAGGTGGTCTTGTCGTGGTCCATCTGGGAGTTCTTGAGGGTGCGGAGCGCTTGCGAAACCGGGATGCCGTCCACGATGTCGCGGAGGAAGCTGCAAGCAGGTGGGGAGTCCATTGCAGCTTCTTGAAGGCTCATGCAGTCGTGGCAGACATGGCAGGATGCTCTGGGCATGTTTGGGGTATACGGCCAGGCGAGTCAATGTTGTTGAGGCCGAATGTGTCGTCTGACAAGCGGATGAGGGTGCAAAAAGCACAGCCCTCCGAAGCTCCGTGATGTTGCTTATAGCGAAAAAACCATCTACGTAATTCATTCTCAGCGACATAGTGCACTAGGGGCTGGTGCTGCCATCAGTGGCACGAAGCGCTCAAAGTAGCTCTCAAAAGCTCAAGGTGACTGCGGCCTGGGCGTGATCTTCCGCTCGCTGCCTGTGGCAAGTGAGTCTTGCACTTGCAGGCACGTGCAGCGCTGAAGCAAGACACGGAGCGCGAATCTCAAAGAGTCCATGTCTTAAAACTCAGGCCGGCACTCAGCAAGGCGTCCTCGTCATCGTTATGCTCCTCTAAATCCAACCAGATTCGACTAGTGAAGCTAGTGCCTGACATCTGACCATATGATATGTATCATGACAAGGCATCAGCACATTGTCATGCAATGATCGTCTGCATGAGACACGTGATCCGCCCTCCTTGCGAAGTGCATCCCATATGTGGGTGAGATTCCTTCATGTCAACAGATAGGTGCATCTGCCATTGTCAGAGCTCGGCCATTCTGAGGTCGGAGCACTCGTTCTTTTCGTTTGTTTTGACGAGCCCGGCGAAGGATGTTTTTGGTCTGCAGGTCCAGTTGACAGTTCTAACCAATCAGTATGCAGTTGTGGAAACTACACCTGAGTATGCTTCTTTTTGCTATTGGGCACTCGGAGCAGGGAGGATCTTTTGCCGATATCAGTTGCACAGACGGCCTGCTGCAGCAGCGAGTCCGCATGCTTGGCATCGTCTTTGACCACACCATATGCCCTTGCACAACGAAAGAGTTGACTTTGCTTCGTGATCTGTTATTTCAATAGAGTTCGCAACTTGGCCGAGGGCTCCATCAGGATTGCAACCAGCATGTTCATCCTGAGAAATGATTCGGCAACCCTGTCGTGCTGCAGAAGACCTCTAGGATTGTGTAGGTTGACATAGGTGATAGGGCAGTCAAGGTACAGAATCATGACCATCACCACCATGAAGAAGAAAAACCTGGCAGGCTCCGCTCAAACACCGCCAGCAATGTCGCATGGATCCGTGGAAAGGCGGTGTAAGGCATGAGCCACGCAAATGCTCGGTGGATGCCGATCTTCCCCATCCTGCAAGGCGGCACGCCCATAACTTGAGCACGCGGAATGGCGTGGACATGCCACACATCAATTGACAAGACGTGGAGCTGCACTTCAAACAGCGCGAAGTTGAATGCCTGTGCTTCCACTGTTCTTGGCTCCCTGCGCATCCCAGTCCCAGTCACCGAGCATGGCCCGAAAACACCTGATCTACCGCATGCCAGTGAGGTCAAGATCATGCGATGCTGCTCCCTGAACACACGACTTTCAGAAGTCATGAGCAGTACCTGTAAATCTCTCAGCTCTCGGCGCATGCAGCGCCCGATCAATAGTGGCAAAGTCCAAGATGTCCTGCAAAACTACTCCTTACATCTATCTCCTTACCAGTACTACTGTACCAACGAGTACTGCGCATCACAACAACTCTGGATTGCTGGAATCCTGACCGAAGAAGATGACTGCATTGACCTGCAAACCATTGACGGAGACGAAGATAGGCAACAGGCACCCGTTGGTGGCAAGTTGTATGATCTTGGTTGGTGTCTAGACTGTGGCTAGCCATGCAAGCAACTCTGCAAAGTCCGTATGGATCTACGTAGCCAACCGCATAGCCGACTCAGAGCCAGCCGTAAGCCAAGATTGTTTGTGCGGGATAGGCAAACCTACGCAATCTCCGGGTCGGCCTTCAGCAACAAACCAGAATGGAACGTGCTCTCGTTCTCTTACACAGAGCCCTTGTTACAGCAACCGACATCAGAAGTCTGCTGACCTGCAAGGTTTAGAACAGCGTGACTCTGTCTTGATACTTCGCCTCCAGAAGCCAGCTGAAACATGCTGGGCACACCGTCATACAGAAATACACTGATGCGAAAACGATGAAGAAGTGCATCAAGTCGTTGTAGGCCATTCTGAAGGTGTCGGTGACCTTCCATTTTTGATCAAGGCATTATTGAATCTGCTGCCTGGGCTGATTGAATTGCGTGGATCTTTCTGCCGGGGTTTGTGTTTCCACGGGCCCGCGCCCTCCTGCAATAAAGGTACAAATAGTTGCAGGACGGGGCCGGCCAGCTTTCGTTGGATGAGCTGAAGTTCAGGCATCTAGTCCAGAGTCTAGATTTCAAGCAATGTATTGTGGTTGGTTGAAAGGGGAGTACAGTATGCCTGGAGCACAGGCATGCCACTGCTTGCAGTTCAGTCGCAATCGCCAAACGCTTCTGGGCAGCAAACGACCTGGACTCCAGGATGAATGCGGACTGATGCTCCACGTCGACATCCGTCAGCTTGAGATGCTGGGAGGCTGGGAGCACCACTTGAAGAGTCGCATTAGGAGCACCTGATGTTTCATGATGCTACCGCGTGCTTGAGGCAAGAACTAGTCAATTTTATGGGCAATTGCCATCCAGGGTGGCACGACAGGGTAGATGCATAGCCAAAGTCGTAGGTTGCGCTCCTGCATGATGCATTGTCAGATCATGTCAGAAAAGCGCAGACACGGCGAGGCTGCGGGATCCGCTTGAAGTCTGATCGCCGCTGTCCGCATCAAGCATCGCCACAACAGCATCCGCAAAGTCTGATACCTTGCAGCAGCATCTGGTGAGATTCCGCCGACACAGGAAACCTCAAACTGCCTTGCACAAATTTGCACAGCTTGCCCCGCGTGCCAATTGCGTGAGGTTCGGGTGAGTGTTGCTGGTTTGCTACTGTCCGGTAGGTGTGAGCTTGAAGTTCTTTTGGGATGCGTTGGACCGTTGCAGGCGCTGAAGCAGCATCTCGCTCCTGCCTAGGATGACTTCAAGACAACTCCACTTCTTACCAGATACGTCTAACCAGAGTCAAAACATGGCCCGGAACGAGTAGGACTGGAAAATCAGCATGCAAACGATCTCAAGTCGTGAGATGTCTGAGATGCAATCAGTCCACGCCTATCCGAAAAATGTGATTCGGTGAAACGCTTCTCCTGTCACTTGGCATCTAGCCCTAGAATCCTTGCTCTGCAAGGCCTCTTTACAAACTTTGCACTCTCGACGAGGACAACTCGACTATCCCGGCTATCCCCTTCAGGAGTTGTTCCCCACCAGGGACTGGAGAGCAGCCACCTTGTAGGCAAGTCTTCAAATGTCTTCAACAGGAACTTCGCTGAGCTCAAGCACGCAGCCTATGATGAATAATGATGCTGTGTCCCTTTGCAACCGATGGCTCGAATCTCGCGTGCAGCATGGGCAACTACTGAAAAAGATGACGAGGCAATTTTCAATCAGGGAGCCATGTCATCCACATCCTTCTGATTATTGGACCTGATCAGCGCTGGTTGGCCCTTTCAATAGTTCTAAATGGTTCAAAAATGCTGCAACTGGAGCTGGGCAAGAAAAAGAACAACAGCTGAGAGCGAGGGAAAGACCTGAGAGCAAAGCGTCCAGGATACGACGGTCTTGGCCTGCGGCTTGCGGTCGAGATAAAATGCGCCGGATTCGATCCTGATTTTTCGGGGGCATATGCTGCATGATTGCCACATGCACCGCCATGCACCTGGAAGTAAACGAGTCACAAACAACTTGCCACTGACCTTCCATTTTAGGCACAGGTGCATCCAACTTAGGTCTAGGCGGTACAGGTGCAGCACAAGCCCATTAGATTTCTTTCAGCTTGGCGGCTGCTCTGCTGGAGCTACGCATAGCCAGCAAATGCCTTCAGCTCCTTCCCAGTTTGTCCGCATCGGCTCTAGCCATTTCTTCATGGAGCCATATGCATGATCCACACCTGCAGGTGACTCAACAACTGCACTTACCCAACAGGCTTGGGACCTCGATCCTGGCAGACCTAGGCAGCCTGAGCTTCGAACCAGGCGTGTCTGTCCACCCAGGGTGACAGCTTGCAAATACAATCTGCTCCTTGGCCGAGGGAGCTGCAATGATAGCTTGCACACCCACGCGCCAAGAACACCAAAGCACTATTCGTCGGACTTCCTGCATATCACGAGCCTATCCATACCTATACCTGCCTCTCTACATTCCGACACAGACCCTTGTACCAGCAAATCTCAGTAATTCTCCAGGTCGATACAACTGGACATGCGTGTCGACGTGCTTGCCAGCATATGCCAGCCCAAGCTTCACCAGGCTGCTTGGCCCAATGCTCACACAGCAGGACCTGGCAGGGTGGTCGACTCTGTGCACCGAGAAGAAACACAGAAGACGCGACATATTAAGCATCTAGCAGAGGACTGAAGACCAGGAGGAGTGCCTGCCCCCTCTTGGCGTACGCGTATGCCAGCTGGCGGTCGTAGGATCCCTTCTTGCCAGTGGCCAGATTGTGATTGTACTTCACATTTAGCATGCCTCAAATCCCCACACCGATCGCCAGATGCCACATTGCAGAGATAAAGTAGGCAAACCGACAAGGGCAACAAAAAACAAAAAGAACATATCTGCCATGTGGGACACCACCTGAGCTGACAACCACCACGCGCGCACCTTCCTGCACAATGTCTTTGACTTTACATGTACCTGCCCTGTCCTGTAGTCGAAACTCTCTGGTGGCATGGCCGGTGTAACAGATGCTTGAAGTGTCCTTCCGGCCCAAAGCAGGTCGCAGCTCTTCTGTCAGCAGGTATGTCCCATGGAGGAGGTGTGTAGCGAACGTCACCTGCCAGGGAATATATTGAAACCGGCAGCGGCTTGGCACACAGAGCGCCATAGAGCCGTTTGCATTCTCTTCACTTAAACCCTGCCTCGTGCCCCTCTGATGTCAGCGTTTTCTTGTGGGTCATGGCGCCCGCATTGCAAACCAAACAATCAATCCCACTGGCCTCCTGGTCAAGCGAAAGGGGCAGCTCCACTTGCTCTGCCTATCTTTGGGCCTTCGGATCCCTTCGGCCCATACCTGGACCACGTAAGCTCCTTCGGCTAACGTGCCAGAATATGCCGTGCATGTGTTGTGCGTTGCTGTGCTCGGGCAGAAACCTTACATCCCTCTCACGGTCATGATTGGAAAAGTCAGCCTAAGTAAGCGTAAGGGAACTAAGGGAACCATTCAGGGCTATGCGGCCCTTTTGGATATGCCTTGTCGCGAAGCTCCGCTGCCACCCGGCGCACATCGGATGCCAGCCCACAATCTGCTACTAGAAGATGCACATCTTCACCTTAGGTTTTCCCAGCGCATCTGAACATCTGCCCGCTTGCAGCGCAAGGCACGGAAGGGTTTTGCTGCTTCAATCCAAGAAGCTGCTGGTTTTTTGGGCGATTTCATCCTTGGCCTGCTGACCCCTCTCAGCATTTCGGCAGACCTTACACCCGCGCAGACAAATCAATCCCCAGCTTGAAGGCATCATGCTCGCATCTTTGGCATGTAGACAATCTCAGGCCATGAGAACCACTCTTGTCTCCGACCGAGTTGCCATGTAGACCCTACTTCCACGGGCTACCAAGTACTCTGCAATTTTCCGTCCAATTCCTGCAAGTCAGAGCAATTTGAACCAAGCAGCGTTCATGTTGTGCTGTTAAACTGTTAAACCTCCATGCGGGCTTCCTTCAAGCAAACCGTATGACCCGAGGACGTGTTGGGATGACAGATTAAGCGCACGTCCTGAATTGGCGCCCGTCACCACTGACACTTTCCCTCGCAAGTTGATTGACTGCAAGTCTTGGCCATACCCATAGGATGCAGCATGTGCTTTCCTTAGCTGTGCGACTGCTTGCCGCTGAAAGCAGCCACTCACAACCCTCTCTGGCTGAGGAGGGGTCCATCCCGTCTGCGTGAAGTGCTGACGGCCATAAGTAAAAAAGCGGAATGTGGTAATCGCTTGCCCCATGGCACAACGAGAGCCACGGAAATATGAAACTGATTGAATCTGCGTGCGGTCTCAATCGTGCTGTAAATTTACAGCTTGCCACAGCCACGGGCGATTGCTATATTTGGAGGCATCAGCCCGGCGGCTGCGACTACACTGGCATCTTGGCTTCGCAAGGCAACAAGTTGCAACAAGAGGACCTGCCACTTCTGGATAGCTCCAGGGCTCGAGCAATCTCACGATAGGCTTCCAGCGCGGGGTAGCCGCTGCTGTCCACCTATAGCAACGGCCACCGCGAGTGTTGGGCATACCCCACAGATAGCTTACACTTGATGCAAATTGGTGCAAATCAAGCTAGACGAGATCTCATCAGAGTGCCTGCGTCACGATGGCACCGAGCCTGAGAATGACAGCGCATTGTCAAGCGCAACGAATGATGAGACCGCCTTTTGATTCAATTCAGCCTTGTTTGCAAGTGCGCCACTTGCATCACAACTCACTGAACTCACAACCTTGTTGCTGACTGCTAGTTAGCTGCTTCATTGTTCGCAGAATGTGAGGGAAGCGCCACTACAGTCACGACAGTAATCCCCCCGTGTGGGAATGCTGGGCTGGAAAGACTCGAATGAAGCACTTTAGGATGCCGGCTTCCCATTGACATCCCCGATGAAGATGTGAAGCCTGACAGCGAAGAGCACGGCATGATTGTAGGTCATGGGTTCCCCTACTATACCTCCCTCTATACTACCTACTACCCCCCCCCCCCCCCAGGTTCCCCCTAGGTTCCCCCCCATAATTAAGGGGGGGCGGGGGAGTAGGGGAACTCATGAGTATATGATATTGTGTTCTTTTCACATCTTGGCTGCAGGCACTCCGAAGCTGATGGAAATTACCGTGGTCATGATGATGGCCAGCCAGTCGACACCTCGTCCGTGCCATGCTTTCAGCTTGCATTTTCTTGAGCGTAAGGGTAAGTCCACACTGAAAGGCAGGTGTGTGTGTGTGTGGGTGTATGGGAGCGTGATTCGACAACTCCGAGGATCAGCGCAGTTCCAAAATCCAAGGTAGTCCTGGGCCAATGTGTAGTACCTCTGGCGAGCAGTCGCTATCTGAGTGAACTGCAGCATTCTCGCAGAACAGGCGGGGCTGCCAGATCTTGTTGGATCGCTGAATCATTGTTGCCATCTCCTTGGATTCTTGACGGACCATGCCAGGCATGTCCGAGGAGGACCACTAAGACAAGGCCAAAGCCAAAAGTTCGACCTTCGCGAGGTAGAGGCAGCCGCAAACCCTGACGACACCAGATTCTCAGATGTTGCTGAGATGCACCAGGATGCAATATGCTGGGCCAGCTGCCACAGCACGCCGGAGACTGCAATGAGGGCCAGCACCGCAGGTTCGCGCACCTTCCGTGACCCATTGCGACCGTTTGAGGTTCGGAAGTCACCACGTGAACAGCAAGAACGGGACCCGTCGCCTCCAGCCCGGCCCAAGAAGACCGCACGAAGACCAACTTAAAGATGTTACCACCTCTGGAAAACCTCAGCTTAAGTTGCTAGCAGCGATCACGTGGGCTTCGATGAAAAATATCCTTTTCAAGCACCTGACCAGAAGTTCGCCGTTGCCAAGTTGTACAAGCCTGGGCGTTCCGGTGCGGCTGGACTTGTTGTTGACGACCGACGCTGGCATCCCCTTTGCAGCCGTCTTTTTATAGGCATACTGCCACTGCAATCTTGCACGGGTGCCCACTGCGCTTTTCACAGTGGCCAGACTTCTGTACACGGACTAAGTCAGGGGGAAACGCCCGGTTGCTGATTCTCCGTGATCTTCAAAAGAATCTGAGAAGGCAACCTAGACATTAAACCCAGCAATACCTAGCAAGAGGGCCAGCAGTATCCATGTCGATCGAGTTGTGGCGTGATTTATGGAGGCAGCGCTGTCAGCCTCAGGGCAGAGAGCAGCAGGCAAGATGTAGGGATGTGTTTGGATTTCGGATTGCATCGTGCTGTCAAGTCTCCTGGACTGCCACCGCCTCGCCCGAGCAGCTGTAATATTCGCTCAGATCCTTGCCCGAATGGTATCGGGCAAGCTTAGGAAATTTGAAATGTGAGCGGAGGGGAGGCGGGGGCTGATCTAAACATGCCTGAATTATGGATGGGCTTTTTTTGGCACCGACAGCTACAAGGAGCTCACAACAGTGGAGACCTTGCAAGGGCCCATAATTTAGAATCAATTTAGAACTTCCCTCGAATCTTCGGATATCAAGGCTGCGACGTTTCTTGACTGAGAGGAAGTCTCGGAATCAAAGCAAGTTTGCGGCTTCTCCGTGAAGCCTGCTCTCGGTTGACTCCCCATGTTTGCTGATTCCTTCGTTTATGGGAAACTGTCTTTGGCAAACTGTTGGCGCAGATCGCCTGACGTTCTGTTAAGATCTGAATGTTGGCGAGAGTCCACGAGAGATGCTGGGGTGCTGGACACGACGCTCCCCACTGCGATTAAGCTCAGCTGCGCCTTCGTTCACTGAAGCTTCCACATGTTCGTGCCTAAAGTAGTTACTGCTAGATGACACTATGAGCTTGCAGTGAAAGCTTTCTAGAAGCTGTGGTGCAGAGGCCGACAAAGTTCCCGAGACCGCCATAGTGTCGATGCAAACCATCGGCGAGGCGATGCTCCAGCAGATTGATGCCTCCCCAAAAACAGGCGAACCTCTCAGCCTGTAGTAGTCTATACGTGCCCAGTTCGATTTGCCTCCACGGCGCGGAAGAGATCAATGCAATCCTGGCCACTGATGCTGCCGCCAGTGGAGTCACACGTGGTTGCGCCTCCACATTCCGACAGTCGCAAGCTCTTGATTCTACATACATCGATCGTGTCTGCATGTTCGCGCTTGGTCCTGCTGTCCACGTGCCCTTGAACTCCTCACTCACGCAGTCGCCGTCCCAGCGGGGCCCATATTTGAAAGAACCAGTGTCCTGCAGTGGTTAAAGTAGTAAATCACAGTCGCTGTGTCCTTGAGCCAAGAGACGGCACCGGAAAGTTTGTCCTGCGCGTCTCTGACCTCAATGCCGTAGGAGGTTGTTGATGTCTTGCTGTTCAGGCTGTCGATGCCCTTGACGCTCATTTGCCGCACCTTGGACAGGTCTCGTCTAGGTGAACTGTCAAAGCACATTCGTGATGCGGCAGGGATGGCGGGGTAACGTAGGATCTGTGAGCATGACGTGGCAGCACATTACAGAAATAACAGTGGTATTCTGGTGAAGCGTCCCCAGACGCCGATGCCCAGGTAGTGTCGCCAGTGTCGCTGGTGCACGTTGCCTGAAAGCTCACCTGCATTTGATTCGCTTTTGGACGACGCGAATGCACTGCACAGCCACGGCACGGCCAACTCACAGCCAGGCATGCCCAGGAACTCAGCGGGCGCCTGCAGATCGAATGCCACCTTTTGATTGGTCGTCGTCACCTGACACTGTGACATGGCGCATTCGGCGGGGAAGGGTGACGGTTGCCCACGCTGTCTGCGCGCCCGGCAGAGATGGACTCCAGTCTGATATTGGAAGCTTGAAACGTGCTCCTTACGTGTCGAGCGACAGCTGTGCATGGCGCGCTTGTTACCTGCTTTGCTGCGCTGACATGTGCCGTCTAGTTTCTGCGTGATTTCGCATGAGGAGGGTGCACCGATGGCAGCTTCACTGATGCACCAATTCGCAAGGAAGGCAGCACCAAAAGTGCGCCTCAGGGGACATCATCTCAGTGGCTCCGTGGGGTTCAGTGAAATTCTGAAAACTACTGCTACTGGACATCAGCACGTGGTTCCGCCCTGCAGCTGTGTCTGGCACGCCATCATGGCTCGCCAGTATTCGGTGGGCTCCGCGCACTTGAGCCCAAACCCGAAGACCATCACGAGACCATGTTCAGCAGTCTTCCTTTGCCTAGAGGCCCAAATGTTGGTTCTTGGAAGTGTAGGCTCATGACCGTAGTGAGCATTGTACGTTATGAAGGCGACTTCGACCTTGGAGCAGAGCACTTATATAGTATATATATATATAAATACATACACATGTATATATATATATTATATTATATATATATATCTTTTATATAATGGTGCAACATGAGCAAACCGAAGCCTTCAGAAACCGGACGGTTCAACAGAGGAGGCCACTCGCTGCGTCTGCTCGTCCAACCAAGGGTGTGAGCTAACCTTGCCGTGGCAAGGCATAGAGGCATGGGACGCATTTTGAGCTGTGGCACAGGACTGCCAAATCTGCTTTGGCCGAGGATTGTAGACACATTGGCAGTAGCCTGTGTGTGTGTGTCTTCAGAAAGTGACGCACAAATCGAACACCAGACTACGCTGACATGACCGTTCCACATATCGCACCTCTACAACATTGAACGGGATGTATGTAGCAAACCACAATGCTCCAGCATGTTCAGCACAGTTGCTGACATTGAGTGCTCCAAGCATAAACAGATCTTCAACAAGTTTGACACGCACGCAAGCCAATGGTTTTGATTTTGCAACAGGTGTGGCACTTTCGTCACATGGGCAGCACGCTCAAAACACCGCACGACTCCCTAAAACACCTGGTCACCTAACGCAATTGTTTTAAAGAAAACTTCGGGGTGAGGGACTCTGGCACGAAAGCTACTGCCGGGATTCCAAAGGTACCGATAAGAAACATCTAGTTCCGAGGTGTAATGCGGTCCAAGTAAGATTTTAGGCAACTGTATTGTTGAAGTAGGCATGTCATCATATCATGCTTAAACAGTTTGATTGATTGACCAGTTTCAGCACTCCAGTCTACAGCTGAAACTTCGTGAGATATGGTAAGACCATGTTGAAGGGTTCTGTAAAACGAAGCGTACCTAACGCTTTGACCAATGTTAAAAATGCACTATAACTTACGCATGTAATAATCGGACTGTATAGCGAAACTGCGCAAACAACCCCCAAGAACTCACGACAGCACATCGTATACAACTGCTTTGTATTGATAACGGACCTGAACCAAATCTGCATGCAGAATAGTAGCGACTTACCCGAGCATTCCACCAAAAAGAAAACAGACTAGATTGACAACTGAAACTATATGAAGGATTAACAAACACGTCTTAAAAGGGCCCGCGAGGGAGAGACTCTGCAACTCAGTAAACAAATCGTGAGCCCTAAGCCGAGGCCCTAGGGTTCCGGGTGTGCACAAATAACAGAAGCTGCATTCAGCAGAAATAATCTGACAAGGGTGGGTGCCCGCAGGACCCCGTGGTGCGCGGAACTCGCCCGGGGTATGTCGTGGTACGCTCCGGCTCCATCAAGGGCTAGCTGTCGTGATTCATGGGAATACAGCTTTGACTGGAATCAGCAAGGAAATCACTCCCAATAATCCAACTTGACAACCCACGGACCCGCGCAGACAGGAGCACTACCGGGCAGCACGCCTGTGCGTCACACCACGTGCAACGGCACGTCCTGAGCACAGCTTGCCACCTGTCCACTCGCCAGCTTTTCCACAAGGTGTCTGCTGGGGAAGTGGCCGATTCTGTGCTTTGGCTGAAAAGCACCCATCCTTGCCACATCCATGCAATCGTCAAAGTCGCACAAGCGCGCACGCATCTTCGCAAGAGCTCCTCCATGTCAACCACATGCTGAACCAAAGCTGACGTGCCTTCAACCTGCTGGCGATTGCTGGCATCAGCTGACAGGGCTCCAAGGGGTTCGGCTCCTGCCCACCTCCGGCAGAAACCACTCTACGCGTTGCGGCTCGCTGTTGAAGGCTTCAGTGGCCATGAGGTCTGGCCTCTGCAACGACTGGAAAGCGTGCAAAATCGTACAAATGAAGCCTGTGTGTAGCTGGACGCTGGGCTGAGCACGGCAGCTCGTATTCCGTGATGTGCGTACAAGGCTTTCCGATCCATCTCCTGTTGCAACGCAACAGGAGCAAGGACGTAGAGAGAGAAAGAGAAGGAAATAGCATGAGAGTGCAGGCTTGCTTGGATCGACAGTGCAAAATGTGCGATGGACTGCGATACGTGCCGGCTGCCTGAAAGTTGCTTCATCACCAAAATGTGTACAGGTTGCCTTGTCGTCCGTGGAAACCTGCGAAAGTCCAGAAAAGTGGAGGCAATGTCACACAAAGCACATCTGACAAACTGTCCTCCAGAAATCCCCGCTGCCAGACAAGCAGATACTCCGTGCCTCTTGGCGAAATCGCAGTCCTCCAATGATTCTGTTATACCTGCACAGGTAGATTCTTCTACAAATCCATTCCTGAGCCCCGCCATCCACTTCCATTCTTTCTGGGAATGGTCGAACGGACAACTTCTCACGAAGTCTCGCATAGCAGCAATGGAAGCAGGGACAAGGAAAAGGGCATGGACTTACATTGACGCGTGGCCGCTCACACGTTCAGCAAGGTGTGTTGAATCTGAACGGGACAGGGCGTAGAGAACAGCGGAGGAGTGATGAAGAGTGGTGATAGTGATGAAGATAAGTTCGGAGGACCTTCGCCTTGCATTTCCATTGTAGCGACAGGCACCCAATCTCTCATCAAAGTGGTCTGAGGTCACCAAGGGTCTGCTTGACTGCATCTTTGCCAAGTGCAGAAATGACTCGATCTACCTGACTCTATGACATTCTCTAGCCGTGCCCAGCCTCAGGTAATCATTTTGTACAGGAGCTGGCTTCTGGTATCCACTGTAGAGCCATCGCTGAGGAAGAGCATTGACGTCATAGCCCTTCAGAAAAACATGCCAAAGATGTCAAAGAATCTTTGAAGCTGAGGCCGCTCAGACTTCTTGCCTCGGGCACTACGTCTGCGAGGCCCTCGGAGTAGGTATAGGGCGTCTCGGGGAAGACGAGAGGAAGAAGCCCCAATCGCCTAATGGTTTGATTGTCGTCGTGCTTCGCGATCAGTGAACTTCGAAAGAAAACAACAACAGGACACTGCCGAAGACAGTGCCAACAAGGCACGTCCAGGACCAAAAGTCTGCGATGCTGTTCACGTCGTTAATTGCCTTGTTCCCGAAGTATCCTTCCTTGGCAATCAGACAAGACTAAAAGCGCTTTCGTGAGGCGTCGCGACCTGACCGGGGAGTAAGCATGAACGTGTTGGTCTCACCAAGCTTCGAAAGCAAAGTTTGCATTTTCTGTGATGTCTGTTTCGATGGAGTTCTCCACGCTCATAACCTAGGTCTATTTTCTCCTCAACCCGCTTGTCAGAAACGGTCTGCGCAGAATCAATTGAAGCATCCACTGGCAAAGTAAACTGCTCAGATCGCCACAACATCTTGTGCCAGGTACCCCAGCGCGAAACATGCCTTGGGACATGGTAAACCTCCAGAGCCCCTTCGAAAACATGAGGCCCGCAACTGGTCCACACAGCTTGACGCCACGCATGTCAGCCTTAGAATAACCTGCGCTTTGGGGTTTTCTGGCTTGTGTTGGCATATCAAGGAGGGCATGTTTTGGGCCAGAAATCGCCGAGTTGCAAAGGATGCCAGAAATACGACAGAGAACGGCAGCTCCAGGCATGCCGCTTCTTTTTGCAGCTCTTCTTTGATCCAATTGGCATATATCTTTTCCTTTTGCAAGCTGAGAATACGAGGCACACAGCTGCTATGGAAATGGGCTTGAACATGCGACTGCTGGCTGAGTGCTTCGGACCTTTCAGCTTAGGATCTGCAACGCCATCCTCTTCGATGGATTCTTGCTTCACTGCCTTCTTCTTATGAAAGCCTTTGCCAGACTGCATCGGGCGATTTGAATGCGCAGAACATGCCGCGGCTTCAGACAGGCAGCTGTTGACCCACTGTGGGCTCTCCAGCAAGGATGGCTCGAAAGCTGAAGGCACCTCCCCTGGGTACGGAATGGTACAGACACTTCTATGCTTCTCCGACATGCACAATGTCACAACTATCTTAACAGAAGTCTGCTTATATGGTAGAGAAAATCCAAGTCACTGTGAGCATCCTGCGCCTGCCAGTTTGCCATTGCTCCATGGCCCAAGCTGCCGCAGGTATCCGATTATGGTAGTTTGAATGGTGGAGATCAAGGTGTGGGCTCGGGGTGTCGAATAGCGTGAGTAGAGTGGGATGAGGTTCCTCCGTTCGAGGTCGGTTGCGTGGTAAGGCGAGTCAGTTCAAATGACATGCATACCCAGCTCATCTGTCATCATCTGTCAGCCTGGCAGTCTACAGAGGCGGCATGGCCGTAAGTTCACTCATTGTGGACGAACTACTCGCCCACGGGCTCCAGTCCGTAGGAAAGCTTCTTTTTACGGCGTCGCGAAACATCGGCGCAAAGTCAGGCGAAGCAACATGTGCCTGCGCCCACTGTCCTAGCACGTCCATTCGCTCTCAGCGCTCGTCTTCTTGTGCGGGTACTTGCTGAATGCATCCTTCGCACTTTGAAGGCGGAATGCACATCTAGTAGAATCCAGCATTTACCGCCGCAAAGTGCTTGGATTCGGCCTCCCATGGTGAGCCTTGGCACAGTTTGAGCAGGAGCGGGGCCAACTCATCAATGACCAGCCTGGCCATGAACGCTGCACAACACCGTGGTCTCCAAAGACATCAATGTGCCTGATCTGCCACATCGTGTCACGCTCCCTGACCGTCACAGTGCGGTCCTTCAAAATGGAAAGTGTGTGGTGACGTGTACTGTCACGGCATGAGCGAAGCTTCCATTGCAGTGCGTAGGTGGGTGGCCGTGCAGAATGCAGTAAGATTCAGCTCCGAAGAGGCAGGTGCATTTTAAGTTCACGCTGCGTTCGCCCCAAGGGGTTCTACCAGCTGTCTGAGCTGCTTCGCTCTTATAGCCATCATGAAGGCCACTGGAAGCCACCATGAACATTGGAAGCTTCTTCTGAAGCATCCATCCAACATGGCAGCAAAAGATGTGAAGGGCAATCCTTGAAATCCATTCATGTGACTTTGCCAGGCTGTGCGCAATGAAATGACAACTGCTAGTCGCAGTGTAAGTCAGTTCTGGCAGAGAGGGCGTAGCACCGCTGCGCCACCAAGCTGGGCAAGGCCTGCACAAGCGCCGACCGAAGTTTCGAGCTTCGTGTCCGGAAAAGCATAGATATTAAGAACAACCATAAGAGATCACAGGAGGCTCTCCTTGTTGCACGGAAACATGGAGATCATAGGAACTGAAAGGACATGAAAGGCAAGAAAGCTACGTAATTCTTGCCCTAGCGACATGGCATCAAATCCCCAAAATGGCATGAACATGAAATGTTACAGAAGATGCAATTTCATGGGAAGCCTCTGCGGCCCAGAGCCATCAGCTCTGGGTTCCCAAAAGGAGCTCCCGCTCGGCACGTTCGAATGCTGCCAGGCTCGTGCTAAGGCTTGCGATTTGCTGCCGTAGCGACACTTGCATGTTCCTCGGCGAGGCACACTGGCACACATCATGGATGACGACATGGAGACGTGTTGAATGGCGAACCGAATTGATCAGAGCTAGCGAGTGCTTCCTCAGAGGCGAAAGACGACGCACGTACTTCACGCACCCTTCACACAGCAGACATCTCCAATGCCAGGCATCCGAACATGCAGAAGCTCGGCACGCTGGCTGGGGCTCAGATGTTTTTCCTCCGCAAGTCCGTGTTTATGGAGATTCCCAAGTCGATGCCTCTGAAGCCAAGGTGCGGTGAGTATGTCCCACTGTTTCTCAGCCATCTCAGCGAAACCACTCGCCTCTGCACACGCAACAATGAGCCATACAATGAGCCATCGACTTCTCTTCAAAAGATTTTCAAAAGCCTGCAGCCATTCACGGACGCGGCCTTCGGGGACAAAGGCTTCCACCGATCGTCGTCAAATGCCCGCGCGGTGTGGGAGGCTGCATTCTGAACGTGGAGGTCCTCAGTGCGCAATGCCACAAGCTCCCACAGGCTCTATAGTACCAGCCAGGGAATCTCAGATTCCGGCAATTTGCTTTGCAAGCATGCTGTGCAAGTTCTCAGACTTTGTGGATGCGCGTCTCGCCTTCCAAGTGACGCAGAAGGGGATTGGGCAGTATTGCAATCTCTACGGCCAAAAACTGTATTGACTATCTTGCTGTGGTGTGCTGTACAGTAGTGCTTCTGCTTCCGGGCAACCACTTCTGTTTCCGGTATTGAAGTTCTCTCTGCCGGCGAAGGCTGCAATTGAGCATCCGCAGGTGCTTTGCCTGAGCTTACTTGAGATGATTGGAGCATCATGCAATCCCACATTCAATCCAGCGTCGGCTCTGCTGGACGACATGATCCACGGCCTCGAGCAAACAAAACGGAAACTGAAATGAAATCTCTCTGCAGGGCACTGCATTGCCGTGCAGCTGCCTGCACGATGCTCTTTCCGTTGATTGACTTTAGCTTCTTGGCGCTGAAGACATCACTGTCGTTCGGGTGCTTCCTCGCTCCACTATTGCATGGTACGGGCTTGAATATATTGTTGTCGCTGCTATTGCCATTGCAACTATTGCTGTTATTCTTCCTTGTATATGTATATATAGCTTGTGAACAAGGGTGTCCTGATGGCCAGGGCTCGCCGCACAGTTGGATGCATGTTTTCCAAGATACGGGCACCTGCAAATGCTACGGTAACAGCTGCTGACAGACATGATGCACACGTCATGCAAGCACTCATTGCTTTGTGGTAGAGTAGTTGTCACAAGTTGGCAAGTCCAAGGGGCTTCTCCTTTGAAAACCCTTCTTTTGGTCCCATTTGTCCTCGGAAAACATCTACCTCCTCTCTACAATTTACTAGGAAAACCACATTTTTCTCTGTATCAATAGGAAACCAACTGTTTTCTCCGTTTTTTCATGGGAGGACAAAGCGCTACTTTTTATAATCTTTCTCTTGGAAAACCGGTATGTGCGTTTTTTGTTGTAGGAAAGTCTCTGTTTTCTCCACATTTGAATAGAAACCCTCTGTTTTCTCAAACATGTTCATAGGCAAGCCTCTATTTTCTCAAACTGCACGGGTTGAGAACCAAAACCCGGCGGGGCTTCGGGGGGCGAGCACAGCCCCTCCATTTGCGAACGCAATGCTCGCATGACGGATTTGGCAAAGACTCATATGTTTTCGTGCAAGTGGTATGATCTTCTTGACTAAGCACCTTTGCGCAAGCTCAATATACATATTATATACATATACATACGTACAGACATGTGTTGTTTAAGCGGGGGGTGGGGGAGGGGGGGGGTTTCGTCTTGTCTTCCACCTGAGAGGGATCTCAGGGCCTAGCGGGGCCTTCAGGAGGCTTCAGGGCCTTAAGGGGCCTTAAGGGGCCTACAGTAAGGGAAGCTTAAGGGTCTTAGGGTTTTAGGATTCTTGGAGCTGCGTCGGAGCCTGTTAAAATATAGAGAACATATCAGTTTCCGAGAAGAATGTGGAGAAATGGGACCACAAAATGGCTTCAAAAAACCTAGAAAAGGAGCTAATAAGAAACGTGTCCCCAGTCAAGGCTTGTAAGGCCTACGGTCTAGGTCTAGGCTCTAAGGCACCTTTGTACTTCTCCTCTGACAACTTGGCGAACTGCTCATAGCGCGTCCACGGGTTCACTTGCAGTTGCCACTGTGGCTTCTCGGAGTCCTTCTGCCTAAAACAGCGCTCAAACCAATTCTCCTTTCCACACGCATGACCTTTCCGGCTGCAGAGAAACTAAGTCGCGAGCTGCTTGTTCAGTTGAGTCATGATAATTCCCTGATCAGCGTACTCTCCCTGCAAGCCTGTCCAGGTAGCAGGCGGCAGTTGGTTTACAGTCACCCGAATGCCCAACATCAAGCAGCTAGCCCTCTTCCGATAAAATTTAGGCCTTCCTTGGTCATTTTGCCATCATGGCTGCAGTCAAAAAGGACCGGGATCATACCCTGCAGCTTCTGAACCTTGCCAGAGTTAACATGTGCAGCCCTAAACATCATCGCACCATCCAAAATCGTACTGGAAGCGGCGCACTGAATCTGGAGCTGCGGCACATGCTCGTTCCAGGACGTGGTCTCTACAGGATCGGGGCCCCCAGAAAAGCTCATGTTGTAGAGGTTGTCGATCAAATAGCATGCGTCCATCACACCATTCCTTTGCACAAGCACTGCCACTTCTGACAAGTGGCTATCTTCAATCACGTCTGATTTCGAGAATATGACTGGATCATTTGTCTATTGTCCGTACTAATATCCCGTCAAGATACCAGCCACGCTGCAAGCCCACACCCGCAATCCAGAAAGGTTCCGTCACCTCGGTTCGTAGACATGGGGTGGTCCAAGGCAGCCTACGCAGGGTGTCGAGGATGCGTCACATCGACTAGATGTGAAAACGAGCTCAAGAAATGGCAGTCTAAGGGAGGTAGATCATGACACAGGAAGGCTCATGCATGCACACGGGGACTGACAAAGCGTTGGTTTATGCCCAGGCACTGCGTCGCCAACAAGGCCAATCGGTGGGATCAAAGTCCTGCCCGTCCAGGGTCCATGCACCTGCGGTGATGCAGCGAACCAGAAATAGCTACTGTGTAGCTGCCAGATACTACAAATAGGAGCCCATTAAGGCCCATTATAGCCCATTGGCCCATCGCCCTTGGTCCGGCAACAGTTGTGGATCTTTCGGGGGCGATCTTTCGCTTCGGCGGCCTCTGTGTCGTACCCAATTGGAGGTAGGTTGAACGCGAAGTTCTTCTTGCATTTCCAGATCTCAGAAAAGTCGAAGGCCTGCAGCAGTCATGCGTTGGTCCATCTGCTGCTTGGGGAGTCTGGACATTCTGGGGAGCATGCCATCACATCATTCGGCTCCTCGACAAAGCCGCCGTTGCTGAGGGTCTCGTCCACTGGAATGCCAACCTCCGATTTCATGGTAACACTATGGCAACTGTCAGCAGTTAGGTCGGGCGAGCTTCCAGAATTCTATAAGATTTGGTTTGGGTTAGGCAAAACAATACTTTGAAAAGGTACATCTCCTGATAGCACGGACATGTCCGCCTCTTTGCATCTCTCCAGCACCCATCTTCTCAAGCGCATCTTTTCGTCGGCTTTATTTGGATTCACCTGCACAGGGTGTGACGACTTGGGTCTCCCACTCTCCAATACTGCAGAATCAGCTTCTCTGATCTTCTCTCTGTACGTTGAACTGTTGCTCAAGCCCGTGCACTCTGTGCCCTCTGTGCCTTCTGTGCCCTCTGTGCCCTGTGCCGTCTGTACACTCTGTGCACTCTGTGCACTCTGTGCACTTTGTGCACTCTGCGCCTTGTCGCGGCCGGAATGAAAGGAGTAAATACTTCCACTGAAGCCTGCTGCTTGCAAGTCTTCCTTGCTTGGCGTGAAGATCACGTAGTTGTGGAAGGAAGCCTGCTTTTGCAAACCATACTCGTGGCCAGTCGGGGTACTTGAATGCGCTCAACCGTGCTTGTAACGCCATCTAGGGCAGTTAAGAATTCAAGACGGCGCTCCCGACCTTGTAGTAGTTGAGCCCTGCCATATTGCCTGCGCCGCTCGCCAAATGTGCTCGTTTCATGTCCGTTGGCTCTTGGCCACTTGGAAATCCCAGGTCCTGGCAGCGACCCACGGCAGAAGAAACTGCGGCAGAACAAACGGCCTGCATCCGCGATTGCTATGCCCTGGGGACAAAAAGCTTGGACAGAGCATGCTGCTGAGCGTCTTTGAGCCGTTGACGTGACACTTTCTGGACATTGGCCACGACCCCGATCATCTTCTTGAAGTTGCGCTTGTCTACCTCCGCTCAAATGTTATGCGGCAGTCCCTGGCCTCTTAACCAGATTTGCCTCAGAGACACATGTGACTCACATGTGCCTCTCCAAAGATCTGTTTCTGCGACTCTCGGACGCGGCTTCGGGCACCGTCGCAGCCCATCAGTACATCGAAGGTTTGGAAGTTCTCTCCGAGTGGAACCTGGTAGCTGTTGGCACCTTGCTCCTTGGAGCCAACGGTGAAGGTGAAGCGCGTGATAAGTTCTAGGGCCTTACTACTATATTAATATATTCGTATATTGAGATATAATTCTATTAGTATACTAATACAGTATAGTAGTACGAGTATCTTAGTAGGGCTCTTGAATGGCATGTGGAACCAGTGTGGCACCAAGCTGCATCGCATGTAAATTTAACTTTCCACCTCAGCACGACCCAAGGTAAGTCGCGACACCTGCCTCGTTTTCCTAAGACTGAGGCGAGGACCTTGGCTTCTGAGTCCGGGGATCAAGAACTATCTCTGCATCCTGCACTGGTTTCACGTGTGTTAAAGGCATACGCTGCAATCATCACAGGCCGGCCTAAACTGTCCTCGTAGGACATGCCCATGCGGAAGTCCACTCCGAGGAGCAAGGCGTTTTTGAGCAACAGCAACTGAAGTTCCTCTTGGGCAAAATGACAGCAGTGAACTGCAAGGCTCCGAAGCAAAGCAGGTGATTCAGTAAAACCATGTGCTGAAGGCATCATCTGGACAATAGATTGCATGCAGCCAACAGACGTCGATGCCAATGGAGGATGTATCTGCTTGAGTGAAGACAGGATAGCACATCCTTAGCTGTTCGATTGTTCATCTTACACTGCCTGCGGCTCCGAACTGCGCTCAGTCGTGTCGATTCCCTCTGCCAAGGAGCTTAGAAGACATAAAGTCACGGCCATTCAGCCTATCAAGGTCCTGAGCTCCCGGGTGCTCACATGAATCCGATTGCCGGGCCTCTATACTAACCCGTAGCTGGGCTCTAAACTCCGAGATCTGGCGATGCAATCCTGGACAACTCAGACGATACACTGGGTCACTTGGGAATATGGGCTCTGCGAAGTTTCGGCGAGGGGTGTCAAACATGAGTTCCCAGGCTCCCTTTCTTGAGTACTTCTCCTCCCCACGACGTACTCTTACAAAGTGCTTTGGGAACAACAGGAAGGAACCTACCTTCGAAACCTTCATGGAGCAGGAGCGCATGCAAAAAGGCCTTGAGGTGCAACGCCTATGCCTACATATTACATATTCTGGGCATTCAGGGGCCCCAGAGTGTAAGCAGAACCCTGAAGACAAAGTACTAAGGGGTACCTGAAGATCTCCTATCCACTCTGGGTAGGGAGGCAGAGCATGCTGAAAGCCTTGCCTAAATCCATTTCAAGATCCATAGCCAATTAAACCCATGATGGTGCAGCTAAGAGATCATTTCTCAGAAAATTGAAGACATGAGGTCGGTTGATTCCTGAGCAGCGCCACGAAGCCAAGTTGCAGCAAACTAATGCCAAGATCGTCAAACTGCAACACGCAGAACAACAAGATCTCCGGTAGTTGCAGAAAGCAGGAAAACTCTGGGCATAAACACGAGCTTTAGCCGCGCGTCGGTTGGTGAACCCAAGCTGCTGCAGCTGGCCGCTCTCATCTCGCACCTCACGCCGCTTCTCAAAGACCGTCACCTGAAGAGGTTCTCCGGCAAGTCGTGCTTAAGTTTTAACTTATGTAGAGTCATGAGTAACTACTTTTGGATGCCAAGTTTTCAGGGGCTTCTTCTCGTGGACGCCGTGCAGGTTGGGGGGCCGTCGAACAGTTTGTTTCAATAGGAACTTCCAGGAAAACCTCATGTTCCTGAATATTGTAATACTATATAATCGACTGTCTGCAGTTTATGGTAAGCGGCGACTAAGTTGTAGTATCAAACAATAACACAGCTGTTCCATTATACATTGATCGGAAAACCTCTGTCGTCATATGTTACCAGGTGAGCCCTCATTCTCTTTTCGTAAGTAGATCGCATTCGCTTTTCTTTTCCGATGGATTACTCAGAAAACCTTCAATTCACTGAGTGAGAATGAGAACATCCTTGCGGTCGTGAGAGAAAACTCGCGCGGCCATTTTCCTGCCAATAAAGAAGGGCACAGTTCTTGCAGGCTTTTTGTGTCAAACGAGAGCTTCTCTCTGCTCACTGTACTGAGAGGGTGACGTTTTTTGTTCTGACAACCACATGCATTGAAATCATGTTGGCAACACGATGAACTCCTTCTGTCTGTCCAAAAAGCGGCAAAAACAGTAAGGTACTGGGAGGGTAGCATCATATAACATATTTTCTCTTATGTGTATATGGCTGTGTGCCTAAACCCCCGGTTGTCGCGGCCCGCGCCCGCGCCCGCTTGTTACAGACCTCTGTAACGCCCGGCTTGTTACAGACCTCTGTCGCGCGCACGCTCGTATCATATCATATCATATCATATCATATTATATTAAATTACATTATATTATATTATATTATAGTATATTATGTTATATTATATGGTTATACATTTACATATACATATACATATACATATACATATACATAGACATATACATATACATATACATGCACTAAAAACGGGTCTCAGGGCGCATTGGGGTAGGACAATAATGCGTCTGTTTGGGGCGCACGTTGCTTACGCAGATGTCACAATCGACTGTGTTTGGTCTGTCGCGGGTATGTAACGCACTTGTAACGGGGTATGTCGTGCGCCGGGAGGCATGAACACAGATTTTCGGGAAGTTCGGGTTTCAGGTTTCGGGGGTGTCTTGTCTAAAGCCTAGAGAGTCCCCCTGTTGAGGACTGAGTGGGGTTGGCCGAGACAAGCAAGACCTGGAACCCTCACAGCTTCTTGAAATTTACGAACACTTCCCCCCCGATACGCAAGACTTGGAACCACTCCACATACTCAGCCTTTAAGAGTTTAAGGGGGTTTCAAATTCAGGGATATATATATATATATGTATATATTTTTGCTTCTTGACACTTACCCCCGATAAGCAGGACTTGGAACCTGCAGACAACAACAAACAGGTCTGTCACAAAACCCCGGCCATTGATACATACCCTCTGTAACGGGGTATGTCGCGTGTGTGGGCCGCGGCCCTGTTACAAGCCATTAATATTGGCACGCGGCCATATAGATATACTGGAGACTGGAGGTATCAGTCCATGCCCAGCTATGCGTGGAAGCTCTCTCCCACGCGTTGCGGCACCGTCGTGGCCAAGTTGTAGTCCAGGCACACCTGTGCATGAAAACCAAGTACTGTAACCGCCACACCAAAACCGCGACATGTCAGAGCAGGCCTGCTTCTTGTCCCGACTCGGCACCTGTCATGCCAGCGAGACGCGCTGTCTTCACCAACGCAGTCTCCCCTGCATGGCCATTGAGCACCTTTGGCGGCAAGGTCGGCCAAGCCTGCACCATAGGCTCACAAAGACACAACGCTCCAATTACACCAGACCCAGACCCCACGTCACGGTGCCTCCCGCTTTTTCGGAACGGGCACAGGAGCCTCAGAACGACTCCGACTCTCCTACACACAACGCGGCTGGCAAGCGCCACTACCGTGGCTCTGGCAGGTTGCGCCTTCGCCTTTGCAACGGTCCGGCCTAGTGAGCAGAAAAGGAGACTGTAGCAATCCCGCATGATTCACTCTACAGCTGAGGTTCTCACGCCCTTGTGGCTGCAATAAAGCCCGTCTAATGCGGTCCTGCTCCGCCCGCTCCGCAGGGCTCTCCTCCTCGCGGCTGCGCTTCATACCTGCATGTACACGACATCGGCAATCATCACACACGTAAGCCTATACGTTAGCCTATAGGCGTCTGTATTTGAGGTCCCGGACCGCGCGCCGCCTTCAGTGTGTCGAAGCCGAAAAAGGCCATCTGTCAGGCGGCGCAATCACCAGAACGCGCACGCACCGTGCCAAGTACTGCCTGAGCGCCAGACTGCGACAAGGAAGTGCGAGTGGATTGAGAAGCGGGAAGAAGCACTGTCGAGAAACCGCTGCGGCGCTCCATGCAGGACGTTTGAAGCAAACTCCAAGCACTCGAAGCCTCCCTGACTAATCTAACTATTGCAGAGCACGCACTAACTCCTTCCACGTGATATCCCAGCACAGCGCGAAACATGAAGAATGCTGCGCGACAGACTCGGATCAACCATGTCAGCACAAGCGCAGATCACTGTCCTACGTACTCTCAATTCCTGAAATCCGAATCCCCGTCCTGCTGCGGCGTTCAGGTTCGGGCTCGGGAGGGACAAAAACCATGGAGCTACATGGGAACTTCAGTTTCGATTGCGACTCGAGGATCTCCCGAAAAATGAACCCAGCGACTGTCTCATATACGGCACTGGCACGGCGTCAGCGAGAAGTGATTGCCACGTCAGTTGACGCAACGCACACATCAGGAGGGCGGTGATTGCCACGTCAGTAACGCAGCGCACACCGAAAAAATTCAAGCGATTGCCACGTCGGTAACGCAGCGCACGCCAAGGAAAAATTTGCCGTGTCGCGCGGAGCGCGGCCTGATGAGGTGACAGCAAAGCTGACACGAGTCGCGTTTACTAGGAGCCTGAAGGCGGGTCTCATCTACGATTTAGTCGACGGCCTCAAATGAGAATCCAATTTGAGCGCTGAAAACGAGGCTAGGGTCCAAATGAAGCCTTCGATTTGAGATCTGAAATCAGGCTGCTTCCAGCTTGGCTTGGAGCCCGAAATGGAAACCTTTTCAGGTGATCTTTAAACACGACGGTCAAGCCCCTCAGAACCAGCCGCCTGCCCTCCCAGACGAAACCAATTGGTTAAGTCGATGCCCTCCTAGTAGCACGAAGCGTTCGGATTGACGGGCTGAGGAAGACGCCTTCTCCCGTTGAGCACACGCGATTAATGCGAGGCAGTCGGCCTGTCTCTGGGATTAAGAGAGGCGAGGATCGAAGACGCCTCAGCCCCTGCAAAAAGGTAAAGATGACCATGACCGCCCTGCCAAGATCCTTAAACCAAAGTTTCAACTGAGCATGCCGGCAGGACGCCCCCGCGCGCGCGCGCAACCAAGCACGTGCTCCAATTAAATTAGAAGTAGTAGTAGTAGTAGTAGTAGTAGTAGTAGTAGTAGTAGTAGTAGTAGTAGTAGTAGTAGTAGTAGTAGTAGTAGTAGTAGGAGTAGTAGTAATAGTAGTAGTAGTAGTAGTAGTAGTAGTAATAGTAGTAGTAGTAGTAGTAGTAGTAGTAGTAGTAGTAGTAGTAGTAGTAATAGTAGTAGTAGTCGTAGCAGTAGTCGTAGTAGTAGTAGTAGTACTAGTAATACTAGCAGTAGTAGTAGTAGTAGTAGTAGTAGTAGTAGTAGTAGTAGTAGTAGTAGTAGTAGTAGTAGTAGTAGTAGTAGTAGTAGTAGTAGTAGTAGCAGTAGTAGTAGCAGGAGCAGTAGTAGTAGTAGTAGTAGTAGTAGTAGTAGTAGTAGTAGTAGTAGTAGTAGTAGTAGTAGTAGTAGTAGTAGTAGAAGTAGTAGTAGTTAGTAGTAGTAGTTAGTAGTAGTAGTTAGTAGTAGTAGTAGTAGTAGTAGTAGTAGTAGTAGTAGTAGTAGTAGTAGTAGTAGTAGTAGTAGTAGTAGTAAAAGTAGTAGTAAAAGTAGTAGTAGTAGTAGTAGTAGTAGTAGTAGTAGTAGTAGTAGTAGTAGTAGTAGTAGTAGTAGTAAAACTATTAGTAGTAGTAGTAGTAGTAGTAGTAGTAGTAGTAGTAGTAGTAGTAGTAGTAGTAGTACTAGTAGCAGTAGGAGTAGTAGTAGTAGTAATAATAATAGTAGCAATAGTAGAAGTAGCAGTGGTAGCAGCAGTAGTAGTAGTAGTAGTAGTAGTAGTAGTAGTAGTAGTAGTAGTAGTAGTAGTAGTAGTAGTAGTAGTAGTAGTAGTAGTAGTAGGAGTAGTAGTAGTAGTAGTATTTCCTCGATTGGGAGAGCGGTCTCCATCTGCATGCTGTGTTATGCTGTATGGAGCACGTGCATTTGCAACTGACAGACCTGAAGAGGCTCCAAATGAGGCTGCCACGTGATGGCCCCCGAGCTTTAGCTCGATGGCCATGCGCAGCCCAACAGGGCCACCTCCTACGACCAGGACCGTCCTGGCACTGTGCAGGCTTTGCCTCTCCAGCAAGAGAGCTTGGCTGCAAACCGTCCAATTGCTTCCAAATGGCTGTGGCTCAATGTTCGGGTTGGGATTCGGCAACCCGAAGTTGATGGGATCTCCGTCTCGGTAAGCGGCGCCTTGAAATGCTCCCCCAATGTCCCTGGTACCCCAGTGCTTCTTGGTGCTGTCTCATGCCTCCGATTTTCAAGTTTCTGGCCTCGTCGTTCCAGCTCATCGAAACGCCTCCAAATACGTGGCCACTTCCAATGGCCGCCATCGCCTGACAAGGAGCAACCCATGCCAAATCAACTTGCTACTCTCGATCCCCAAAACAGCTGGCCTACAATAGCATAGAGCTTCTCATAGGGGAGAACTGGGTGGATGCGCTCGTCCGACGACCCAGCCACAGTTTCCACGATGGTATTTCTGACCGTCTCCTTAACTGCTTCGCACCTCTCGCTGGTGTGCAGCGACCTCTGAAGTACTTCTACTCTTGCGGTGGCTGTCATCACTGCGTCACGGCTTCCCTGCGACTTAGGCTCGTCGTATATCTCTTGCCACAGCTCCAGCAGATCCTCGCCTTTGGCTGTTGGTGGCTCTGCCTGTGCACTGGAAAGCTTATTTCGCTTGAGTTCAGAAACGCAATGGATTGTGCCGTGAGCCAGTGTGAGCCAACATGCCAAAAGGGATCGACCTGGAAGAATCGCTTGAGCAATTCTACCTTGGTACTCGCCTCGGTCAGATTCAAGTGAGCGAAGCGCACAGCACTTTTGTGCTACGACATCATTGTGTTACCATGACCGGGTTCGCAGTGAACATGAATGGGAGACTCTGTGCATAGGAGCATCCAAGTCTTCCAGATCCTTCTGCGTTAGCGACATGTCAAGTTGCTGCACCCTGTACACTGCACAACCTTGGACTACAGCGCTCAAACAGCGTTGCGGCGCTTGTTGCAGAGGCTGAGCCAAAGAAGAGCAGGGCAGGGCACCACGACGCTTGACACATGCAAGTGAAGGAGTTGCCCAGCCAGATGCTGAGGTTGATAAGCTGACACTCTAGGTGCTCCTCCAACGTGTCGAAATCGAAAGTAATGGCGTACGGTATGCCGAGCTCATCGTTTCGAGAGTACCTTTGCGCACCAAGACATTCTATGGCAGAGCGGTAAGTGAGCCCTGGCATTGGTGTTGCCTCTTGCCAATTGTGGCGTTGCTCTCGTCGAGTGTGAACGACCTGTGGCATGGCGACTGTGGATGCAGTATTGGAAGTCGAGAAGTGTGGAAGGTGCGGAGAGTCAGCGACTTTGAACAGGTGCACATACTACAGTAGTATATGAGCATAATATAGCACTTGTATAATGAACATCTAGTGCTTATGCAAGTAAACATTATTCATTGAAGTTTCGCATGAGACAACCCACTATTGTCGCAGCTTAGCCCCGCGCAGACCAAGTTCAACAAGTTGCACCTGAAAGGCCTCGAAAGGATTCAGCCCCAAAAAGGATCGCAAGTCTTGCCAGTTCGGCTCGCTTGCCATCGTTTCATCTCAGGAGCACGCATCCATCATGTTCAGATACCGCTCGTCGCGAGCAATTCGCTGGTCCAGTGGCAAAATCACACACCTGCTGCGAGAGGGTCATGGCACTCAGCTGGTCTGCACAAGTTCTAAAAAGTTCTAAACTGGTCCGGTGCACTTGTACGGTGCGGAGGACGGAGCGAAAGCTAAAACGCCACGAGTTTGCTTGTCCTTGTCGTCTCCCGGCTCCTCCTGCCAACAGAGAAGCATGTGGCCTTGAAGCATAGGACCCATGATGGCTCGTGACTCTGATGGCACCCAACATGCACTCTCTGCTCGTATTCTTTCTCTTCAAGAGGATACCAAACGAATTGAATACATCGGCCTGACACACTTGGTCAGCAAACATTGCAAAACTTTTGTTTCGCGTGATGTGCGCCTTTTTGTGCCTGTGATGTCACATGTTCATGGAAGACGAACTCAGATCAAGGGAACCCGTGCATGACTAACCGGAAACTGAGAGCTCAAAGCTGCGCGAACCACCAAGAGCACTCTCTCGTAATCAAAGAAAAAGGGTCGGCAAGCAGTGCAAAAGATCAGATCGAGCCGGCCATCCGAAGCGAGACACCACTTGGGACATCAAACTGCAGAAGGCTCAAGAACCAAACCTTCCAGACCCAAACAACCTGGACATGCTACATAAACCAATCAATGACTACACTGAAGACATGGGACTATAGACTATGACAGTAACAGTACTGTCGCTTCACATGACATCACTTCTCGACATGCTAGACGGCTTCGCTTGCATCAGTTAGGCAAGATCAACAGGCCCACAGACCCACAGGCCCACGGGCTTGCGGGATCGTGCTTGCAGCATACCGATCAAAGCTGTTTGGTAAGGGTTGGCTCATTGGAGTGAGTCAAGCCCCGTGACAAGGACACCACCCTGCTACCTGCTACCGAGCACTCCTTTACCTCCATTTGTGCATTGTTTTGCATCCGACTTCAAGCGGACAGGCATCTAGAAGGTCTAGGCCAATCGTCGCAACACTTTCATACCTTATGAGGTTTGGCTGAGACACGAGTAGCTGGACCAAGATGGAACATCTTCTGTGGGGCTGAAGCCTTCAGAGACAGCTAGACAGTTTCTGCAGGATAAATTCAGACATTCGTCATTCAGCGTTCACTCCTAGTCCGGTCCTATACATAAGATGAGTCTTTCCATGCTTCTAGGGTTCGGGAATGCACCAATGGCTTTGGTGAAAACTTAACAAGAATAACAGCAGAAAAACATACACACTTTCCATTCTTCGGCTTTATATACAAGCCAGTCGACACAATATGTTTCCTCTGCAACTCAATTGAAGGCGTTGATTGAACGGATTCAGAGGTCAACTCGGGGGACTAAGAGTGGAACATCCTCAGTAACTACATCTTTGGTTGCCTGAAAGGGCATCGAACAGCTCTGGATACAGCGAGAATCTTCTGCGATGCTCATGATTTCTGGCTTTGCTTCTTGGTTGCACAGGTTGCTGGCGGCGAACACAAAATGTGCGCACATAGGCTTTTTGGGCGTTTGTGTGGGCAGTAGGGGCGATTGAGTGAATTTTACATGCGGTGGCGTGGGTTGTACAGGCATGATTCAAGCTTTCCCGACAAGATGCTACAATGTTATGTTCAAAAAGCTCCCGGCTCCTTCGGGCGGGCATAATACACGTGCTCGAGGAGAGAGGCAAAAATGCGGTCAATGCCTCAGAAGCGCAGCATTAAGTGTTTAGACTTCCTTACACACTTCTTCGACGAGCTCGAGCCACCAAACACCCTGAGTGCAGCTCCAAACGAAGGTTCAATGACCCCGGGCGTGAAAGCATTGACCGTCTGCTTCTCCATCTGAGTCCGAACTAGCTTTGCTTCGGTTCAATGCCCAATTGCTGATTTGCCTCAAGCCTGTTAAAACTCATTCTGGGCCATCCTTAAGACTCCACTCGCGTCATAGGCAATTCACTGCTGAACTGCGTGCGCCTTTCGCTCAAACACGGCGAGCTCCTTGGTCAATGTGAAGGATGAGCCATCCACCTGTGCTCAAGGTTGCGTGTCTTCGAGTTCTGGCAGGGCATTCATCTAGGAATCTAGGCTCTGCAGGTGCATATGGGCAGAACTAAAAAACTGTTGCGGCCGTCGAGGCATCGCACCAAAAGTCGGCATGCAGCGACAGCATGTGCCGTCGGCACCTGCACGTCAGCTGTGCCCTTCTCCAGCTGCTTGGCAATGCATTCCTTGAAAGCGAAGCTCATATCTCGCATTTCAAGCGCTAGGAAAGCACATCTGTCATTCTATGATGCCTTCTGCGTGGACGATAAGGACCGGACTATCTCCTCTTGTGGAAGCTTCTCTATGAACTCCTCGAAATCAGCTTGTGAACAGCTTCGCTCTACGTCGCTATACTCGAGGAAGCAAGAGGCTTCGGCTAGGGCTCTCCTTGACTGTACGCCCATCCTTTTTGAAGGCCTTCATGATGTCCACCCCAGACTTCTGGCAAAAGTTGCCCCAATGCCGCCCACAAGGGCCAGGCTAGTGGAAGGAACAAGTGCTACTCAGACTTGCTAAGAACAGGTATTGTGTGCTTGGCAGCAATCACAGCGGTTTTGCCGCCATCGCCTTTGTAAGAGCTAGGACCTCCCTCTCGATGGGTTTCTCCAGGGATTCCTTGTACTGGAGATCGCATTTCGCTGCCTGAGCGCTGCAGGGGATTGAGCAAGCCGGCTTACCTGGAGAGCGAAGGGAGCTTGGAGCAAAGTGCAGATCCCAGATCCCTTGGCGGGTCAATGTAAGAGTCGAGCTCGTGCATGAGCATTCAGGTCAAAGGCTGATCTGTCGGCAATGCCGACGCACTCCAGCCACCTTGGAGACATTGATATCAGTGACTGCCCTGGTCAATACCACTGTGGTTGTGCGCAACCGGGCATTGGCCACATACCATATTTGCTCGGGTCATATTGAGCCCTTCTGTGGGGCTTGACATCCAGATTCCAACATCTTGCCAGAGTGCATCCAAGTTGCCCATAGGAGCCAAAAATCTCTGCGTCCCAGCAGTCACACGCATAGTGCGCCATCTCTGTTGGCAGGTGTTGGCGGAAGCGAACAAACTCCTGTACAGTATGCTTGAGGTTACGATCAACAGTATGCAGTATGCGGCCATGACATGCACAGAGTCCTGATCCAAACCGATGTGGAGGAGGAACTGGTATGTCCTCTGCACAAGAAGTTTGACCGTCTGCCGCGTCATAACGCAGTAGTTCTGCCTGTTCCGCCACCTCCCTCTGAAATCGCCAGGTACCCCTCCTGTTGCCATGGCCCAATCAGAATGTCAAAAACCTAGCGTTCCTCCTGTTTTCTTTGCGGCTTGCGATTGCCATTCTGCTAACATTAACGTAAGGCATCCCTGGACGTTTGGAAAGTTTAAACCCCGAACCCTGAAGAGCGCCCACCTCACGATGAAGAAGGCGAGGGTCTCATTGTTGATGAGCCCACGGCCTGGATAGTTGTGGGTTGTTGCCTTGTTTGTTTGTGGGGGGACCGCTATGAGGGATGACATTTGTCAACAGGGCCTCCTACAACAGGGCCGGAACCCGACCTGAAAAGAACCACCCCCGATAAAGGGTTTGGGTGTACGATGGAAGTCGCTCGAGCGCACTGCAGGTTCAATTTCAAGTAGACCAAGGACATTCACCAAACTTCAAGGAGTCTTTCCTCAGCACCTGGCTAACTGCATCACCGGCTGCCATCTTGACAGGCTCCTGCCAGACTGCGATGTCCGATGATGTCCACCGCTTTATTCCGCTTTCGGTCACAGAGCGGGCGCTCGGCGACGATGGGTGAGTTCAAGCACATCGGGATTGTTGTTCACATTGGCACCACATGAACTAAACTTAAGACTGAACTACTGTACCGTTTTTTGTTCAGCCAGGCTCACGGAGTCAGCCCTAGACATCCCTAGACTCTACTACTCTACAATCTACAAACCAAATTCGACAAGAAACAGCGGCACGATCAGAGGACTCCCTTTGACGTGCAGTCAACTAGACCGGCCTCTGGCATCCATGCCTTCCTTCTCTGGACAAGTCACGTCACATTTCCAAGCGAAGCAGGCCATAAAGGTCCATATAATGCATCTGTTTACCTCCGTTTGAATTGGGCACCCATGTTTCCTGCACTAGGCTGCGCCGGACCTCCATGAGTTTTTGTTGTTTGTTCCATATGTTTGGTTTTCTGGTTTTCCTTGGGCCCGTCTAGAAATTCTTTAGCTTTCTGGCTTCACCCAACATAGGAAGCAGGAAGGGCCAATGATGGCGAACAGGAAAGTCCTGGAGACCGTCCTGCCTGAAACGCTCCGTGCCGCGCTTGAGGCGGCGGTTTCTGTCCCCGTCTCGCAGGCTCTCGTCTCCAGAAACTTCTGCCCGATTTTTCTTCTCCCATTATATTCGTATGTTTCCGACTTTTTAGGCTCTTCCCGGCCTACTTCGAACTGACCAGAAAACACCATGCTGCTCAGACCCTGGAGCCTGAGCTGAAAGCTGTGCATCTGAGTGGAAAAGGGTCAGCACCTCGTAGCAACGAAGGGATGGAATCAAAAAACAGGCAAGTGGAAACTTGCGGCTGCTTGCGGAACATCGAGGCAGCCACAGTGTCCTTGACCATCTTAAACTTGGGATGCGCCTGGCAAAAACAGGCCGGTGCCCTCTCCATGTTGAGGCCCCATGACCCAACATCTTCAGGCGGCTTCATGCAAGCAGTGTGGATATCGTGATGCAGCCTTGTTTGCTGGATTCACGAAATATTCGATCTCCGCTTGGGTGAACTCTCTTTGTCTCGTCAGCCCTGCCAGGGCTAAAGCAATGTTTCGGCTGAAGCAGTTAGCACACCACAATCAGACCGGCGCGTGTGTGTCTGTGTGCCTGCCCTGGGCGCAATCTCGTTGCGAAAAGATCGGCCGACCTTGCCAGTGGCCGGCACCGCTCTACTCGGACTGCCCAAAATCACTATCACTGTTTTACCCTTTTGATGCGACTACAGCAAGTTGTACTTCGGAGTTAGAATGCTTAGCTTCGACCGACACCTGCCTGCGCCACTCCGAATGGGAGTCGGTTCGAGTTCTGCTCCAAGCAGAACTTGTAGTTCAAGAAGATGCCCTCCCAGTACACTTGAAGCTCTCCAGCAATATCGAAAAAATCGTGATTCATCCTGTGGGCACCCAGCAAGTCTTCGAAGCTGCAGGCACCCAGCCCTTCATTCAAGCCTGCGCCGTCTCCGGTCTGAGGTAGCCCTCAGCGTGGCTGCAGTGTGTGGCGAACAATCTCTTGTCAATCAAATTAAATGAACGCGAGCCCCAATGGCCTGCAGATAGCCCCCGGGGCCGATCGGAGTTGGAAACATCAGGTTAAACCTCGCGAATGCACGGCCTCTAGGACTCCAGGCTTGCGGCAGTATACACCACAGAACTTCACTTTCAATATCACGAAATCACTTCACCTGACTGCAAGAATCTTCAAGCCAGTGACTCATACGGCTCACTCAAGTCATTGCCGGTCTCGGGCGACTTGATTTGATACCTGAACAAGTCGTGCAGTCACATGCGAGCCTGTCGCCTTCAGAGAGATGCAGAGTCAATGCAGAGAGAGAGAGAGAGAGAGGGAGACAGACAGATGGACAGAGGCAGACACTCTGAGATCAAGACCCAAACGCAGACAGGACAATGGAGACAGACGCAGAGACTGACAGACAGAGCAAAGTGGACAGACAGTTGAGGCTGCTGCGGCTGCTCGCCCAGCCCGAGCACATTCTCAGAAATCGCCCACCACTGCCCATCCGGCGCAGCGTCAATGAGCGTGCGAAAACGCGCTTCGACGCACAGAGATCGCATGTGAAGAGGTGCCCACATGTGCCCACAGAGAGCCACAGAGACAACAGAGCCACACAGACTTGGAGAGACACAGACATAGATGGAGAAACCGAGAGACCGAGGGATAGTATCGTGGTGCGAACTCTCTGAGAGGCCCTGCTTCTGAAAGATCTGGTGGAGCTCCTCACCGTGTTCCAGTGCAGCAAAGATGCAAAATACGTACGAGTACAACGATAGTGCACATGCGTTCATCACTAGTCAACTCAAACACATGTCCAACCCTCCTGCTGAGAGTACGCGTCGGCTTGGTTGCGAACAGAGGTGTACCTCTATGACCAAAGGAGGTGGTGAAAGCTTGGCATCATGGCTTGGATCGGGTATAAAATGGTATAAACAACAGGTATTTCCGCGCGTTGCCCGTCCAAGCCCCGAGCTCCACACGCTGAGCCTCCGTCAAGTCAGCTGCCTTAAGCTTCTCCTCCATGACATCCTGCTGTCCCACTTCCGTACGGAGATCTTGGGACAGAGTCCCTGCAGCTTAGAAAATTTCGGTGTGCAGGGACGAGTAGGGCAGGGACGAGTAGGACAGGGAAGCAAGGCAAGGGAGGGAAATAGCCTCGAGCAACTTGTCAGCTCGGAAGAACTTCGACTCATCAGATACGTCTTTGACCTGAGCAATGTGAAAAACAAAAAGCTCGTGCTGACATCACGCAAGCGCAGACGCAAGAAATGCAAGTGCAGGCCGACGTGATGGTCTGTGCAGCGCATGTCTCAATGTGGCTGCATGAGCGTGTCGACTCATTGGACATGTCCATTCTTGTGCCGCGTCATCCAGGATCGGAACCATGAAATCATTGAAGCGGTCCACGTGTCCAGATGCCTCATCGAAGAGCTGAGCTGGAGATGGACTCGTTTGGTACCAGCAAAAGACTAAACAAGGGTAACAGCAAGAGTGCAAAGCCCGAAGCAACGTTGCATCTTGTCGAGCGTTTTCGGTCCCACGAATAAATACATGGCCTAATCTGCTCCCTCAAGCCTTCAGGACGGAATGTTGCATTATGCACGTGTCCTGCCAACGAATGAGCTGGTACGAGTACAAGGGAGTACAAGAAACTTCCAGCACGATCCGGCTGTGACGTCCTCAATTTCGAGGAGGTGCTCCGAAATGACGAAGAACTGCCTCCACCTTAACTGCGGAAAATGATGCGCATCACTTTCTTTCAGCCCAATCCTCGCAGCCCGACTTTGGCATGCACCCACACACAAACATAAAGGTCTTTCTATATCTTTCTGTGGCCATCCATTGCAGGTACTGCATGTGCACACTCAGTCCCACCACATTGGGCGGCCTGGTGCTTGCGCGGCCAATGCGCGGAAGCTTCCGGTCAGGACGGCTCAGTGCCCGCCGGCGTTGAGCCCGCTGCAAGCCTTCATCTTGGGGCGGCAGCTGGACTTGACGCAGTGCGTGCAGGCTGGAGACTTGTCATTGGTGATGCCTGCGCTTTGCGTGGGATGCGCTTCGCCCACTTCGTGAAGCTTTATGCTTTATTGTGCGCGAATTAAAGCGATGCTGCAACGAGATGTTGGACGTAACCTTACGTTAAAACATGGCAAAACATAAAACAACTCCATCAAAGGCCGAGGTGCACTGGTTCATGCAGTGGTCCCTCGAGCAGCCCACCAGCTGGGCCATGCAGCCCGCGCAGCCGCTCGAGTAGCCCTTCTTCTGCATGCAATCCTCCCCGGATCAACAATCTAAAGCGGCCACCCAACGATTTCTTGGAAATCACAATGCCCGAATCCCATGACCATGCAATACCATGCACATGCCCCAGAACCTGAATTCCACAGAGCCTTCGCAGCAGGCAGTCCTTGGTGCATGGGTAGCCGGCGGCGCAGGAGCGGCCGCAGTGGTTGAGGGACGCATCGAAGCTCTTCCTTCCACCGTGCTTCCACACCTTCATGTCATTGGAATTCGTGCAGCCGCCGCCCTCCAGCTCGGCCTCCTCTTCAACGTACACGGCTTCCTCTTCGTCTTCCTGATCGTCAGAGGCATCCTCCAAAGCCTCAAGGTAGTCGACCTTCATGCCGCGCAGCTGGTGGAGCTCCAGGCTGCAGTCTTCCCCCACGGCGCACGCGTCATCCGATGCCAAAGCGGCGTCCATGTCCTGCCCGAAGGCACACGCGAAGCTCAGGAGCACGAAGAAAGCTCGGAGGGCCATGGCTGGCAAGCAGGGTTAACCCAAAACGCTTTTGGAATCTTGTGGAGCTTGAGAGCAAGGTAAGGCTTCGCAGGAAAGGGATCTTTCATCAGAAGCAAGCTTGCGCAGAATAGCAACTACAGGGACTACGAGTACAACGGCTTGGCAGGAGCGCGCAGAAGGAAACTGCCCACCACGAAACAACCAATTCGCCTGCAATGTACCTTTCTTGGTCATGTTGCGGATACATCGGATACATGCGTTCCAGGACGGTCCCTGGGAGCTGCACTCTCCGAAGGCGACGCTGAAGAACCGGACCCGCCACATTGGGCGGCCTGGTGCTTGCGCGGCCAATGCGCGGGAGCTTCCGGTCAGGACGGCTCAGTGCCCGCCGGCGTTGAGCCCGCTGCAAGCCTTCATCTTGGGGCGGCAGCTGGACTTGACGCAGTGCGTGCAGGCTGGAGACTTGTCATTGGTGATGCCTGCGCTCTGCGTGGGATGCGCTTCGCCCACTTCGTGAAGCTTTATGCTTTATTGTGCGCGAATTAAAGCGGTGCTGCAACGAGATGTTGGACGTAACCTTACGTTAAAACATGGCAAAACATAAAACAACTCCATCAAAGGCCGAGGTGCACTGGTTCATGCAGTGGTCCCTCGAGCAGCCCACCAGCTGGGCCATGCAGCCCGCGCAGCCGCTCGAGTAGCCCTTCTTCTGCATGCAATCCTCCGCGGATCAACAAGCTAAAGCGGCCACCCAACGATTTCTTGGAAATCACAATGCCCGAATCCCATGACCATGCAATACCATGCACATGCCCCAGAACCTGAATTCCACAGAGCCTTCGCAGCAGGCAGTCCTTGGTGCATGGGTAGCCGGCGGCGCAGGAGCGGCCGCAGTGGTTGAGGGACGCATCGAAGCTCTTCCTTCCACCGTGCTTCCACACCTTCATGTCATTGGAATTCGTGCAGCCGCCGCCCTCCAGCTCGGCCTCCTCTTCAACGTACACGGCTTCCTCTTCATCTTCCTGATCGTCAGAGGCATCCTCCAAAGCCTCAAGGTAGTCGACCTTCATGCCGCGCAGCTGGTGGAGCTCCAGGCTGCAGTCTTCCCCCACGGCGCACGCGTCATCCGACGCCAAAGCGGCGTCCATGTCCTGCCCGAAGGCACTCGCGAAGCTCAGGAGCACGAAGAAAGCTCGGAGGGCCATGGCTGGCAAGCAGGGTTAACCCAAAACGCTTTTGGAATCTTGTGGAGCTTGAGAGCAAGGTAAGGCTTCGCAGGAAAGGGATCTTTCATCAGAAGCAAGCTTGCGCAGAATAGCAACTACAGGGACTACGAGTACAACGGCTTGGCAGGAGCGCGCAGAAGGAAACTGCCCACCACGAAACAACCAATTCGCCTGCAATGTACCTTTCTTGGTCATGTTGCGGATACATCGGATACATGCGTTCCAGGACGGTCCCTGGGAGCTGCACTCTCCGAAGGCGACGCTGAAGAACCGGACCCGCCACATTGGGCGGCCTGGTGCTTGCGCGGCCAATGCGCGGGAGCTTCCGGTCAGGACGGCTCAGTGCCCGCCGGCGTTGAGCCCGCTGCAAGCCTTCATCTTGGGGCGGCAGCTGGACTTGACGCAGTGCGTGCAGGCTGGAGACTTGTCATTGGTGATGCCTGCGCTCTGCGTGGGATGCGCTTCGCCCACTTCGTGAAGCTTTATGCTTTATTGTGCGCGAATTAAAGCGGTGCTGCAACGAGATGTTGGACGTAACCTTACGTTAAAACATGGCAAAACATAAAACAACTCCATCAAAGGCCGAGGTGCACTGGTTCATGCAGTGGTCCCTCGAGCAGCCCACCAGCTGGGCCATGCAGCCCGCGCAGCCGCTCGAGTAGCCCTTCTTCTGCATGCAATCCTCCGCGGATCAACAATCTAAAGCGGCCACCCAACGATTTCTTGGAAATCACAATGCCCGAATCCCATGACCATGCAATACCATGCACATGCCCCAGAACCTGAATTCCACAGAGCCTTCGCAGCAGGCAGTCCTTGGTGCATGGGTAGCCGGCGGCGCAGGAGCGGCCGCAGTGGTTGAGGGACGCATCGAAGCTCTTCCTTCCACCGTGCTTCCACACCTTCATGTCGTTGGAATTCGTGCAGCCGCCGCCCTCCAGCTCGGCCTCCTCTTCAACGTACACGGCTTCCTCTTCATCTTCCTGATCGTCAGAGGCATCCTCCAAAGCCTCCAGGTAGTCGACCTTCATGCCGCGCAGCTGGTGGAGCTCCAGGCTGCAGTCTTCCCCCACGGCGCACGCGTCATCCGACGCCAAAGCGGCGTCCATATCCTGCCCGAAGGCACACGCGAAGCTCAGGAGCACGAAGAAAGCTCGGAGGGCCATGGCTGGCAAGCAGGGTTAACCCAAAACGCTTTTGGAATCTTGTGGAGCTTGAGAGCAAGGTAAGGCTTAGCAGGAAAGGGATCTTTCATCAGAAGCAAGCTTGCGCAGAATAGCAACTACAGGGACTCGGGAAAGTCCAGTTTATTGGGGGAGACGTGAAACCCCAATGAACGCAGAGGATTCAGGCAGTTGACGAAGTCGAATGCGGGATCCCTTGCCCCCAATGAACGCATGGATTTTACTGCTACGAAGAGCAGCTAAAATCAGTACGCAAGTCGAAATCGCCAAGGAACGGTTGGGCTCAACATGCCTGAAAACATCATCCAACATGGTTGCTGAAGGACCTCCGCCTGAAAGAAATGCAAGCAAAAGCATGGAGTCAAGTCTACCAAAACTTTACGAGTAGGCCGTTTAGGTCGCGTGTCAGGAGGAACACTTACAATGGCTCCTGCCGCGTGTCATGGGCAGCACATGGGTTGAATCCAAGAGTATTTTGCCTCTGCGAACGATACCATGGACGATACCCCGCAGTGATTCGCCTTACCGCAAGAAAAAAGTCGGCTTTCCATGTTGCGTGTACATAGACTACGAGTACAACGGCTTGGCAGGAGCGCGCAGAAGGAAACTGCCCACCACGAAACAACCAATTCGCAATTTACCTTTCTTGGTCATGTTGCGGATACATCGGATACATGCGTTCCAGGACGGTCCCTGGGAGCTGCACTCTCCGAAGGCGACGCTGAAGAACCGGACCCGCCACATTGGGCAGCCTGGTGCTTGCGCGGCCAATGCGCGGGAGCTTCCGGTCAGGACGGCTCAGTGCCCGCCGGCGTTGAGCCCGCTGCAAGCCTTCATCTTGGGGCGGCAGCTGGACTTGACGCAGTGCGTGCAGGCTGGAGACTTGTCATTGGTGATGCCTGCGCTCTGCGTGGGATGCGCTTCGCTCACTTCGTGAAGCTTTATGCTTTATTGTTCCCGAATTAAAGCGGTGCTGCAACGAGATGTTGGACGTAACCTTACGTTAAAACATGGCAAAACATAAAACAACTCCATCAAAGGCCGAGGTGCACTGGTTCATGCAGTGGTCCCTCGAGCAGCCCACCAGCTGGGCCATGCAGCCCGCGCAGCCGCTCGAGTAGCCCTTCTTCTGCATGCAATCCTCCGCGGATCAACAAGCTAAAGCGGCCACCCAACGATTTCTTGGAAATCACAATGCCCGAATCCCATGACCAATAATACCATGCACATGCCCCAGAACCTGAATTCCACAGAGCCTTCGCAGCAGGCAGTCCTTGGTGCATGGGTAGCCGGCGGCGCAGGAGCGGCCGCAGTGGTTGAGGGACGCATCGAAGCTCTTCCTTCCACCGTGCTTCCACACCTTCATGTCATTGGAATTCGTGCAGCCGCCGCCCTCCAGCTCGGCCTCCTCTTCAACGTACACGGCTTCCTCTTCATCTTCCTGATCGTCAGAGGCATCCTCCAAAGCCTCCAGGTAGTCGACCTTCATGCCGCGCAGCTGGTGGAGCTCCAGGCTGCAGTCTTCCCCCACGGCGCACGCGTCATCCGACGCCAAAGCGGCGTCCATGTCCTGCCCGAAGGCACTCGCGAAGCTCAGGAGCACGAAGAAAGCTCGGAGGGCCATGGCTGGCAAGCAGGGTTAACCCAAAACGCTTTTGGAATCTTGTGGAGCTTGAGAGCAAGGTAAGGCTTAGCAGGAAAGGGATCTTTCATCAGAAGCAAGCTTGCGCAGAATAGGAACTACAGGGACTCGGGAAATTCCAGTTTATTGAAGTTTATTGGGGGAGACGTGAAACCCCAATGAACGCAGAGGATTCAGGCAGTTGACGAAGTCGAATGCGGGATCCCTTGCCCCCAATGAACGCATGGATTTTACTGCTACGAAGAGCAGCTAAAATCAGTACGCAAGTCGAAATCGCCAAAGAACGGTTGGGCTCAACATGCCTGAAAACATCATCCAACATGGTTGCTGAAGGACCTCCGCCTGAAAGAAATGCAAGCAAAAGCATGGAGTCAAGTCTACCAAAACTTTACGAGTGGGCCGTTTAGGTCGCGTGTCAGGAGGAACACTTACAATGGCTCCTGCCGCGTGTCATGGGCAGCACATGGGTTGAATCCAAGAGTATTTTGCCTCTGCGAACGATACCATGGACGATACCCCTCTCAAAAAGCTTCCCCGCAGTGATTCGCCTTACCACAAGAAAAAAGTCGGCTTTCCATGTTGCGTGTACATAGACTACAAGTACAACGGCTTGGCAGGAGCGCGCAGAAGGAAACTGCCCACCACGAAACAACCAATTCGCCTGCAATGTACCTTTCTTGGTCATGTTGCGGATACATCGGATACATGCGTTCCAGGACGGTCCCTGGGAGCTGCACTCTCCGAAGGCGACGCTGAAGAACCGGACCCGCCACATTGGGCAGCCTGGTGCTTGCGCGGCCAATGCGCGGGAGCTTCCGGTCAGGACGGCTCAGTGCCCGCCGGCGTTGAGCCCGCTGCAAGCCTTCATCTTGGGGCGGCAGCTGGACTTGACGCAGTGCGTGCAGGCTGGAGACTTGTCATTGGTGATGCCTGCGCTTTGCGTGGGATGCGCTTCGCCCACTTCGTGAAGCTTTATGCTTTATTGTGCGCGAATTAAAGCGGTGCTGCAACGAGATGTTGGACGTAACCTTACGTTAAAACATGGCAAAACATAAAACAACTCCATCAAAGGCCGAGGTGCACTGGTTCATGCAGTGGTCCCTCGAGCAGCCCACCAGCTGGGCCATGCAGCCCGCGCAGCCGCTCGAGTAGCCCTTCTTCTGCATGCAATCCTCCGCGGATCAACAATCTAAAGCGGCCACCCAACGATTTCTTGGAAATCACAATGCCCGAATCCCATGACCATGCAATACCATGCACATGCCCCAGAACCTGAATTCCACAGAGCCTTCGCAGCAGGCAGTCCTTGGTGCATGGGTAGCCGGCGGCGCAGGAGCGGCCGCAGTGGTTGAGGGACGCATCGAAGCTCTTCCTTCCACCGTGCTTCCACACCTTCATGTCATTGGAATTCGTGCAGCCGCCGCCCTCCAGCTCGGCCTCCTCTTCAACGTACACGGCTTCCTCTTCATCTTCCTGATCGTCAGAGGCATCCTCCAAAGCCTCAAGGTAGTCGACCTTCATGCCGCGCAGCTGGTGGAGCTCCAGGCTGCAGTCTTCCCCCACGGCGCACGCGTCATCCGATGCCAAAGCGGCGTCCATGTCCTGCCCGAAGGCACACGCGAAGCTCAGGAGCACGAAGAAAGCTCGAAGGGCCATGGCTGGCAATGGCTGGCAAGCAGGGTGGACCAACAAAACGCTTTTGCCGCTTGAGAGCAAGGCTCTTAAAGGATCGGGATTTGCTTCGCTCGGGTTTCCGCTGCATCCACTGCTCGCGCCATCCTTGTCGCGAGATCACAAGACGTACAATGATGAAGCAGCCTGCCCCAGATCCCCAAATTCTGGCAAGCATCTAGGTTTCATATGTAAGACTGCGCACGGCATAACAACGACTTTTACGACGACTAAGGTCGCGGACAACAACTGTCCATCTCCAGGTCTGCAGTAGAGCGTTCTGATCATATTGCAGCTGAGCTGTGCTTCCAGAACGTTATGGTCCTGTTGCAAGCTCTAGAATTAAAACCGCGGAGCCAGACCCGCCACATTGGGCGGCCTGGTGCTTGTGCAGGCGTTGCGGTCAGCTCGGCCTCCTCAGTGCCCGCCGGCGTTGAGCCCGCTGCAAGCCTTCATCTTGGGGCGGCAGCTGGACTTGACGCAGTGCGTGCAGGCGGGAGACTTGTCATTGGTGATGCCTGCGCTCTGCGTGGGATGCGCTTCGCTCACTTCGTGAAGCTTTATGCTTTATTGTGCGCGAATTAACGCGGTGCTGCAACGAGATGTTGGACGCAACCTTACGTTAAAACATGGCAAAACATAAAACAACTCCATCAAAGGCCGAGGTGCACTGGTTCATGCAGTGGTCCCTCGAGCAGCCCACCAGCTGGGCCATGCAGCCCGCGCAGCCGCTCGAGTAGCCCTTCTTCTGCATGCAATCCTCCGCGGATCAACAATCTAAAGCGGCCACCCAACGATTTCTTGGAAATCACAATGCCCGAATCCCATGACCATGCAATACCATGCACATGCCCCAGAACCTGAATTCCACAGAGCCTTCGCAGCAGGCAGTCCTTGGTGCATGGGTAGCCGGCGGCGCAGGAGCGGCCGCAGTGGTTGAGGGACGCATCGAAGCTCTTCCTTCCACCGTGCTTCCACACCTTCATGTCATTGGAATTCGTGCAGCCGCCGCCCTCCAGCTCGGCCTCCTCTTCAACGTACACGGCTTCCTCTTCATCTTCCTGATCGTCAGAGGCATCCTCCAAAGCCTCAAGGTAGTCGACCTTCATGCCGCGCAGCTGGTGGAGCTCCAGGCTGCAGTCTTCCCCCACGGCGCACGCGTCATCCGATGCCAAAGCGGCGTCCATGTCCTGCCCGAAGGCACACGCGAAGCTCAGGAGCACGAAGAAAGCTCGAAGGGCCATGGCTGGCAATGGCTGGCGAAGATGCTGGAAGGGCAAATTTGACTTGAGCAGCTTGCCTACAAATCACTTTCTAATGGTGTTTAAAAGGCAATATTCTGTCTGTAAATAGAGACCTCAAACAATCGTGAAACTGTTAGGTGCTTTCAGCGCACATGGAATTGAAGGCCCACCGACACAGTCGAGCTTTCTGCTGAATGCTCAGCTGGCTGCGCATGGACAAGATTGTTCTTGACGGCACACCTGGACATGCGGCTGCCTTATCTGTGTCTTAGCGGAAATAGGGCAGAGATCCCACCCTGGCGGCCCGTAGGTGAAGAAGCCCGCGACGCCACCTCAGCCACGCAGCTTTAATCGAACAGGGCCCTGGACCAAAGGAGGGGCACACGCGGGAAGGCGCATGCCGTTGCAGCGTGCAAGTGCTGTCACCCGCCAGGCTCAAGGCGCTATAACAAACAACTCCGCTGCGAACGAGCCATCCGGAAAAAACCATGCATGTTACATTGGTCAGTGGGCGCAGTGAAAAACATAAACATGGGGATCGGGGAGGTGGGAAGGTGGGGCGGGTGGGCGGGTGGGAGCGGGGCGACGGGGGAGGCTGATGCTGCCCTGTTGCCATAGATGTCAGAGCCAGGTCTGTAGAAGAATCGCCTCACTTGCAAAGCATGAACGCGGTGTGTGGGACGAGTGCACCTGTAGATGATTCAAGCTGATAGGGTTTTGGGCAGAAAGGCCTCTTGCATAACTCGAGGACCTCTTTCTGGTTCAGGGCGAAGCGCTCGCCCCCGTCATTCGAGACCTTGCTAGATTGTGTATCCTGCTCCCCTTTCCATTTGTCATTTCCTAACGGCTAGCCACCCCTCTCGTCACTAGCCACAACCACTGTATGTAGAGCATATCGCAATCCAGCTTTGCCATCTGCTTCTCCAGCTTCGTGGTTTCATTCCTGGGGCAGCTCTGGTAAGAATCCAGCCGTGCCTTTCGCAGGCGCCGTTGCACCTGTGAGTTCACAGTGCCAAAGTAGGATCAGGAAAAGCTTGCAGGCAAGGAGTCTTTCGCGCACAAGCCTGACAAGCCTGACTAGCCTGACTAATCTACTAAGTGACCGACCGGGCTTCGAAGCCTTTCAGCAACTTGAGATGTCCAGTCAGGCTTGACCAGAAGAGGGTTCTGAGCAGGTGGCAGTGCCATTCACTTGCGGAGATCCCACACCTTGCTGCAGCACACGAAAACAGCAGACACTCGTCTAACCAAGGCCTGAGGGGGTGTGCAGACCCCCACGCGCCTCACTACATATGTACATGCATACATACATATATGTATGTATATATTATATTCATTTCTATATATATATACAGAGATTTAGATTTAGATTTAAAAATATATTAATATTTATATTTATATTTATATCCACATTTATATCTATATCTTACTTTTATGTTTATGTTTATAATTTAGATTTTCAATTATATTCATATTCATGCATATTCATGTTCCTGTTGAAACTGATATTTATATTCATATATAGACATATATACATATACATATACATATACATATACATATATATATATATATATATTTGTATTTATATCTATATCTACATTTACATTTTTTATATATAAGCATTTGTCTATTCACAAGGCGTGTATATAGCATTTTCTATACACACACACACACCAAAAGCAATGCCCAGCTGCACAAGACAAGACCAAACAAGAAGACTTCACTGTTGCGTGCACTAGATTAGAGACTGCCCTATTGCAAGCAACAGCAACCCGCGACCGTCGCAACCCCTCCGCCCACCCACCCCCGCAAGGCTGCAAGGCTGCAGAAACTAAGAAAGCTCAGCGCAGCACCTGGCTTCTGCGCCTGTAGCCGAATCTGGCATGACAACAGCGGTGCGCTGGGTGCTGGGATCCCCGGCTTTGGCTGGTGCAGATGCCGAACCTGCGTCTAGCTGAGTCTGGCCGACAAGCGAGCTGAGCGAGATCGAGAGACATGCAGCTCTCATACTGACTCGCTAATCTGAGACACATGCTGGATCTGCTTTTCGCCTTACAGGCTTCTTGTCCAAAGACAGTCATGACACAGTATGACACAGTCACCCCAGAATGTGCAGCATGGTGCTCACTCCAGACCACGAAGCGCGGACAAGAACGGAGGCAGAAAGCCAAGGCCAGCACGAAAAGGGTGTAGTATCTAATGCTAGTGGAGAGGAAGTCATCGTTCATCTTCTTACCACTTCTTCCTCTGAAGCGAAAGAGGCGCGCACTCTAACAAATGGAACAAAAGGGCCCCTTTGAGGGGCAGATTCAGCCTGGGGCGCGCCGCGCCAGCTGTTTCAGGTGCCCACCAAGAATTCTGTGAAGATGCAACGCCGTGGTGTCGACACTACGTGGATTCTTACGAGATCATGTTCCACACTGCAAAGTCTGCACATCGCGCCCTATGGGGGCCGACTCGTGATCGCAGTCATGCGTGCCACTTCAGTTGAGCCGGGGTCTGCAGTGAGCATGCCGCTACGATGTTTCCCAACTGCTGGAGCTTTCCCAAGTGCTACCACTCCGAAGTGTCTGACTCCAGGGATTCTCCGAACTCTGGGTTGCATGAGGCAGGGGACGATCCCAAGTTTGACGATAGTGCGCCCAAAGTATTCTGCATCCCAAGCAGTCTCCTTCTTACTATCAAGCCATGCGCCCTTACTGCCAGCTAAAGAACTCGTGGGCGACTCTTCGTCCAGAATTTCGGCCACCCCTCCAACTGTTGCTCTGACTCTCCACCCAAGTCATTTTCTCCCTCCGATTGCAATTGCTGCCTGACCTCAGAACCTTTCGACTCAAAGCCCCCCAAGCTCCCCAAAACCAGTACCATGTTTGCTGCTCACCGTCGTGGCTATCGCCCCCAACGAGCCGTCGCGCCAATGGACTTCTGACAAGGTTTAACGGTTTAACATATGCAACTGTCTCGTTGTAGCGGCTGGAACGATATCCTCCACCTGCGCATCCACCACTGACCAAAACGATGACTCATGGCCCAGCCCCCACCCCCTCCCTCCTCCCTGTCGTGCTGCCTGCAAGACCACGCTGCCGTCGCTTTGCTTCTTTTTTGCGCCGCATCAGGAGACCGGCACCGGCTGCACTGCAAGCACATTGACATACTTGAGGAGTCATGCTTTGTCAGCAAGTTCATCTCTACTTCTACTCTCCACCTTCTCAGCCTCTCAGGCCGGAGATGCGGACTGGGCTGACCTTGACCTTAAGGTGTCAAAGTGATCGAGAGCTTAGTTCAGGCTTGCAGAGGCTTACAATTGCAGGTCGCTGGGTTTGCGGCCTTGGCCGTGGGCGTGCTGCGACCAGATCGGCCAGCAGCTGCTGCCGCGGCTGCAGCCGCTGTGACGCCCACCTCCACCCAACGAGAAAACACACATCCTCCCCAGCATTCCAGCTATTTCCAGCTGCTCACATCACTTCCAAAAGAATGCTCACAAGGCTGCGGCTGAGTTCATGGGCACCTGAGGCGGTGCAGCCTGAGAGCTTGTCATTTGATATGTCATTTCAAATTTTCCGTTTGACATGTTACTTTGGCATCGCATGTGCAAGGAGACTTCAACGCTGAATTGCAGTATGAGAGCTTTAGGCACAGAGCGTGCTGAGATTCCGGCTGCGCTAAGGGGTTCGCGAGAGACAGCGATCCTGCCGAACAGAGTCTTCAACAGAATGGCCACAGCGCCATGGAAATCCCATGAGAGCCCCGATGCCGAACGCACAAAATCCATCTCCTGTCCATGGCACTGATGTAGCCTCCTGCGTTGGCATATGCCACTCGAGCCTCCACAACAGTCTCAATCAGTCTCACAAAGCTAGCATAAGGAACCACGGAGCCGCAGCCTGGGCGAAAGCTGGGACTGGACTAGCTGCTGCCTGGGAACCGCTGCACATCGTATCTTGAGTGCTCGACGCGTTCGAACTCCATTTGGGGTTCCGCTTTGCCGAAATTCCACCCTTGCACGCTTTCCCCGGCCCGAGCTTTTTCAGCTCATTTCCATGTTGAATGGGCGTTTCCTTTGGGAACCCGAAATAAACCCTGGACCCGGGGGTACGGTTCGCCCTCGCGCCCCGCAAGCAAAGTTGACAGTCCGAAGCAGATGCCGAAGCTTGGTGCGCCGCCCCTCTCGCCTGCGTTCTGGTCTGAATCCTGCGAAATCATTGGTACGTCCGGTGTCACGTTCTTCCTCTCACGAGTGGTTTGGCCGAGCCGTGCAGAATGCAAGATGCCGACCAACCTCAGCTGTGTCGTGCGAGGAGTCACCGGATTGCTGCCTCACAAAGGACGTGTAAGTCATGTCCTCACAAAGTTGAAACATTTGAGAAAAGTTGTCAAACTTTTGTCAAACCCTCCGTGTCGAGTCTGACGCCTGGCTGGGAGTTCCCAATGCAAGGGTTGGACGGTGGGGGAGCAGGTGCGACCTCGGTTCGGTGACGCTGCCGACGGCCAGACGAGACCCGCAATACCGACATCGACTGAGCCAAACTAGCCTACTGTACCCCAAATTCATAACATGCCACCACCGTGCACTTCCAACATGCGTTGCTCTCCATGATTTAATTTTCTGTAAAGTAAGGCAAGTAAGGCTAAGTGAGGACTTTGAAGGATCAGTTGGCTGAGCCTGCAGCTGTGCCAGAAACGAATTGTAGAGTTGGTACAGGACCGAAGGGTGCGCCTGCAACCTGTGAAGAGTTGGGATGTGGGCTCGGCCTTGCTTGGCAAACTGTGGGCTTCTGTGAACGATATCCGATATATTCCGATATCATTGTATCGCTGTGCAGTCACACTGTTCTAGCACCTGCCGCACGGCAGGGCCAGGGCCGGCAGGTCGCCGAGGCGTCACCTACCATGTGACGTGGCCCTTCGCTGTCGGACTTTGCCTCTATGATCTTTGAGTGTGCTCACCTCTTGGCGATACTGTGAGACCTCGCGCATCAACTGGGCCTGGCTCTCCTGACAGTTTTTGCTGCAGAGATCCATTTGGCAAAACCAGTCTCCATGTCAGAGTCTGCCTCGCTGAGTTGTGCTCGCTGCTCGCTCACACGCCGCCCATACTCGAGAACCTCCAACTGCTTCCTGAAAGCGAATGAGGAGCACAGAAGCAAGAACAAGATTCAAACAAATGCGACCAACATGTTCGGAGATTCTGTGGATTCCGTTCGCGCCGTGCATGTGACGTATCTGCAAAGCTCTACTGGTTGGCAGACTGGCTCACACGATCTCACACGTAATCTAATGCATTGGGGGACAAAGGTGACGCAGCTTGAGTGCTAAGGTCCACTGTCCGCCCTTTTTACGGGTACGAAAAGCAATGCCAGGATAGGCTAGGCCTGAGGTTGGCATTCTCTTGTCGGAGATGCAGATCGTCCTGCGCTGATCATCGGCCAACAAAGCGTGCAAACTTCGGGCCAAAACTCTGAGCCAGGAACCCGTGCACTGTCCAAGGACGGCGCCTGTTTCACCCGGCTTCAAAGTTTTACAACCTCTACAAAGATATGCAACATACATCCACATACCACCATATGGCAAACTCTACACCCATGCCCAAGCCTCCCGGGACTCCATGGCTTCGCCCAGCGCTGTGACGGCCCTGAGCGTCACAGCGTCGCAAGATAGCTCGCAACAGAGGCGAAAGGGCTGGGGAAAGAAAAGCTCGTGAAACCGAGAGCGGAGCTCACGAGTTCGCTCGTAGCGGAGCTCTGCTTCTTCTAGTTGGCGATACACATCCTGATTTAACAGATCCGAATATTACGTCCTCTCGTCCGCTCAGTCGCCTTGGGTCAGTCCTCGATGGCTTCACACGTAATGCGTGAGCCCGGGAGGTGAACAAGAAGTTGCTCCTTGCACAACCACATCATGATAGTGCAAGTCAATGAAGTGATACTGTCAGTCACTGTCAGTGTTGTCATGGCAGTCATGGGGAGCGCAATCGAGCACTTCTGGGTGCAGAGCCTGATCTGCCAGTCTGCTGACGTGATCCGTCACTGGCACCTTGGCACCCCATCTCTCGAGCTTGACATCCGGACCTATTGTTGGCCGCCCCTTCATTTGGTGCACCAGGCGGTACAAGTCGACGGTCTGCTTGAAGCTGGCCTCATCCGATTGCAAAAAAACTTGGCCGAAAATCCTCAAGCCCCTTCGGTGTATGAATCTTTGAAAAAAGGAGGTTCATGAAAAGGTGTGGTGCTCCGCGCGTGGGGCCTCCGACCAGTCCTCGAGCTTCATGGCTTCTCGAAACTTGGCGACGACCTGTGGTTTTTAACCCGCTCTTCAGGTCTCCAATTGGTCTCCACATCCCGCAGAGCAGTGAGTAGATGCCCTGGCCTATTGGCAAGTAGAAAAACAGAGGAGGAAACATCATTCAGCAGATTTTGCAGACTTCTTCAAACGAAAGTCTTAGATTTGTTCTTGGACCAGTTTTTATGTGTAGCCGACATCAAAAGAGAGCGTTCGCCCGGCATTTCTACAGCAATAAATTTCCAGTACCATGCATTGAGATCTGCATCGTCGGTGAACGCCTCGGCGCTCAGCTGGGGGGAAAAAAGAAAAGGAGATACGCTAATATCTTTAATTCTTTAATGATTCTGTCTCTTGCGGCCCGCAGGAATATTCCTGAAAACAATCACAAACAAATCTCCTCAGCAGACATTTGCTGGGGGCAGCTGCGAGAACGGTGCCTGATCCATGGTTCCCAGCGCATCCGCCGACCCCGGCTTACGGTAACTGTCACCGCCCTCGCCGCCCCCACTGCCCTCCCGATCCCCCACCCCCGCAACTAGCCCCATTCTTTACACATGCTGACGGACGTTGCAGATTTTGAAAATGCCCCTCACCTTGGCTCAGGATCTGGAACGGGGCACTCGAGGGAGTTTCGGGGGTCGGGCACTCCAGATTTTCTCTGGATATTCTCTGCGATTGGGCAGTCCAGGGGTTCTCTGCACATACTCTCGGGTTGGGCACTCCAGGGATTCTTTCAAGATGCTCTGGGGTTGCGCTCCAGGGATTCTTGGGGGATGCTCCGGAATTGGGCACTCCATCTCTGGGGACACTTCGGGGTTGGGGATTTGGGAGATGGGGACTCCCCACACCGAAGGTGGGGAATGAAATATATCTGATCTATATGTATTCATGTATACTTATTTGTTTCCAGCCTTTGTGCGAGGGAGCACCTAACCGTGCCTGATAGAAACATATACCTATTATAATATTCAAATACGTATAGCTATCTATATACATGTAGACTTCTAATTTACATTAATTTACGTTTCAGCCCCCGTTCTAGCTTTAGATCACCTGGTTTGAGCAGAGCCCCTTGTTAATTTTTGAGCGGCAATCATGCAGCCTCCGCGGCATTGCACTGACCATCCAGCGTCATTGCCGCAATACCTCTGATTACGTTTGACTGCTCGGATGGGGTGTGAGCCTTGGATTGGCTAGTACGAGGTGCAATCTCTCGCTGCTTCGGGGCTCAACGAATTTGCAGGAAGCAAGGGCTGAGTACGAGAGTTCAGGTGCTTCATACATCAGGCAGCGAAGGCAACACGAAGCATGGCACAAAATGCGAACGCAACACTCTTGGCCAGCAACCCCAGAGGACATTCACCATGTTTCCTTCTCCTCGGCATCTGAAGGGGCAACTTGAGCTCAAAATCAGAATCAACGGGCCGTGCCGCCTTTTAACAGGCTCTGCACGGTTCACATGACCATGAGAAGAACCCACAAAATGTCGTGACTGGTGCTTCCTGCATCCCAGAGTCGAAGGAGCTGGGCTCGTCTTAGGGGTCTGTCATGTGGATTCTTCGACGGCTTCGAGGCCACGTTTTCACACAGGGCGTCTTGGTGTCTGGAGATGCTTTGTTTGGGAGGGCTTCTTGGATGGGGCAATGCGGGAAGGGGCTTACGTAGGACCGCAAGTGTGGGACATTAACGGACATCAGGGACATGTGGGTGACCCATCTGGTGACCCCAAGAATGTTCATGAACTGTTCATGTCATGTTCGCATGCCTTTGTTGACTGGCTGGGAAGTCAAGTTCTTCTCTGGCAGAGTGAATGCTCTTGCAACCAGCGGGTCAGTAGGCAGAGCCTCGTCTCCAGAGAAGTCTGCGCACCCTGAAAGAAGATGAAAGAAGGACCTTCCTTTTCTCCATAAATGCGCGGGACCCGTATCGGGCAGTCCCAGTGCCTCAAGCACAAGGTCGAGGCACCTAAAGCTCCTGTTTCTGATGGGGGAGCTTCCCATCACACATGGTAAACATCTGGAAATCTGGAAAGCCCCTGGAGGCTGCGCTGAGAGGCGAAGCGACTCTCCATCACCCTACCTGGCGCGACATGAGCCGACTAAGAGTCCCAGTGCCTTCAGATTGTTGTAGCCGAAACGGCCCAGACCCCGAAACCACTTGAGTACATGACTTGTCATGTCGGAGGCATTCGTTCTCTTTCTGCGAATTATCAGCTCAGCAGCTGGGATTCTACAAGCCCAATCCGGGGTCGCAAAATCCCCTCTCAGATGACTGCTGAGTTCTAGCGGCTAGCCCGCTGAACGGTTTGGATGGTTTGGTTTCCTTGGGCTCCTGGCTCATCTCAGCGCGCCCTCCGCCAACTCTTCCGCGATCTTCCGCGAGGTGTCGAGGGCTGGCGGATCACTGCACCTTTCCGTATCTAATCCAAAAATAGTGCAGTCGTCATGACTCTACTCTACATTAAATTTAAATTGCGGTTCTTATTGTCGGGTCGCCCGGCTGTTAGTTAAACTTTTGGCAATCGATAGTCATGATTTCAACGCTTCGGGTGCTTTCCGAGGGGCGACCAAGGTCAGGCGCGGCAGAATGTTCATCGTCATCAGCTCCTGGATCATGAGCTTGCAGGCGTACCTGCAGAGGTTCTTTTATCCAAAACTTTTGGATGTGACTGAGGCGCATAAAACGAGGCGAAACTTGCCCAAGTGCGCACGGGAGGCAGACCTGAGACACTCTTGCAGCGTCCTCCACACCGAGCTAAGAGCATTCAAGTCAAGACAGAGGAAGCGGATAGAGCTTGTGGTTGTGGAGCACTACCCTTGCACTCGCACAATACGCCAACTCAGTCCTTGCAGAGCTTGCACTCGTACGTATCTTTACTCAACCGTGCGATCGCAAACAGACCACACCTGTGCTTCAATGATGGACGCTATCAGAGACAACGAGCATTGCAGACATCTCACGACTGCACAGTCTTCTTCAAGAAGAAGAGAAGCTAGGTGCTTTGCTTGTCGCACACATGCACTCTGTGTGCATCGGAGACGTCGAAAAGCCGTTCCTGCGGCGGATGCCACAGCTGCAGACAAACGTTAGCTTGAAGCTCTGTCCTTCAGGAATTTGGCTGCTCCATGCGAGATGATGCAATCGCGTTCCTGAGCACTGCAGGAAGTGACCACGGAGCACGGCATCTCGTTAAGACACCCAGCAAGTTCGAGAATGCTCCAGCACCTTTGGCAAGAGTCCATCTCTCCAAATCGCAGGCCGCCTTCTTTGGCACGGCCTGTGATTGGCTGGTGCTGCAGAGAAGACTTGCTGTCACGCCCGTATAATTTTGCCAGGCCTTCTGTTGGCTGTCTCACCAGGGTCTGCACCTGAAGGTGCCGGCGGCCAGTACTCGCAACCCGCTTATCCCCCCTTCTGCCCACGAAGAATTCCCCCTATGGCCAAAGTACTCAAAGAATGCTCTGGGGTGACGGAAGTCTTCTCTCAAGCAGCCGACTTGCGGGGGCCCTGGCCGGTCCACGGGATCTTGACTGGACTTTGTCACTCACCATGTGCTTCAGGCGCTGGTAATACCTCTTCACCGAACAGACTCAGAATTTCAGATGCTCCAAAGCTGTGCAAGGCTTCAGTTGAGGCTGAGGAGTTCTTTGCCTTAGGGCCTTCGGCCCAGCACTTTGAAAAACCTTCTAGAAAGCACACGCAGATCAACATCGCTACGATGCGCAGCAATATCGCAGCAAAACTGCACAAACACAAGTGGGGGGGGAAGTACACAGGCCCCACGAAGATCTTGTTGGTGAGGGGGCGTCCAGTGTGTCCATTCCAAACCTTTTCGTTCCCAAAGCGCTGGTAGCCCATGTCATGTAGCCTCAGCTTGGGCGTTCCATTGCAGGTGTGGCACGGTGACTGAGCGTGACTGAGAAAGCGGCCTGCCCGAGATATCCTTCACGGTCACACGAGTGAAGGGCGTGGCCTCCAAGCATAGCTTTGCATAGCTTTGCATGGCTTCGCATGGCTTTTTGCTCAAGACTCGGATCTGCTTTGGTTATTGTTGAGGCGGTGACATCCCCCTGGCAGCCGACCAACGCACCAACCTGTGGCAACAGCAAGGTTGGCTGTCGCTTCGGGCCATTCAGCTGGAAAATTCAGCTGGAACAGAGCTGCTTGGCTTTCCATGCCAAGCAGATGTCAAGCACAAGTCGTTTAGAAGGCGTTCCATGGTAGACCCCTCGACCCTATCGATAACGACGGAGACGCCGGCAAGAGATGCACCTTGCCTTTCCGGTGAGCTGCTCGACCAAGTGGCCAATCGTCATCCGGGAAGGGATGGCATGTGGGTTCATGATCTGCCGCGTCATCAGTGATGAACATCTATGAACAACTCTCTGAGAGGGAAACTATCCTGAGGCTGTACTGCTCACAATCCCTCTAAACAAGTCTGTAGCACGATGTCAGGTGTGATCCCAAAGTGCGTGAAGGGCAAATCCTCCTGACGGTACATGATGCCCAACCTGGGCATGGGAGTCTGACAGAAGGACTCGAGCTTATGAAGATTGGGCGGGGTCGTGTGGTTTCTGGGGCTTCTGGCTCGTGGGGGACTGATTGGGCTGATTGGGCAGTTTCTTGTGGGTTTAGGGTTAACAGTAACAGGATTTTGGACCCATAGTATGTGAGGCCAGTGATAGCGCAAATGTCATGACAACCGTCACACCACAGGCTCTCTCTGCTCAGCCGATGCCTAGACCCAGCTGGGCATTCAATATGCGCCCCTCATACGGCCGATGCGGGGGATACGCGTTAGCATGAAGATTGTGCTGCACGGCAACGAACCATACCTGACGTGCAGTAAAGCTGCGTTCCTTTCTGGCCGTGCCGCGATGCAAACTTGTCCCCGACCTCCAATCTTCACTCAGCTGCTCTTGATTCACTCGGCAATTTACACCATTAAGCCAGCAGTTGATGTCAGTTGCACTGCACGCGATGCCTCCGGAATTTTCAGAGTTCTGAGGCGAACCTTCGTGAACTTGTACCTTAGCATCAATGGATGCATTCCTGACACGCAAGCAGCTTTGCGGAAGGGGTTCTAAAGTGTCGCAAAGGGTTTTAGAGTAAGGTACTTTTGGGGCGCCTTCTCAGAACCCGGCCAGACATGAACATCTATAAGGGGACACTATGGTGTCGAACAACCCTCCAATGCAGTCGTCGCTTCGACGCGTTCGCCGTGCTTCGCCACACAAGCCCAAGCTCCCGACCCATCCTTATTGATGCTGACCATCACCTGGTCCACGATACCACTTTCGGCCGTTCGGCAAAGGATGGAGCTGTCCTGGAACGAGCACTCCAAGGGGCGCGAGATTCGGGTTTGAGTTTTTGGGCCTGGGTTTGCAGTTGCATCATGCATGATCACAGCAGTACTACAGTGTCCTTTCTGTCAAACTTCTTCGGCCCCACCTCGTCCTCCCCTTGGTGGCCAAGTTTCGTGGGAGTGCCCTCGGCATCCCTCCGTCGAATGGACGCGTAAAGGGTATACACGGCGGCGGCTGGGTTGAGGTGCAGCCAAGAGTACGCATCATGTCAGGCGGAAGCATAGATGTGCGACCAATCAGCACGTCATCACCTAGGGCGAGTGGCATGTGGCACTGCTAGCGTGGCAGAAATGTGTGAAGTTTAAGAGCTCGCACCGTCATGTGTCTCAGCATGTGCCAGTGCATTGCGTCAATGTAAGAATATAAGAATCGGCTCAGACCACTCCACCTTAACAACCCAAACCCTTCATGCGGGCTTTGCTAAAACCATTGAGCCGACTCCAAAAACTAAGGCCATGGGCCATGGGTTTTTACGGCAACCCTTAGTTAGATCACCAGGCCAGGCACCCAGAATCCGGGTTGCAGGACGGGCAAGGCCATCAGTATCCAACTTGCTGTAGTCACCTGAATTCCCGCCACCGACGACATGTTATCTTAGATTTGAATACTTCATAGCTTGAATAGCGCTTGCAACTGGAGGCCGCAGCCGTTCTTGATGCCCAAACACCGAAGGTCCTGCGGTCGGCCAAACCTCGAGTCATCAGTAGCTATGCAGCCATGCCGCAGCTCATGTGCCCGAGTCCCTGCCAGCACAAGCCGAGAAACTGGTCGACAGGCTTCTTTCCTTCAAACTTCTCCTGCGCCCGGTTACAGTGCCCGAACATGTGACATCGGCGCTTATCTACAATGGAGTTCTGCGTCATGCGCATGGGATCACGGGCAACAGGTTCAGGTGACCTTGCTCGAGTCTTGCGCGGGCATAACCGCGCACACTGATGGTGCTTGCACACAACAAGCCTACGCAGTCTCTCAGTTCCTCTGCAGCGTAGCATCTGTACGAGACCGCTCTCATGAAACCGCGATCCACAGCAGATTGGCCTCAGTCAGGCCGGGGCGTTCGACTGCTGCGAATGTTGCTGCGAGTGGCATATAGCCCAAAGAAACAAACAGAAGCCCCCAAAAGCCTCAAAACTCAGACCGAGAGCTCCACATGCAAGCTGCAGAAAGAAGAGCAAAAAGATTGTGAAACGTTTCGAAACATCGTGGAACCTCGGTCCGTCTGCATCCCTGGGTCTCAAGCTCAACATCAAGGAGTCTTCCTGGTTGTAGCCTGCAGGGTCAAAGGCAACTTCCTCAAGTTGCGTTGCCAAAGTTCTGAGAATCTTCCAAGACGTAATTTCAGGGATCTCGTTTGCCTGTATAGCACATAATCATGACGATGGTGTTCACCTGGGCATAGCTGCAGCTAGTACAGCTGGGCTGGCCAAAGCACGGACCTGTCACTGGGCTCAGGACACCCGCTGGCATCTCCCGGAAGCGCAGGTAGTTCATGGACCGCGTTCCCACCTTGGAAGAGAGGAGCAAAATAGAGCAAAGGATAGCAAAGGTAGTGAAGGGCACCGCCAATCCCATGCAGCTTGAGGTCTTGGCAAACGGCTTCATCGGATAGCACATCACGCATGCAAACCTGGGTCGAGTCGAACTCTCGTCAGCAATGTACCAATAGGCTGGGGTTCATTGGCTGCAGGCGATGCTTTGCTGAGCGCTGGGCGTGTCCATTCTTGCATAGAAATTCGTGCCGAAGACGCCAATCGCCTGCTTGCCCATTGCGGATTGGAATACATTCCTGCCAGGCTTGGCCACACTTCACGGAGTGGGCTTCCAGAACTCTGAATGAATGCATTGGAATTTTGCGGCTCCATCCCGACCTGGGACTCATGTTGTGATCCGGGAATGGAATAATGGATGCCTCAAACAGAGTGGAGGAACTTCCAGAAAAGACTCAATGCCAACAAGCCTGCGCATGCCGGCGGCCAGATGTAAGCGCAAGAAACAAGAGAGCCGATTCAGCCCTCCAAGACAGGGGTCTAAACGACCGCTGCACTTGACACAGGCAGCGAAATCAAAGATAGAGAGTCGGTCTTGAGTGTAAAGCAAGATTGAAAGCTACAAATCGCAGCTCCGCCCTGTCGTTTCTCGGCAATCCGACTCAAGTCTTCGCATGTTCGCTCTCAAGACGAGTTTCACATAATTATTGTCGTTCAGAGATCTGCGTCTTCGGGTGAACCCTCCATCCCACAATGGCGACAACGCTTGTGTGATGCGTGTCGCAGGCGACAGAGTATACAAGTACTGTCACAGGGAGTTGCCTTGGGGTCTGGGACAGTGAATGTCCAAGTGCTTTCCGATCCAAAGCCCGCACGACCACGAGCTATATAGAACTCTATAGACTCTGCTAGTAGGCGCATCCGCAGCACACTCAAGTCTGTCGTTGCGCTCGCACGTGCCCTTACAAGTATGAGTCTTGCGGCATCCTCTAGGCACCTGGCACAGATGCCGAAGATCATGGCTGGATGAATCTCCGCATGGGTGTAGGTCCTTCAGATATATGCCGACATGCATGTGCTACAAAAAGGGCGCTTGGCAGCAGAGGCAGCATGTCGAGAACATGCCAGGAAGGCTTGCAGTAGGCCCTGGTCTTGACCTGAGTCGTCAACTCTCATTAGACCGCGAGCACTTCTTCTGACTCGGATGTTGGAAAAGTGTATGCACCCCTGCCAGATCGTGAACGAACATCGCGATCATGGAGCACTCCTCCTCTTCGGCATCCAGGTACTCAATCAGTCCTTCACCTCTCAGCTCGAGGTTGCACCGCTGCACGCAACGCCGCTGCCACTAGGGCCCCAGCGCATCAGCGTCCCCCACTCCCACTCCCCACTCTTCACCTTCTCGACCTCGGCTTCGGTTGCACGTGCACCGTAGCGTCTGCGAGAGTTCGTCTGATGGTGAGGTTCCAGGTCCAGGATGGTCCAGGTTCTCAGGTTTTTTCGGTTCCCCCATACGTTCCGTTGAAGAGCAAAGCCGGAAACATAGCGAAAGTGCTTGTTGACCTGAGCTCCTTGAGCTGCAGCTCCGTCGTGGCTTCCCATTCACAACATCCTGGGAGTAGTGAGTAGAGTCCTCACTGAGCTGATGAATCTAACTTTTCCCAAGTCCCTGTGACAAGGCCAGCGGACTCTCGGCTCTGCGAGATGTTCGGCGCCATGACATCCCAGTCCTGGTGGGCAGAGCTCCTGTCCTCCTGCCGTTTCATTTTTTCCAGGTGCTGACGAGCGGATGCTGTATCGCTCTCTGCGGCAGTGCCGCCCATGCGCTGAAGCGCAAGTTCTCCGGGCAGTGTCCTTCTGGACTTGTTGTTGTGTTCTTGAATTTCATTCGGCATTATGCGGGTTTGTTTCCATCGGAACATGTCGTCTGTGGCCTTTCTCAGACCATGTCTCCTCGCAGAGCTTCTCAACGTGTCGTGTCAACTGCATATGCTCCTGTTCTCTGCTTGTGCATTCAGCTGCCAGCTTATTCAAGGTGTTTGCATGCTTTAGTTCCGCTTCCCGTCGATGCGGCATTGGAACCGAATGCAGCCTGTGTTCATTTGCTGGATATTCATGGGTGATGCTTGACGGCATGCAACAGCTGCCTAGCTGGAATGAAAGCGTACCGCCGAGTGACATGGGTGCTGTTGATCAAGACCTTTTGCCGCTCATAATCCACGATGTACAGAGGACGTGAGCACCTGCACATGTCGCTCTATGGGCTTGAAAAATGCACTGCTTGAGTCCCTTCGCAACACCGCAAACTAGTGACGTCCACCTCCCGCAATCCGAGGCAATCCGGATCTCATTGTTCTTCAGGTCCTGCTGGATAGACACCTGCCCAACTGACGTCAATGAACGACTCCAGAACATGCATCGCTACCGACGGGATGAACCCAATGAGGAAGAAAAACAATCGATGTTATTCACCATAACAAATTGAACTCGGGAGAAGCATCTGTACTTGTATTAGCCTTTTGAGTGGTATCCGTAGCCAGTGCCCGAGAAAGCCCCGTTCACGCCGTGGATTCGTCTGATGCCGTGGCTCTGTTGGCTGACACGGTGACGCCGGTAACGCTGTCTTTTGCTTTGGCACCGTTGACTCCATTGACGCGCTGACGCTGTGAATTTTCTTCGACGCTGTGACGCCGCAAACACATATTTTACCTTGACTCCCTTTGACGTGCTACATAAAATAGTTAGCCAACCAAGAGGCGAAACATCCCTCACCAAGAGATCCCTGCACCTCACGAAGAAGACCTCGCATTGAACCCAAAGTCCGCTTACCCAACTGCAAAGGAGACGGCGTGTAGCCAAATGTGATGGCTTGTATGACCAAAGCTATGGCTTACTCGACCAAGATGTGCAGTCGTCGCCTTTCTTTCAACAGCGAAACCACTGCGAAACCTACGAAAACCAAACCCGGTCATGCCTTTGGACTACAGACTCGGCCAGCCCAGGACGACCTGACCTTACCTCACCGAACCTCCTCAAAAACCCGAACCTTACAACCCAACCCAAGCTGACCTGACCTAGCCAAACCTACCCAACCCAAAACCTAGTGAGCTCTACGGCCCTCTCCGCAGCGAAGCGCCTACCCTCTGTGAAGTTAAGAATGGTTGAAGTGTGCTTGATTGGCAGGCATACCGCTCGCGCGGTTTGGTTGGCTAAGCCGAGCATCTTGGCGAAGACTTACCTTTATTTGGTTGTCTCGTTCGAGCTTTGGTTGGGCAAGACAGATTTGGTTGAACCATCAGTCATTGACGTCGCTGACGCCCAGCGGTTTCTATGGCTAACGCTATTGACACAGTGGATGCCCCGGACGCTGCCGCGGCTGCTCCTGGCCACCCGGATGATTTTTGGGTTATAGCTCAGCGGCACAATTTTGTCGCGTCGTATCTGGTCTGCCCACCCATTTAGCATCATGCTCCAGGAAGCTTCAACCCCAAGTCCCACACTCTGCACGCCCACCCACAGGTAACAAGTTTGGGGTTTGGGGCCACACCTGGAGGCTCATTTACAGCTTCGGGCTTCAGAGCTGAAAGGTCTCAGGGTTCAGGGTTTAGGTGTTAGGGCTTCATAGCTTTTAAGGGTGCAGGTTGGGGTAGCAGATATACCAGATAGATATAAAATGTAGGTATAGAATATGGGCATATAGTAGAATATATAGTGGTGTGTGGTATAATATATGTATATGTATATAATACCACACAAGACCGCTCCAAACCAGCCTCAGAGTCGATGTCTTTTCGGCGCCGCAGGCTCTGAAGAGTGTTCCTCCAACAGACCCAGCATGTTGATTCGATGGTTTAGGTTTTAAGGTTTCGGCTGGCGACATTATATGGCGTCTTAGCTACTCAATTTCCGCGCTGGAGTCCTCAATTCCGCAGGGTTCTTGTGCATGCCCACCCTTGGAATCGCAGGGTAATGCGACCCTGGATGCTGTGCTGCACTTCCTCCAAAGTTAGGGTGAGCCGACGCTGCCACAGCGGCTCTGAATGCAGCAGAGCCGCCAAATTCCATTCAGGAACACCTGACCGATGCAATGCTTCGCCAAGAATGGAGCAGACTACGCATGATGCCATATGGGACCCCGGGATGCTGCAGAATCTCCACTCTGACTGCATTCATCTTAATGTTCGTGTGTTATATGCCCACCCTGCGTCGAGTGCCCCGAAACTACGTTAAAGCTGCTCTTGGTCGGGACTTAGCCCATGCCAAAGGCCTTCTTAGATTTCAATCCCTTACCCGGTTGCCTTGGAGTAGGTTTTGATGTGGTCGGGAGTGCACTCCATCAGGTCCAGCACCTGGCACACTGGCACAACATTGGCACAACCGCGTTGCTCAGCAGGGTCTGGATGTGGTAGTGGACATAGCAATAGAGGGGAAGTCTCGACATTGCTTAGCAACCCACCCCCCATTCGTCTAGGAAGTCCTCGATGATGGTCTGTGCCTGCAGCTCTCAGAACTGTAGCTCCACTATGCAAAGGCCATAATTAGTACCTACGCCAAAGTGCTGCACTTTGCGTGGGAACCATGAGAGACCGACCGACCCGAGCGTAATCCAGCACCTCAGATGAGTCAGACATACTATGCAAAATATAGAGATATGATACAATATGTAAAATGCATATCTAGAATGTAGATACTATGCTGCGCCGGTTTGTTATCTTCGCCCGACAGTTTGGTTTCGTCGCTTCTGCGTCCTTCTGTTTTGCCCTTTCTGAAATGGCACCAGACCTTTTTCCAGGTGGCAGTAGTGCCTTGCGCAAGCTTTCTGCAAAGAGCATGCTATTTTTTGTGACAAAGAAGCCAACATACCAAAGACCCAAGGGTTCAACAACGTGCAGAAACTCTGAAACCCCAATGCTTAGACTCAACCCTAAACATCCCTAAAGTCTTTATGTCTTAAACCATATGGATCAAGGGCCAGGCATCAGCGAGATGTTCTTCACCAAGCCCACGGCCTTTTGCGTTGTTGGCGAAGTTGCACACATGATGCTTTTCCTTTGTCACCGCGCACGAACAAAAAGCGCCGTCTCATCATAGTAGATTAAACGGTCCCCGGTTCCCCGGGGGCCCCTTTCCAGTACTTTTTGCCATGTCCCACGGTAAATTGAGCTTCACAAAGGGACCCTAACTTGAAACAACGACGAAATACGCTCAAATGCCAGCCTGTCCCTCGGGCGTCTCCGCAGGGCACACCAAACCCCAGTGTGTGTTGTGGAGCTGCCTGGCACACATTGCTTAGTGGAAACACTGAAAAAAAGACACACACGACTATGGCGCCTGGGCTTGACAAGCTTCCCTGAGCGAGCCAAAGGTGTGATCATCCGCCTCGACATTGCGCGAATGATGGAAAGAACACCAACAGACGCGTTGACCTCAACTCACTCGTTGCCACTACACTTGGCGGCACAAAGCTCGCGAACTGTCCGTGGTATACCGGCGCCTCCCAATTCGCGAATGAACCGAATTTCGAGATGGGAGCAACCCTTCAGTATCTGTGACCTCTAAAGTTCGGGGTATGCAGGAAAGGGAGAAGCCACAGGACTTTCCGAAGAATTTCTGCACTCGATCCCACGGAAAGTATGCGCTTGTCGACTTCCAAACAGCTCCTTCTAGACCCAAACCAAACTGTACGAATGTGCGAGACCGGAATGACCTCGCGTCTTGCTTCGATGCCCTGCCAACCCACTGCCTGAGGTGGGACAGCGTCGCCATGAAGGTCAGGCGGTTCAATCCCTGGGAAATACCAGTTCGAACCTCAGACGCGATGCGTTTCAAGCCACCGGCCCAGAACCAAATACATGCTCAGCTAATGATTTCAGTTGTCCACGGAGCACGCTCAATAGGCATGGCATGCTAACCATACTTGCACAAGTGTGCTTTCCGCTTGCCAGATTTCTGAGAGAAAAGCTGGCTTCCCCGACTTGTCCTTGCCATCTGCACTTGTCGCACCCTCCCCTACAAAGTTGAGTTGGACGTAATGGCAAAGGTGAAGTCCTGACCCCAGTTCCCAGTGGCGAACTGGTACTTCATTCCCTGACTGAGGCAGGAAGCCTGGCGTGCAAATGCACGGCAGGCGCCGAAACTCTCGTGCAAACAAGCTCTCCTTACTCTAGCAGCTCTCAAGTCGAATCGGTCTTGCAAGAACCTAGTAGTTCCCTAAGACCTACATGCAACGCGCCTGCTTCACACACTCCACAATGTCCGGAATTTTGCCCTTGTCCAGCTGTCGTTGCAGCAGCTTTCGCAGGTCCTGGAAACCCGAGATTTCATAAAGTCCGGCAGCAATGCACACTGAGCAAAAGCACAAGAAGATAGCGCCTTGACACTCTTTCGCCAAAGACCTGTGAAAGAGGCAGACACCTGGGCCGGTCACTCAATACGAGATGTTCCAAAGGTCTAAGCAAAGATCATTTTCACGAATTCGAAAAGCTCACATCCCTGGCCGCCACCGTGCCAAAATATGCTGAGTCCCCGTACGAGCGCACCCGCCAAGTCGATCCTAAAGAGAGTAAGTCAGGCTTCTGCACAAGGGGCATACGGCTTGCAAAACAAATACACATTCCCACTCATTAGATTCATTAGATATGTTGTGCAGGCATATTTCATTCCAAACGATTCTAGCCACCAACTGCAGCCGTCGTTTTCATTGGAAATGAGAGCGTCGCTCAGGTTGACCACGTTTACACGTCTGAGAACAGGTTGTTGTGTGTGTGTGTGTGTGTGTGTGTGTGTGTGTGTGTGTGTGTGTGTGTTTTGTTTTTTTTTTTTTTTTTTTGGGGGGGGGGGGGGGTAATGTGCAAAAAACCATAGGGTATGCTTTTCAATCCGTGTCGCAACAGTAGCTAGAATCTGTGAATCGTGGTCTTCGAATGGATGCTCTGGCCACATGGACGCACTGGTCACATGGACGTAACCATGTCTCCGCCATGACTGGATGCACTGGCAACATGGACGTGATCATGGCTCGGGCATGGCTGCTCTCGCCACATGGATGTGCTAGCAAACTGAGCATGGAGATAGTCATGGCTCATGGATGCTCTGGACACATGGACGTCCATGAAGCCGAACGCCCAAAAACAATGGGTGGAGTTTTTTTTTTCTTCCTTTTTTTTTTTTGCTTACCCTTTTTTTTTTGGTTTTCTTGGCTTTTGCTAGGAAAGCCACCATTCCCTCCGTATTTTCAAAGGATTCTTACTACTCTTACTCGGATTAGGAGCTGGTTATTTTTTGGGGGTATTTTTTTGGTTTTTTTGTTGGGTGTTTTTTGTGGTTTTCATGTGTCATCTAGAAAGGTCCTCTATTTACTATATGCGAAAAGGTATATATGTATATATGAATATATGTATATATGTATATATGTATATATGTATATATGTATATATGTATATATGTATATATGTATATATGTATATATGTATATATGTATATATGTATATATGTATATATGTATATATGTATATATGTATATATGTATATATGTATATATGTATATATGTATATATGTATATATGTATATATG